ATGCATATTATAAGTATGTGCTGAAAACAACATACACCAAAAAATTTTTTTTTTATTTACAGAAACATTATTAGTTTTGCTACTGCTTAATTATAATAATAACTAAGTAATAAAAAAGATTTGTTATGAATCGTTTTAACCATTATTATAATTCTTAAAATATTTATATAACATTAAAATTATTTTATTTTATGGTGTATAACATATTACTTTATGTCATCATCATCATGTAACTTAACGGGCCATGAAGGCCCAACGCTGCCACCATGAGATGGTTTCTTGACGAATTCGCTTCCGGGACGGGTTGTCAATCCGTCGCCGAAGAGGGGGATGGCGGTTCCTTTTTACCGGACGATTGCTCGCCCAGCAAACGGAGCGCCTGTGACCGAGTGTCGAACCGGCGACAGTGAGCGCTGACACACTGCGGCCTTATCCACTCGGCCACTCCTCTTCTTTTTATTACTTTATGTAATCAAGAAAAATAAAAAATTGAAAAATGACTAATTGAGATGTTAATTTTCAATTGTAATTGTAAAATTGCTTTTAAGTGTTGTGTATATTATTTTAAAGATAAAATAACTTTAAAATTGCAAGGAAAACTAACATCTCAATTAAATCAATTTTCAGCTGTCTATTTTATTTTATTTCAAAATATTACATTTTTATAGATAGTATCTTTAGATAGTAAAGAAAAAACTGTACGTCCTAAATAAAATTGATTTGAGAAATTATTAATTCAGCTCATTATGTACAGGATTCTTAAATCATAACTTATTTCAATTAAGTATTTAAATGAAATTTAGTCTTAAAGACGTAGAAGGCACACATTACAGTTTTAATAGTAGTATCGTTCAAACTAGACATTCATGATTCATTAAATAAACAAATTATTGTATAACATTATATCATTCGTTTTATCTGTCTTAATTTTTTTTTTATGTTGACAGTAATACATCTCGTTTAGAACAAAATATAATCTCGGTTGTGTTTTACCAACTGCATACGATATTTACAATGAAATAATAATACATTTAAAAATTATACATGTCAACGAATAATGAAAATACGCAGTTAACTCCCATCTTATTTACTAGGTTACCTAAAATTGTAAACAAAATAATGAAAAATAAATGCTAAACAATGACGGCCGAGGACAGCTTCAGCAATAATGCAAAACATTTAAGTTAAGAATAATGCGAGGTAATCGATACATACAGGATGTATTACGTTATAAATTTACAGGTAAATGCGATTTAATTTTGAATGTAATAATACGTCAATTATTACTCTATATATAAATTATAATACATCTACTCATATTATCGCGTTATGGTATTTTAGTAGTAAACAAAGTACAAACAATAGCTTTTGCACAATGGAAAAGTAATAAGGTTGTAATTGTGTACCTTCCGTCATTGTCGTGTTTTAACGAATTTACCGTACAAGGTTACAGAAAGCGATACTACTGCAACGCATTTAACGACTGGTCGAACATCTTGCCGCTTAAAATAAACCTCGTTTTTTACCTTGCTAAGCTAAACGGTCTTCCGACGCAGTCCCCCTAGCGGAACAATTTTTCGTTTGATTTTTCCATCGCCATGTTATTATTTTTGGGTGGAATACTTCCCCTTGCCCGCCAAAACGGTAATTAAAAAAACCCGTTTCCGCGGCAGCCTCGCCAAATAAAAAACTTGTGCAAATCTACTTACGTTGTTCTTTTTTCACTCCCATGGCGACAGACAATTGTATACTGACGATTTACGATTCCAACTCGAAAAATTGTTTAAAAAAAAAAAACTGTGCAAAACTATCACTACAACTGCAACTATCGATGACACATATTCGACGGACTATGGGCGCACTGCGGTAATGTATTTTTTTTTTAATGGGTATATATTTTTTGTCTACCGATCTATTTTTACGGTCGACACACTGGCTCAAGCGCACGTTTATTTCTAATTATACTGTTCAGCTGAACTCAGCAAATAGCGCACAGCGCACACCACGGTTTCCGAGCAAACGAATAATGCGCACACCTACAACGAGCAACACACGACAACACTGCACTGCAAACGGCCGACGGTTATCCCTCGCGAGCCAACACCCCCAACGAGACAATGGAACAGATCAAGGACGGCAACGGCGCTGGCGGAAGCATAGGATACTGACGCGTTTCTACTACTGAGTACTGATGGGCTACGAATGCTACGATATGATCACTACTACTGCGCTCGTGAGGGACAAATGGTAATGCGTAGCGGCGCACAGGGCCCTTATTGCGTCGCAACATTATAAACTCGGCGTATACACACGCGCTCCGCGTGACGATAACATTATTATTGGCGGTAAACACGATCAATATTTAGGCGAAGCCGATGGTGGCGTTGGCGGAAGCCTGTTGTTAGGACACATCGCCGCAGGGTCAGGGATCGCGGTGCAATAAAAACAAAGAAAAAAAACCAAAGAACCAGCTGACATCCCAAAATCCCAAGGTGTAATTAGAACCAGCAGTCTGTAGTAGACTAACTATATATTATAACATACAGCAGCTGCTTCTATGCCAACGACATAGTATAATATTGTTTTGTCTAAGAGCCCGTCCGAAGGCTGTCGTTCCGCAACACGCACAACGCAGCACACCAGTGCTTTTGACTACCATCCGTCCCTTGTTTATTACCAACGGTCGATTATAATTATATTCATTATATTACAATTATTTCTAACACGCGCATAATAATTATAATTCAACTAATATAAATAATATATTGTTTATGACTAAAAATAGAAAAGAAATCTGGATATTTTATTTCACGTCATTGTCCTTAAATGCATTACTATGTTTTATTCTAACCTAACCCACACTAATCATACATGAATGAGAACATTTAGGCGTACGCATCACACAGCCTACAACCGTATTGGTGAAGTAATGGAACCCAATTTTTTAAGAGCAAAAAAATACCAATGACGTACTCCTAATATTATACAATATGCATTATCCATCCGACTACTGGATACATATTAATTACTAACGGTAATTTCATTTTATCTTTTTAATCCTTATGGAATATTTTATTAAACTACTGATTAACAAGATGTACGGCAGTTTGGCAAGAAAGAATCTGACTCGGTCCACGTAGTGATCACACTAAGTACGCTGTACGACGTTATCCAACCGCGCCAGACTAATATTTTTTAGATTTTATCATTAAAAAAACGCGTTTATGGGTTTTATCACGCCTTATCGGCTCGACGGACTTACACTAGTGATGGGAATTCAAAAATACGGATTTTCACAAAAAAGCAATTTCAGCCATTTGAAAATATTATAAATATTCATTCAAATTTCAAGTAAAATGTTTGTTATAAAAAATAAAACAACACCAAAAAGATAAATTGCTTTTGGATTTCGGATTTGTTGAAATCCGAAAGCAATTCATTTTCAAAGTTAAGCTTTTTTTTTTTAATTTTCAATAAAACATTTTACTTTGGTACACTGTTTTATATTTAATGATATTTAGTATTTAAAAGATTTTTAAGTTCCTTAAATATAGTTTTATGTGAAAATCTGGACTTTAAGATTCTCTTCACTAATTTAAACGGGCAATAAATAAAAAATTATTTTACTCACTAAATTAAGTTTTATTCACTGAGTACTAAGCTTTCTTGGGTAGCTAAGCTACCCAAGATGGTATAGGTCCCGAAGACTTGCCCTCTAGAAGAGGGGGTAGTGGGAAAGGGGATGCCATATAAAAATAATCAAAAACTACCAAATAATCAACTTTTTGGGATAAATAAATATCCGGGCTACGCAACGCCGGATAACTCTGTTAGTACAATAATAACTGTAATCGAATTCATTTAGTCTAATTTCCCGATCTTAAGTCCTAAAACTGTCAACAAATCGAAAGAAAGAACAAATTACCACCCATTAAGGTTTAATATTTTCTTCATTTTTTAATGCATATAGTAGTATTAAATCAAAAGAATATTAAACAAGTTTTGAACACATTAGACTTTTTTTCAAAAAGTTATAGTGTATCGAAGTTTTAAGTTGAAACATTTTTATAGTAATTTTCTCGATTTAGTAAGGATAGAGGTTAATTTTCCATTTTTTGCGTTCAAAAGTATTATTCGATTTTTTATCTATATAAAAGACTTACTACATAAAAAATACTCTTTATATTAACTTAAGATATTAGCGATTTGTGTGATCGACTGTAATGTTATTTTTATCCGTGTGTAGCCGCGCACTACTCGACTACATGTCAACTTCTCGTCTTAGAATGCAAATAACTCGAAGAGTATTTATTTGGAAATTTAAAATCAGTTATAATTTTTCATTACATTATTGTTCTACATAAATATCAAATAGCAGTGCTATTTGATATTTTGTTTCATTTAGTTACCCACCCTTAAATAATACTCCTGAAAATAATATTTTCAACTTGAAAACAAAAAACTAATACTGATAATTCAATCAATAATTTATTTTAAATAATTAATTAACTAAAAAAAAATTTGTAAATTGAAATCTCGATCACCCCGTTTTTTATTTAATAATAATAGCGAACATTTTTTGTTAGCTAAATAAACTATTTAAGTAGTCCAAACATCAAAGTTATTGAAAGTCAAGGTTGTAATTTATCATTCAATTTATCACAATTTTTTTAATTTTGTCGAGTTATTCATTTAGGGTTGACTACAAATTATTGTAATATCAACGAACTATTAATTGTTTAATAAATGGAAATTTATAATTATTAGTTTTTCACATTTACACATTAATTATCAAGTTTTAAAAATCGGTTATTACTTATCAACATAAATATTATATTATAAATGTATGAATCAATGAATATATATATATAGTGTGCATGTGAACATACTGTGTTGATTATAATTAGTTCCTTAAAAATGCATTCACTGTTAACTGTACAAAGAAATATCTATGTAAACAGTTAAACGATCAAAATAATAAAAATTTACATACAACATACCTTGAGGTGGTAACTTCTCCGGGTTGAACCATTTATCTGAAAATAATGAAATCATTGCTATTATTATTTATAAAAATAAAGTTAACTTCTGGCGATAGAGATTATTTGATATACATATTACAATAATAACAAATAGTGAGTATTAATAGTTGACAGTTGTAAGTTATAAAAGGTAGTTGGTAAATGGTTTTTCTTTTCATGCGAGATTAAAACACTAATTTTTTAATCAATGTCAAACAGGCCGGCCTAATTATGTAATTTTATATACAGGTTATCTATAATATAGTATCAGATTATTATAATTTACTAGTTGTAAATTCTAAGATTGCCTAACGAATAGTTTTGTTGTATTTTAAATGTAAAAAAACGGGTAAGAAGTTATTACAAGGAAGATAAACACTGTAGTAAATACATAAAAAAAATGCAGGTAGAATTAATAAGCATCACTCACTAGGATGAATAACAACGTTAAAAAAATCGATGACAGTGAGTCGATTGCCTTTAGATTGTTCAGATTCTGTGTCCGCATTCATTTTAAATAATAGTTTGATAAATCGATATGCCAAGCCACTACTGAAGTCACAATAATATTATAATACGACTTATAATTTGACTAAAAACGGTAAATATAAAAAAAAACAACGTTCGAAATATTGTTGGTTATTTCTTGTTAGTTACAAAACATGAACTAACGTCTACTCTCCACAAATCAACGGCGCAACGAATGGCGATTGTTGCCCATTTAGTATTAATGATATAGATATCATTACAAGACCGATAATATTCTACTAAGGCGCGCGTAAGGTCATACTTACAAGATATAAATAGGCGTAGAATTTCACATTTTTCAGAAATGAAATAAAATCTCTTCAATTGTATCATGTACGATAATATAATATACATATATATATATATATATATATATATATATATATATATATATTATACATAGAGCAAGTATTGTAACAATTAAACAACCATATAATGGTTTATATGACATTAATAAATAGAAAAAAAAAAAAATTTTTGTTGCGCGTCAGATTGTCAAATTTCCCTACATATGTAAGTGTAATTCTGTTAAACAATCTATTCTTTGGATCTCCTAACTCCTTTCAATAAGAAAAAAATAAAAACAGATAGTTGAAAACCACTAATCACCATACAATTTATTAACGCAATTATAAAATGGGGCCCGGGTGCAGGGGGCTTTATTCTTTAAGAATCCCCCTGTGTTATACAGTGTTAACTAATGTGAAAATGATTAAATTTCTGATTTAGTTTAGGGTATAAATTATAAGTGCACATTTAGTGAATTTCCTATTTAGTCATTTAAAAATTGTTATTAGATCAGTTAATTGCTGACCCAAAGGAAATATCCCTCGCCCATATATACTTTTAACAAAAATAACTTAAAAATGAATTATTCAATATTAGTTATAACTTATAACTAATCGATATTTTTGGAAAAACTTAGGTGTTTTTAAAAATAAAGCATACAAAAAAAAATGTGTTTTCAATGAAAGCATTACTCCCCCCCCCCCAAATACAAACTTCTGTATACGCCACTGTGAAGAGGAGCTGGAAGCAGCAAATTAAAATTATTGTTGTCTACTGTCATTAACAGAATAATATATTTTTTTTAAAACCATTATTAGGTATTAGGTATTTATTAGGTCTTCTAAAAGTTTTAGTGTACTAGTACATCCGTCATCTATACAGATTTAAAGATCAAAACTAAATCTAAAAAATTTGAATAATGGTTTCTAATAGCTTTACTGATAATCGTAAATGTGAAAATAAAGTCTTGATATTTAATTATATAACATAGACTTACTGTTACAGTAAAACTGCTCAGTTTTAAAGAAATACAATTTTTTTTTTAGATATTTCGCTATAACTGATGTAAAGTTCTGATCTTGCTGTTTAGTGCTTTATTTTTCAGTTGCCTCTCCAATTTTATAATTTCTACATAGGTGAATAGGTCTACATTTTTTGTTTTCATGCACCACAACATTAAATGAGAAAAATTCACATAACCTTGTTTGGTAAAAATTGTAATAATAAAAAACTAAACTAATTGTGAAATGATGATATGGCCTCGTAAAAAAAACAATAAAATACTGATTTGAATCTACATAACATTGAATAACAAAATAAATCATAAAACTATTTCAGTGTGCAGTTTCATGTCATAACATAAGTTATAGAAAGTAAGTATCTATACAATTCTTTGTAAATTAATATAATTATATAAATTAGTAAGTAACATAATAACATAATTATCTAATACTTTTAAAGGAATCTTCTTAAAATAACACATTATAGTGTGGTTTGTATCTTGAATATTTAGTTTCTAAACATATTATGCATATTCATTGTTAAAAAAAAATGTTAATGAAACACTATATTATTATTCATAAAAAGGGCTCTTGGTGTCAATTTTAAACAGCCATAATATTATTCAACAAAATAATTATAGAGGAAAAAATTGTGTATGCTTTATTATTAATACGCAATACATAATGCATATTAGTAGTCAAGTGCTTTATTGTGTGCGAGTTAAACAGTTTAAAAAGATGTGTTAATGGATAGTATTAAAAAAAAAGTTATTAAATTTTCATATATAAATCATAAATACACATTACACAGTACAAACTACTGAAGCTAGTAAGTAAATATTTTAAACTAAGTTTTATTATTTAGTGGCAAGAGTAAATTAATTATTAATATTGGACTTGACCTGCTCTATACAACATATATCTATTTTTTAGAATTAGCTTTATGTCAATAGATTCATCAAATTTTGTAATAAAAATTGATATATTATATAAGTAAATTTAGTAAAAATTTAAGTTGAGTAGTATCTAAAATTATTATGATGAATTTTTTTTTTTTACTGGACAGTTTTAATTTATACAATATATTATGTTAAAGTACAAGAAAAAACAAACTTTTACTTATTAAAAAATTAAAGTCCATTAAACAAGCTAAGATTTAGCTATTTACCAATTATCATACACTAACTATTTAATATCATAATGCATTAGCTATTAATATAACTAATCCTCATAATAAATATAAAGTAAAGCAAATTGAGTTACTTTTTCTGTTTTCGTAGATGTAAAAATATTTTTCCTAAATAATAACAGCCTTTGGATTCTAAATATCTAAAAGGGCACCCTAAATACATTATATATATTTCACACAGTTTTACAATTATTTATTCTTAGCAAATCCCACTTATTGTGTTAAATGGTCGGTCCCAGAGACTCCACTGCCCCAAAAAAACTGGGGGCCTCTATAGAATTAATGATCCATCGTGTCATAGATATTACTAAAAATATCATCATAATGATGTTCATTAATACAAATTAAATACTCAATACTTATGAAAATATCAAGACAGCCTGTGGTATAGCCGAGATGCCATAAAAAACTATGAATCATTAATCAACCCTATATTATAAGTACAACAAACTATAGTGCAAATTTAATTTTTTTTTTATTCTCCTAGGCTCCTAATACATCATAACCGGACTTTTAAATTTCATAAAATTATAAATTAAAAAACTCAATGTACCCAAAAGCGAATTATTTTATAAAAAGGGAATAAACTTTAAACAAAACACCTTTAGGGAATACAAAAATAAAATGTTCAATGAAAAAATTAACATTAATAGCTGTAAAATTACCATAAGAAAAATAGCACTATATGAATAGCATCAATTTTATGTCGCTATCATTTTTTTATCTTTGTATCAACAATATTAATCTTTTCTTGCGTATTAAGGCACAAATGTACTTAAAATTATTCTGCCGTTAGTCAACCTTTCATAATTTATTAGTACGGCAGATTATAAAATTATTATTTATTATAATTGAAAACTCATAAAATAATTAAAACTTTTAAACAGTTATATAAGTTAATCCTCACCTAGACCAATTCTGCTAAACAGTTCTTCAGGTCCAATTTTTATATCGCATACATCTCCCTTGTCAGCTGAATCCGTTTTTACTACCACAGTAGAATCATCTTGAAGGACAGTATCCATTTTAACTTCTATTTCTTTTTTTGGAATAAATTCAGTTTTAGGAACATCAATTATTTTAGGTTCTTCTTTAGTAATTTCTACTGGTTCTACATAATCTTTCTCTTCCATCTTTGGAATTTCAGCACTAGGAATATCGTCTAACGTATAAGAATATGGTTTAGGACTAAGCAATGTTTCAGTTTCTGACATTATATTATGATCGTCTTTAGGATCAACTTTTATGTCAACTTCAGTATCAATATTCTCTTTAGGTTCTTGTTCAATTACCAACATATTTTCAAGGGAGGACAATTTTTCAACGCCGACAACTTTTTCAGGCATAAGTATGAGATCGGAATTATCATCTTGAAAATTTGGTTTTATATCTTCCGATAATAAGTCATCATCTGGGTCTGATGAAATTAGTTTTGGTGCGGGTTCCAATATGTTAGTGTCCAAATCCAGAAGTTTCTGATCTTCCATTGTAAATTTACGTATTAAAAAAGTATACTAAAAACTAATAGGAAATTTTGCAGTCTATGATTGTATAGTGTAGACAGTGTACCTAGTCAAACATCCGTTTTTCTCAAAATCCAAATAACTGAACATCCAAGAAAACGTGTGATATTTGATAAAAATAAAAAATAATTTAACTCCATAACAGGCAACAGCTGATAGTAATTTGATAACTTTTAACTTGAGAATCGATAATCAGTACCATGACTATATAAATAAAACGACCATAACCGCTACTCGCTAGATAGTAGATAATACTAGATGCTTGCGCAGGCCGCAGGATATTATATTTTCTTCCCCAAACTTGGAAAAAAAAATATCACGTGTAATTTCTCGTTATAACATCTTCCATGTCTGGGGATGTTATCTATGTTATAAATTGTAATTCCGTCATGCAGCACGATTTAAGATAATATTATCTTAAATCGTGTCATGCAGGGAAGACATAGATAATAAATGTTTCGGAATAACATACTCAATGAACGGGCTTAATACAAATATTAAATATGTGTGTAAAGATATGTAAAACATACAATAAATTTATAATATGACTTCATTAAAAAAGTACTCAAGAGTGGAATTTTCTTCCAATGTCACTAATTAAATACTGCATTATAAACCAAACACCTTCTTTTATCCATTTAAATAAAATATACGTATACAAAAGTAAAATATAAAGTTAAATTTTTAATGACCGATGAATAGCTATCGACTCAAAATTTGATGTTACTGGCATTGAAAATGTAATTATCAGTCACGAGCCGCGAGTCGCGACATAATATCATACAATCATTTTTTAACCGTGCGCCATATTTCTTTAACTGGGAACACAAATGCGCATGAACAGATCACCTCATGACGTCATCAGGTACCGACGGCTCGCTGGAACTACACGCGTCACGCATGCTCCGACCTCCGTCTAATAGTAAAAGATCTATGATTTTGTGCCGGTATGTTCACCATGTTATCTTTTGGAACAGAGTGCCGCCCAAAAGTTCGTAATCTAACGATTATGCCTGTTTTATTTCGTCACAGTAAATTTAAACCATGCCAATCGTAACAGCACGTTGCTATATTGTCCGTGATTCCCACTAATATAATAATTATATTTATAATATTAAGTGGCCTCGCGACTGTGTTACAATTGGGCATAAATAGACCCTTGCAATTTCCATCGTCCTATGTTCCCATTCTAAAAAAAGTTTTTAATTCCTAATCATCTCTTCTCTGGTTTATAGTACCGGCTTTAAGCTGTTATTATTTTCCAATATTTTATAATAGTTTAAACAAATTTGTTTACAAAAACTATTTTCATATAAAAACAAAAATGAGAAAAGTTAATCAATACTACTGAATCACAGTAGCGAGGTTCCTATAACAAAATAAAACTGTTAATAAATTTTTAAACAATTTGTCATATTGTTTCAAAATTATTTTGTTGACTGGATGAAATAAAAAAAACAATATAACAGAAATAAAATTTCGCATTTAAAATTTCTTGGAGGGCTGTATTTTAATTTGAATTTTATAACGAACAGTACAGCGTACGATAGGTTAGTAGATATTGATAAGGGATAAGGATTAACAATCATATTATTAAATTTTTTTATGTTAAATTAAAATTTTTATTTCTTTTTAAACTTACTAAACAGTAATCAGCATAAACAATATTTTGTGTTATTAACAATGCTAATTGTAATTAGTTACTCAATTTTTCAACCAATTGTAACAATTAAATACTTAAGGGTACATAGAAAAAGTTATATTTATTTTAACTTATTTACAATTTTCAGAGGTAAACAATGAATACAGTGATCAATAGCTTTTCTAAAAATGAATCAGAAATACACGAATTTCAACAAAAGGTAACTTAATTTAGTAAAACAATTTTTTCATCTTTTGTTTACTATTTATTTAAAAAAATAACTAGTATAATGTTTAGTTAATTTTTTTTCATAGAGACCTAAATTCATTTATGCACAGTGCAATACTGAAGAATCATACGAAAGAATGCCATTTTATACCACAATAATGGCCACTTTGGGATTCTATTTTTTGATAATTATTGGCTTGGTGAATCATTTAATATTTACTCCCAAAGTAGCAACAGAGAAAAATCGAGATGTAAGAAATATTTTTTATTTTATTTCTTATTGGTATATAATATTTAAAGTTAAGTAATAAAGTAATAAAATAATAAAATATTAAAAAATATTCTTCCCAAAAAAAGAATTCACTTCAGTATAGTAGTGTATATAATATATGTATCTTTCAGTAGTAATGCTATCATCATCATTCATCAGTATTCAAAAATGTCATCAGGTTGAGCTTAGTCTGTAGTAAATTACACTTATACACTACTACTGAAAAATATTTTATTTTTATTGTGAAGGTTTTTTTAAATATTTATTATACCATATATGGAAAATATATATAACCACAAGTCTTGCTCAGGGTTTTTTCCAGATAAATACTTACAGCCTCATTTTTTTTTTGCTTAGGGTTATCCTCCATTGTACAACAAGTTTGAAAGTATATTTCTAAGGTATGTGTTTCGGCGAGTGAAAGATTGTTTTAATCGTGTAGTATGTGGTCTACCAGGTGGATTAATAGAAATTCGTGACAGAGTTACTCATGATAATAACTGGTCATTTGAGTAAGAATACATTTTTTTTTTTAAATGATTACCTTATTATATGTTATATTTTTGCAGGGTCTTAGATACAACATCTAAATTTTTGAATTTAGGTTCATATAACTATTTAGGTTTTGCTCAAAATACTGGATTATGCTTTGATGACACAGTTAGAGCAATAAAAAGATATGGCTGGACAATTGGTAGTTCTCGTCAAGAACTAGGCACCAACCCTTTACACCTTGAATTAGAAAAACTTACAGCTGAATTCTTAGGGGTTGATGATGCCATAGTATTTGGAATGGGATTTGCTACTAATGCTCTCAATTTACCAGCCATTATTACACCACAATGTTTAGTCTTAAGCGATGAGTATAATCATGCATCAGTTATCTTAGGAATTCGATTATCAGGAGCTATATCTATGGTCTATAAACATAATGGTAAACCAATTTTATAATATAACAAATTAAATACTCTAAAACGGTGAAGATTTTTAGAATAAAAAATGTATTTTATTGTTTTTATAATGACATAAATTAAATTAATTTTAGAAAATATTTTTCTTTTATTATTAGACGTGGAAAATTTAGAAGAACTGATCCGCAAAAATATTGTAACTGGTCATCCAAAAACAAAAAAACCTTGGGAAAAAATATTTATCATAACTGAGGGTATTTTCAGTATGGAAGGATCTATAGTAAAACTTCCTGAAATTATTGCTATAAAAAAAAAATACAAAGTAATATTTAACAAAAGGAATATTATATAAATCAATGATAATTTAATAAATGGTATTTATAGGTATATTTATATGTTGATGAAGCTCACAGTATAGGAGCTTTAGGACCAAATGGAGGCGGTGTTTTGGATTACTACAAGTGTTGTCCAAAAGATGTAGACATTCTGATGGGAACATATACTAAATCGTTTGGTTCTGCTGGAGGGTATATTGCTGGAAATAAAGTTTGTATAAATAAACTCATGTTTTTTAAACCTACTAATTATGTAATACTGGTTTATTCATCCAAAGTTTAATTATTATGAATCGCTATTTTTGTATGTTAAATAAACCTTGCGTAGACTCTCTTTTCATTTCTTATCAGTGTTGTTGTTTTTTTTTTTGAGCTCTGAAAAATATTTCTAGAGGGGGGTGTGGACATTTCTTTAAATGTATCTTAATGTAAGTTTTAATTTAATTAATTTATATTATTTAGTAATTTAAGAAAAAATTATTATACAAAGATATGTATCATAATACCTCATTAGTGTGAGGATCATTACTTAAATCATTAACAATGAATGTAGAAATTCTCGGTAGTAAAATGTGGCCAATACAACCTTCTACATTTTCAAAGAATATTCAAGTAAGACATTTCTAGTGTCCCTAAAATCCCCTATTCTAACCCTACTATTCCCCATTATAGTAGTTATGTACCTCTAAGGCATATAGAGTTGCACACCTAGAGTTACACATCTAGAATACAGTTAAAATAACATGTGCAATATCTACATCCATTGTAAATTAATTAAGGTAAAGAATAAGAGATTATTATATTTATAATTAAAATTATTTAACTAAGCAACTTAAAGTTTTTTGTTTAAATTTCAGGATTTAATAGATTATCTAAGGAAGAATAGTCATGCTTCATGTTATGCTATGTCTATGTCACCTCCAGTCGCTCAAATAATAATAAGCTCTATGTCAGTAATAATGGGAAGACGGCAGTGTGATGAAGGACAAAGACGAATTAATCACCTAGCAAGTAATGTTCAATATTTCAGGAAGAAGTTAAAAGCTATGGGTTGTATTGTCTATGGTAATGATGATTCACCTGTTGTTCCTATGCTTGTGTATATGATATCTAAAGTGGGGTGAGAAATTAGTCACATTTTGTTTAGCAATATACTTTATTCAGCACTGTAAATTGTTTTATTCAACTTAAAATGTTTTCCTATGTTTAGAGCTACAATTCGAGAGTTTAACAAGTACAATATAGCCACGGTTGGTGTAGGATTTCCAGCTACACCTTTGTTACAAAGCAGAATACGTTTTTGCATGTCTGCTGCACTTACTAAAGAACAACTTGATGAAGTAATTATAGTTTGTATTTAAATGTATTTGGTCAAAGAACTTATACCTATAGTGCAGGCGCGTGGCGGAGTGAGATAAGGCGTCAGTGTATCGACGCACGGTTGCCGAATCGAATCTCGGCCATTGGCGGTTTGTTTCTCAGCTATAAGCCCAAGAATGCCAAATCTAATCCGTCTAAGCCCTAATTGCCAGGAATTACGGATGTTAAACGTAAGAGAGAGAGAGGTCAAAAAACCTATACCACAAACGGCCCAAACATATTTACAAGCCCGTACTGGTCCACCAGGTGTGCCCTAACCCTATAGTCAAATAGCGCCCTGCACCACCATTTTCAGTGTCTCCCACCATCGCGCCCCAGTATTTTAGTGCGCTGCTACATGGTACTTGTTATCCACCCTAACCTTGCACAAGCTCTGCTATTCTGAGGCAGGCGTTGGAAACTAAAATACACAAGCATATAAAGGTAGAGGCTCAACCAAACATGTTCATATAAATGAATAGTATTTGAATTACAATTTTTTTATAAAAAAAAAATACTGTACACCTATGACATATCAACTGAGTGAGTTTCGGATATATCCACGTCGAATGTTTTGTGCCGACGTTTCAGACTCTTTGCAGAGTCCATCTTCAGGGCAACTCACTCGGTTGATATATCAATCCACGAAAGTTTTAACGTATTCATACCCATGACATAGTTTTAGTGACACCTCACAACCCACATCATGCTGCTATACTTCGCGGTCGAGCATCAACTATCATATACTTACAATCTGGGTATGTCATAATTTTGGACATAAAAACAGAATAAATACAAAAATTTGTTGGGCAAGAATACACACATATTTAAATAATTGAATTTTTATATAAATACGAGTATAATATATAATATATGTAGGTATATATTTTTCCTTCAAAATACCAAATAATTGTTGTTGAAAATAATTTAGTTTTATTTCTTCATCAATCATTGAACCATCGTAAACTATACTCTATAGTAAATTGTCTATAAAGTTGCGGCCAGAGTGGTCTGAAAAAAAAAAAGTAGAATATAATCAAAAAAGTAATAAAACTAGCACAATTTAAGCTGTTAAATATACGATTCGTGTTAAATACTAATGGTATGTCCTACAAAAGATTTGAAAATTGGCTACCAAATTATGTTCAATTCTTCTGACGTCATCAACTTGTAAGTAAGTTTTCAAATCAATATTTTGATTTTCAGAGTAGTATTGTGACAACCTAAAAAAAAAAAAGATTATATTTTCCAACTTAAATTTTTTTATTTTGGACCACTGAGTGCCTGTAAACATTTTAAAAATAATTTTAGAAGCTATTACAGTAAAATCAGTTTTTGTCAGTGAAAAGTATAATGACAGAATATAACAATTGATAAGTTTATTTCAATAAAATTCCGATAAAGTATAGCTTATGTTAAAGTAGATATAATTTTAAAAGTAAAAAGAAAACATAGAAGTTAAAATTTTTATGTTCAATATCATAAAAACTTTAAAATGATAAATTAAAAAATATCTCTTTATAATTAGATAAATTAATCATAATTAATTAATCTACGGTTTACAATTTTTCATATATTCTGCAAACTTTGTATTACACACAGAAATAACACATTTTTGCTGTGACAACATTTTTCATTATGGTGTAAAACATCTATATAAATGAATCCGTGAATCACGTGAAATAGGGAGGTCTAATTTTTTTTACAAATTTCAATGAATATTTGTTATACGAATACTTAACTAGATGTTGTATTTATACATTTTTTGAATGACTTTTTTTTTAACTATCGGGATCTAAATTGTATAAGTTCATGTTTTAACTTTTAACTACACATTTTATTCATAACTGTATTGTTGTTAATAGGTTCTTGAAGTTACAGAAAAAGTAGTGGATAAAATTGGCTTGCGATACTCAAGAAAACCTAGACCTACTACTCATATTCTGTATGACGATGGAATCTGATACTATTTTTATAAAAGCAAACTTTTTGAAGTAATTTAATATTATTTTACTAGTATTGTATATGACTAGTACACTGTTATACATGTTCTATTTTTGAATAGTCCGAAAATTACTTATTATTGTGTTAAAACTTTACGATTATTCATGACATATTATATTTTACCTAAATATAATACTATGAAATTTAAATATTTTCGTTTTTTATTCCTTATATATATATTGACAGAGATGTGCAAAATGGATTGCAATCCATAATCGATTACAGAGGGGAGGGATTACGGATTACATTTATGATCTAGGATTATTTGTGATTGTATACGTGTGCGGTGTAAACTGTAAACTAGGCCTATGTCTTAGACATTGGAAATTTATTTATTTATGCGATTTGAACAAAGTGGTAGCAACCTTTTCAAAACGAACACTTTGGTGTACACTTGTTATGAAAAATAATACAGTTTTGGTAAAACAAACAAAACTATTCTTATTATCAAATATTAATGATAAATGATAATATTATCTTATCAATACAGTCGAGATACAAACAAAGATTGATTTAATTATTACTTTTGATTTTTAAACTACCATTATTAAACAATAAATATTGTTAAAAGAATAATTTTTACCCTTTAATATTAAATTAAAAGAAATAATACATAATATAAACAAAATGGAAAGTATTTTCAACAAAGATCACGACAATGAATCTTCAAGCTTCAAAGATTATAGCCAAGAAGATATGTTTTTAGCTCCAGAACCAAAACGTTCAAATAACCATCAGTTATCAGACTCGTTTAGTAAGAAAAAGAAAGACAAAAGTAAAAAACAAATTGAATCAGAAGAGAGAGAGAAAATGCGGTAATTTATATAGTATAATATTATATTACAAAAGTGTAATTAAGCTGCTACATGGTGTTTTCTAAACTATTACAGTGTACTTGTATCAAACTTCACAGAAGAACAATTAGATAGGTATGAAATGTATAGACGATCAGTATTTCCTAAAGCTGCTATTAAAAGGGTTAGTATGGGAAAAGCTTGCAAATTAAGTTTTAAGTCTTATCCACTAATTGATAATGAACCTAGTATAAATACCGCTTACATTTTTAAATGCTTACGTGTTTTTTTTTAGATTGTACAAACTATAACAGGAAATTCAGTGTCTCAAAATGTTGTAATTGCTATGTCTGGAATTGCCAAAGTATTTATTGGTGAAATAGTTGAAGAAGGTAAATAAAATATTTATTATTATGCAAATTTGTAATTATACAATACCTAATAATAATGACTTTTCTAATTTAAGTGCCCAATATAAATTAAAATCTAAAATAATATTTTACAAGTTTATATATCATTTTGAAGATGAAAATATAACAAATCTGAAAAGTTTTTGAATATAGGTTTTTATTAAATACTAGTTCTTGCACTGTACCAAACTCTGTTTGCCTTTATAGATTATTTATCATATGATAAAGTTGCAAATAATGGCGAGGACTTGCCAGAAATCTTAATTCAAATATCTAAGTCTGTTGTAATTCCTTTTAAGCACTTAAGCCAATGTATTTTAAAATACGGATCACCTATTCAAAGTCTGCGAGTTAAATCTGATATTGATTTTATTAATTACCTTAAAGACCATTTCCTTGAACTAGTAGCTTTTCATTATGTATTTATATAATTATTGAACACCACATTTATCTACAAATTAGATCCCCTTTCAACTTTTCCACCCTAGCCTCTAGACGTGAGATGACTTATATTTCTTTTATTTACAAATTAATTGAACTTTATCTCCTCTTAACTGTTCTATTTCCATATTCTACTTATTGACACAACACTAATTATTAAATAAATTCTTCAACTCCAAGAGCTATGGCGTGCTGTAACAAACACTTTTTCTTTTCACTATTTAGCGAGATTCTAAATTTATATTTTATGTTATGTTAGACACATAAAATGAGTATAGAAAATAATTTTAATGTATACTTAGGTACTAATATATATATATTTTTTGTTACACAATATATTGTTTAATTTCTAAGCTTCTTAATTTATATAGCTGGATATTTGCCATTTTATTAATTTGAATAAATTATTATTATTATTATTGCAGTATAAATAAATTTAAAAAAATAATTACCAAATTAAAGGCCTATAGTTTTTCATCCAAACTAAGCTTCCTTGTTACTGATTTTAAATTTTCAGTTATAATAAACTTTAAATTATATAATAAAGAGTTTATAATAATTTCTTCCTGACCTGTCTGTGATAACACATCTACATTGCAATATAAATTTTAAATAAATATTTAAAGAGCTGCGGGCATTTCAAAACGTAATGACATTTTGCCTGTATGCCTAAACTTTCGACGGTCGTTACTCTCGACTTATCTGTTTTTCCCTGGTTCGAGCGCATAAAAGATACAATACGTCAATACAAATTATTATTTGATACCAAAATCTCATTTTCAAAAAAAAATTGACATTGATTTTTTTTCCCCGTAGCCCCTTATATACTTATTTTTACTTTGTTAGCCACTAGGATATTAATTATTATATCATTTAAGTCATTGGCAATTATTTTTATTATACATTTAGCCCTTGATATAATGGAGGCTCAAGAGGACTCTGGACCATTGCATCCTAAACACTTGAGAGAAGCTGTTAGAAGGCTAAGAAAACGAGGAGCTATTCCATCATCAAAAGGTAGAAAAACCCCATTTTATATTTAATTTATACATATTAAATAATTATTGAAATCATGTTTTTAATCAATTATTTGTTTTTATTTAATTGTACTATTTATTATATTTGACTAAATTGCAAAAGTGATGACTTATAAGAACTATAAAAAATAAAATTTATTCTTACTGCAAATGTGTATAAAATATTTGTTTAGGAATATATCATAGTTTATATCTTCCGGTTTTAGTTTATGGCCTTGAAGAGACCATACTGATACTTTTCAACCTATTTCCAAAAAATGAGCTTATCTTTTTTTTGCAAATATACAATTTTTGCAGATGTGAATACCAATTATATGTGAGAACTTATATTTAAAATGTTCCAGTATGAACTTCTATTATTAGAATTTGTATGAAACCGTTTTCACCACAACTTATACAACAGATTTATTAAAAAAAAGTTCTTACGACAGGTTTTTAAGGAAAAGTTATTTTGATAAAAATTCTTGTTGGACTTTTATGTTAAAAATTTAACTAGAAAAGTTCTTGTGAATGTATTAATATTACGTGCTTCTTTTTTTCTAATCTTCTATCTTACTAGTTTTCTAAGTTACTTAATCATACATCTCTCGCATCTTTTTCTGAGTTTAATAGCCTAATAGCAAATAACATTGAACCAAGGTTTTCTTACTTGTCGTTGACTCCCTATTGTTACTACTGCCGCCTTTTGGATGATGTTTTTTAAATTCTACCACATTGATTCCACCTCCTATTTTTTTATTTATGTGCAAGCTATATCTATCAGACCCCTAGGTTATTTAATTTAAGAACATCCAAACGCCACGCCTATGTTTCCTTTAAGACTCTTTTCCTTAGTACAACTTTTAGTTTACCACTGACTAAGAAGTGGTCTGACCCACGCCAGGTTTTCACATTCGCGTTTACAAGGATATGTTGTTCTGATTCACATATTTAGCATCTGGCAAGATCCATGTTTCCTTATGAATATCCTTGCATGGGAACATGGTATACTTCATTTTTAGATTTCTACCCGAGGAAAAATTGATTAGTCTATATCCATTATCATTGAAGACTAGATGCAATACTGTGACTTCCAATACTGGATTTGTAAAATTCTCTTCCAACTTTCACATTGAAATCCCCTAAGATTACTTGTATACAATTGGACGGAATCCTGTTCAGGGTATTTTTTTAGTAAGATGTAAAAACTATCTTTAACATCATCTTCATTATCTTTAGTTGGCGCTTGTGCATTTAAAAAAGTCACCCTATCTCACTTTAAAGGTTAATATGGTGAGTTTCGGGCTAACTACTCCATAATCTACTATATGTGGCACCAAATTTTTGTTCACTGCAAAACACCGCATCCTCCTTGACCATGCTGCCCACATGCTCCAAAAAAAAAAAAAAAGGGTTGTATTAAATTTTGTTGTATTAAATTATACCTTACTTAAATGTCATTTAAAATCCTTTATAATTTATAAGATATAATATAAAATCTCATATATAATTTTTTTAGAGTATTATATCACTTAACAAATTGTATGATTTGAATAAAATTGAAATTTTAGATTCATTCACGATTAAATGTATAAAGAAGAAAACACAAATTACACATTAGTATGATAAAAATTGTAATAAGATATATTTTTAATTTTAAATCGTATTTACATACACATTACACAATACCTTCAAATATTAATACATTTTTATTTGTATGATATTAGTTGTAGCAGAAGATATTAAACGCAAATCATAAGGAGACATTTGACATTCTTCGGATAGATATTCAGTTATTAACTCAATTTTTTCATCGTTAAAATCCAAAAAGTAGGTTGCTGTTATAATTATTGCAGCTGCTGTACTTATTTTTCCATACTCAGCAAATAAAAACTGCATTCTAAGGCCAAAAATTAATATCATTATAGAGATTAGAGCATCATCCTAATTATTATTAATAATTAGGGAATCTAAGTTCATGCTTTTTAAACAACCTAAATATGCAAGTATTTATGTGCTAAAAATTACCTATGTAAAAAATGGCCTCTCTTACAAGTCCATAACATCGGCACATAAAAAAAAAACGGATACATGCCAAAATTATCAAGTTAATATTTCAATTCATGAAATTTTTACTCATGTATATCAAGGTTGTGTTTTAATTTTTTTGTTAAAAACTAAAAATTTACATATTATCTTTTTGTATGAGCACACTTACATACCCATAAGTGATACATGGGTGGTTCTTATTTTCCAAATTTCTTTTAGTTCTATTTTGTGCAGTTGGGTGAAAAAAATAAGAATAGATTTTGTGCCATTTAAACAAATTAAAGTTGAGGTACACAGCGTTTGAATATTTAATCAAATTACTTCATAAAACAGTTGACAAATAATTATAATTTGTTAAACGCAAAAATAATAAAGTATAAATAGATATTGTAATCAAACGTGAAATTACTAATTAAATTTTATATCCACCCTTTTAAAATGAATTAATAGCAATAAGTTTCTACCAATTTTACACTTATTAATAGTTTCCAATTACAATAAATAACTATTAAGATTATCGTAGATGTATCTATTATATTGATAAAAACTTTAAACAAATAAATATTTTAATACAATTTTTAAAAAAATTGTTGATAGTGTTTTTTTGTTAGTTTTAGATATTTGTCTGGGTTCTTCTACTATGGCAAAAATTATTTTAGATAGGAATAATTTTATATACTCATATAATTTGTTAACACACTTTTCACTGTAAGAGTATTGCCTCTGTCCTATTTTTTTGTACTGCAGGTGATCATAAATCTCATTAAAATGTATGTAAACAAAGTCTGTTAACATTGTACACATTGACAGTAAATCAGTTTTGTTTTCATAATCAATGAAGTAAATGAAATACTCCACAAACAAAAATATTGTTGGCTCATTTAACTAAAAATATAACATAAATACAAGTTGTTGTTTAGAAAAATTAAAAACATACCAATACAATATATCCTTATTCATTTTATATATTTACTTTATAATCAATTGTATTAAATACATTAAATTCAGAACAAATAATACTTTTTATTGTGTAATTGTGTCCACATCGGTTCAAAATATTTTTGATTTTCTTTAATTTTCTTAGGCACTATAATTTTAAAAATAAGTACAATATGCTTAATTATTTATTTTTATTAACTAGTAAATGGATAATAGTACTAGAATGTGGGAAAAAATTCAACAGGGAATCACATGAAGAAGTAGAAATGGCTTCAATGATTAGTTTTATAAGACAACAATTAGAAAATGTCTAGGACATGTAATGTGTATAAGTGAAGAAAAAAGTATCAAAACAGTAATATCCTGAAAGCCTACAGTAAAGAGACCACTAGGAAAACTCGGAAAAAGGTGGTTTAAATAGATAAGAAAGAATATGAGACCACAGTAAGAAGACATTAAGAGAAATAGTGATGGCAGCAAAAACTCTTGTAGCGTAAATGCTCGTAAGAGATTAACACCTATTAACAAATTTTACATAGAAAAAAGTATCATAACATTAAGGGGAATGGAAAGCGTTAAAATTTTTACAAATAAAGACTAAAACGTGGAGTCACTTACCAGTATGTGTTCTAACTTGTCTACCGAACCGATTTCAACATTTTTTTTTTTTTGTTATAAAGTTTAACATCTACTTTACGGGGACTAAAAGGCCGATTTTTCATTTTTGTTTTCAAACAAAATTTATAAGCATTTTTATTTTTACTTTTTTATAGTTTTTTCTAATACATCCAACTTTTTTAATCGCTAAATAAAAAATTGGCCTTTCAGCCCCCAAAGAAAAAATAGTAAGCTTCACAATAAAAAAAAAAAAAATAGACTTTTGTCCAATAGATACACCAGAAAAAAACTTCTACAAAAGTTATTTTTATCAAACTTTCGCAGAGTAGAATTTTTTTATGGTTGAGCACCTGTCAACCTTAGTTTAAGTAAAATAAATATGAAATAAAAGAATCTACACTATTTTTTTTTTTTTAAATTAGCACAACAATTGCATGCATGTATAAAAAAGAAATAATAATTATACCGGATCTCATTTTTAGATAATTATAACATCTAAGTAATAATTTTAGTATATATTTATAAACTTCTTACAGTAGATTGTTGTGAATATTTTGTTACCAACTGCATACATGACATAATATAAAGGCATGATTGTTTTTGACAAGAATCTAAAACTTTTAGCCACTTCTTATTGTAATGTTTATAAACTTTGTAGTATTTTTGTAAAAAATATTTATTTAAGAACCTACAAAATTGACAATAGTGTAATTTTAATATGTTATTAGTTTGCAACTATAACTTAGTTATAATTTAGCCAAAAATATTTAATTTTCAACTATATTAAAAAGCAACTATTTAAACTAACCGATCAAATAATTCAACACACTTATATTTTACACTGTCATTTACACCACAGAGTTCCGCAACTTTGAATATAAACATGACCACTTTTGGTGAAATAGATCTGTATAATAAGATGTCATTCAATGTAAAATTAGTTCCCAGAACTTCATTTTTATACAACATGAACCATTCTCTATTATATGTTTCTGAAACATTAGTATTAACAAATGACATGATATCAAAAATACTTTTAATAATTAAAAGTTAGTGATATACAAGATAATATTATTATACTTTCGGCATGTTCTTTGTAATTTGTTTCACCAGGCCAAAGCTTTATGATATTAACATTAAGGTTATAGTTCATTTTCTTAAATTTTAAACTATATATGAAAATATGATAAAAATGTTTTTCATAATAAAAATTTAGGAACTATATTATTTTATTAATATTGTTGTATCATGTATTGCGATTTTAATTATCAAGTTCTTAGAGTGACGTGCATTAAATAAAAAAACACTTTCGATATTGTAAATAAATATAATTATTATTCACTAACACGAAATGAGAAAAACTGAAACATAATCAAGGAAATATAATTAACTGCGGACTGAGGTACCCTTACAGAGGTACCAACTATTAATATTCTACAGTTCCAAGAATACATTTATTACACATCCCGCTGGTCTATTTTTAATATTTCAGTTTTATATTGTCCCGTAGACCTCTAATTTTATTATTAAATGTTAGTTCTTGTTGTTGGAAAGAAGTGAATAGTTATTGCGGCTGGCTGAACTTAGATAGTTAGATGTAATAAATAAGTGATAACCATAACCAATATATAGTTCACTGGGCTATTTTTCGATGGTGCGGTAAATGTCGGGTACACTGAACTGACTACATGGAACGCGCATTGTGAAAATAAATTGGCTACACACGGATTCCGCCATTTTGAGTACTGTCACGGATAAAACGGTGTAATATATCACTTATTCCATGATAGAAATCTGATAACATCGTATAATCTTTTATCACCGGTTAAAAAAATGATATCAACAATATGAAGTCAGAAACCATCATCGAAAATCACTCAATAAAGTTAGATACGGTAGGTAAAATTAGAAAACGGACTCAAAATGGCGGCCTCCTAAACGGGTCACTTTTATTATATGGAAAATATTTAAATATGCATTATGCGCGTTCCATGTATTCAGTTCAGTGGTCGGGTATCGTTAGGTGGCACTGCGCTACGGTTATATTTTAGTAATGATTTAGTAATTTAGGGAAGGTAACATTGTGAGCGCTGCAAACGCTCTGATTGACGCATGTGCTGCTACACCATTTTTCAGTTTTCACACAACCGTCTAGTGGCGGGCTTTTTTTGTAACTGGCAACTGCTGTTAGTCGGCTGCTTATGAAAATGTCCCCTAGTAGGAGGCTGCCATTTTGTGTACCGTTATTGTTTTGTCCATGATATTTATTGTTTTTTCTATGATTTATCATATATATATATATATGACAGTGTTATCACATTGACCCACAGATATATATAATAAACTAGATTGCTATAACTAACGCACGATGTAGAGAAGATAAGGTGACGCCACTCCAACCAAATCAGTGGGTCAAGAAATTACGGCATTTTGGTAGTACAATTTTGTCACGTAGATAGCGCCACCATTCGCCCGGAGGCCGACTTTTACATGGAGCTAATAGGGTTTTTTACATATTATTATACGTTACTGTCATTTTTATTACTATATAAAAACATATTACATGTAATTTTATTTGATTACAGGACTATAGATTATATATTATTTTAAAAACCACAATATTCGTATATGTAGTCTAATTAAATGTACTATTTATTCTAATTCCTATTCCACAAAATACGTTTATAGTCGAACGATGACTATCCTTTTATAACAATATATGAAATTATTCTATACGATATATAATATAATAACACGTATTATGTACAAGAAAACAATTTTCCTCAACCCCTCCCTCCCCCTTCCTATATCGAATTTTAAGCACCAGAGAAGTTTTTTCAAATTGAGTTTATAGTTGTTGAAGGTCTAAAAAATAATTCGTTATAAAGAATAACGAAATTTCTCGACTTATAGTTCCGAAGATATTTTAATTCTTACTTAGGTAGCCGCAATTCCCCTTAACACTTAATAATTAAAATATAATTATTAAATTATTATTATTTATTTACTTCAAGTTCTAAATTACTTCATAGAGTAACATTGTAACAGTTATATAATAAATACCTATAATACTTAAAACACAATTTTTTTTGGCTCTAGTGGGTTTAAACCCGAACCCTTCCCCTGTAATACACCACTGTACATAACAATACATTCTTTCCGATTATTTTAATTTACCCCCGAAAAATAAGCATCGCTTGTGTAAGGAGGATATTAATTATTTTAATAAACCCCAATTAAGTGTCTTCGAAAGCCCGACTACCGTGTAGTTCAAGCCCAAATATACGTGCAATGCCTAGGGACGAAGTAGCGACATATTCTCTGCATTGTGTTCCTAGAGATGATATTTTCATCACAAATAATTGTTTATATTTTGTGTCTACATAATAAACCGCGGCATATATAATTATAAAATACTGTTGTTCTTATTCATTTTTACAAATAACATTCATTGACTAATGTAGATCTTTTAGATTTATAATTTATTGGCAATATTTGCTCTACTATAGTTTTATTCTATTACTGATCTAGAATTTAGAAATTATGACCATGTATACTAATGACTAATTAGTATTGGAATACTACTTTATATTAGTAGAGTAGCTAAAATAATAAAATAAATAACTGTGCTGGACAAAGACTAGATCAGAATAAATTTAATTTAATTAATTATGAAAGCTATATTCTAGTGCTAATATTTACTTTAATGCCGTTAAAAAACACAGTTTTCGCAATTAAAAAGTTAACAAAATAATTACTTATTACTAAATAAGACAATACAAATAATAAAAACTCCAAATAAAGAATAATTAACATAAAAATAAAACGTTTATTGTCCATAAGCCGTAGAAAGTATCGGCCTCCAGGCGAATGGTGGCGCCACCTGTACAGCGAAGCTGAACTACCAAAATGCCTGAAGCATTCGACCCCAGATTTTTACTGATAAGAAGTTGAGTGGTGTCACCTTATCTTCTCTACATCGTGCCTGAAGCATTCGACCCCAGATTTTTACTGATAAGAAGTTGAGTGGTATCACCTTATCTTCTCTACATCGTGAACTAACGATACGAACAAGGTGGATTTATCAGGTGTTAACACTCGCTACCCATTACCGTACGAAAGGTTGATGGACAATATCGCACCAGTTGAACACTCTGCTAGATCGCGTTGGTTACCCGATAAAGTCTCAACAATGCATGTACAGCATACGCAAAATTGATTTAAATTGAAGTTATTTACATCAAATATCAATTATATTAAAGTTTTATTAATTTTGGTTGTTGTAATACATTACGAAATTTATTAAAGTGTTATTTAGAATTAATTATTTCAATTAGTAATTAGTTATGCCCAAATAGGTACCTTTTGGCTTCTGCATTAATAAGTGCATACCTTCCTATACTGCATTAAATAAATATCAATGTTGAACTGAAATATTACTCAGTACAACATTGATAAAAAAAAACATTAAAAAATGGAGTAGTTCTTAAAATATTACGCATTTCTTGTACAACAATAGTACTAAAAAATAATATTGAACAGAAATTGTATACATGACAGCAGTAGTCAAAGGGTTAAAATACTGGGTGATTCTTTTAACGCCCTACATTAGTTTACTCTTAAAATAATTGCAAATGTGTAGTGGTTATTTTTGAAAAACATTTTGATTATACTATATTACTATATAAAACAATATTTAAATTTTTATCTTTTTTAGTATTTTCTAGAGCTTTATCAACTTTTGAAACTTAAATGGTAACGTAAATATATTTTTAACTTTTTAAATTAACAATAATTTGCTGAAGATGAAGTGAAGCTAAATTTCTGTCGGCTCTTGGAATTTTTTGATTCCATTTATCAATCATATCCTACATAATAATAAAACTATATAACTGAGCAAATTGAAGTTGTACCCTATGTTTTATTGCATAATATATGTTGGAATTCCTAATTTAGATCTTACTCAACTCTACCTTTAAACTGTCCCTAACTTAACTATATACAATATTTAAAATTGCTATTAAATAGATTGCTGCATGTATTCAATAATTATTGTCAATTTTTACTAGTCTATACTTGATATTTGTTTTAACTTTCATTAAACTGACTCATTCATGTTTTAGTCTGGCTAAGAAATTGTTAAAAACTAACTACTAAATAGTATAAAGTTCTGTACGAATACCATGTCATAAGAATTAAACCCGAAGCATCCTAAATCATTATCGAGTTTACCAAATATTTGAGTTAGCATAATATCTGCGAAGGATGAAACATAGATGGATATTTTTTATTTTCATTTTTGTATGATTTAATATCATTGGGCAATCCAGTATTGCACCCAGGTACAAAACATTTGTTGGGCATTATTTGGTTAAAAAACGTAACTAAGTCTTAAGTCTAAAAAAATCTTAATTGAACAACGTGTGCAGCATTAATCGCGCTCAAAGGGATGATTTTCAAAACAAAAGCTCATGTTTTTTGAGACTTTATCGGGTATCCAACGCCATCTAGCGGAGAATTCAACTGGTGCGTTTTTTTCAATCAGTTAATCGGCAGAGTGTTAACACCTGCTAAATCCACCTTGGATACGAATTGTAGCCGACGGTCGGTCCGCCATTCTGGTGGGATATATGTGTGTTACCAATGCATATAATAACAAACACATATATATATGTGATTGTTATAAACCACAGATATATATAATAAACTAGATTGCTAACTAGCGATACGAATTGAAGCCGACGGTCCGTCATTCAGGTGGGATTTATGTGTGTTATCAATCCATATAATATATATATCTGTATATATTATTATATCAATATTATATATATATATATATATATATATATATATATATATATGTAATTGTTATAAACATATATTATTCTCGCGTGATAAGGTTCTAATTCCCACCGAAATGGCTGCTTCTATCTTCTCTATTGGTGGCACGTACAGCTAGCAATCTAGTTTATTATATATATCTATGATGCCGCCATATAATATTAAAAAAAAATGATGATATTTTATGTTGTTACCACGATGATGGTTACTTTACATGTGTTAACCTGTAATTTTTCTTATCTATTACATGCATTATCAGTTAATTTCGGCAAAGTACTTACAAGTACTAGTAGATAGTATTTAGTAATCACTAATCATAGTTAATAATTCATATTTATTATTTTATATATTTAGTCACATCTTGAGCCTTGACGGCTTGATTGATGTGTGGCTTCATTTCTGTAGTTTTAATTTTAAGAATAAAGTGTCAATGGTTATTTATACAAAATGTGTGCTGATATTATTACCTCTATATGGTCTATCACAATTAAATCAAATCGTACAATCGTTGGAATTAGAAACACAACCTAAAACGGAACAATAGGTATTTCTATAAAAGTCTTATTGTTGTAATCGACGTTGAAGTGCTATGATACATAAGAGTTAATATTTAATTTTTATCCAGTTTTAAAAAGAAACACAGGTAAGAACATTTATCCTATTAATTCTCAATCTTTTAATTTAACATCCTTAAAAACCAGAGTCTAATATACATTTTAAAATAAATTCAGTTATATATTTTTCTATTGCATTTGATCCAATATTATATTGAACATTAATTGTAGCTACTATCATTGTATTATTCAGTAAATTATTATTCAATATTAGCATCACTAACATCTTTTATCTATCTAGTTACTATACTGATTCCTTATTGTTTCTATTTTTATATATTTTGTATATTTAACTCATAAACATAATATTATATAATTTTATTTATATTTAGTGTTTACTTTTTAAATATTCTTAAACTTAAAAAATATATTTCCGAATAGTCAATATGCTTAAACTAAACACTTTGACGATAAGCAACTTATATTTGTAATACCCTAAAATTACATTGAAATTACAAAATAATAATATTTTAAATTTATTTATTAAACTGTTACTGTCATTTGCTAATTTATGTATGTAATTTTTTTTACAGTTAAATAGTCAAAATGAGTTAATGTATACATAACTATGGCTGAAACAAGAGAGGATGAATCTCTTGTTGATTCCTCAGTGATAACTTCATTTACAAAAATCAGTACAGCATTGTTTTATGCAGCGGCATCTATGCTAATCACTGTTGTAAATAAATCTGTACTTACTAGTTATGGATTTCCATCATTTCAATTCTTAGCTATCTGTCAAATGTTTATGACTGTAATTGTGTTGTTTATAGCCAAAAGTTTAGGAAAATTAAAATTTCCAGACATTAATAGATATACATTTATTGATACATTTCCAATGCCTTTAATATACTTAGGTAATATTGAATTTGGTTTAGGCGGCACTAAAGAACTGAGTTTGCCAATGTTTACCATGTTAAGACGTTTCTCTATTTTAATTACTATGTTAGGTGAATACTATTTACTCAGCATTAGACCAAAATTATCAGTAAAAATTTCTGTAGGTTTGATGGTATCTGGTGCTATAATAGCTTCCAGCAATGATTTAGGGTTTAATTTTCATGGTTACATATATGTATTATTCAGCGATGTGTTAACTGCCGCTAATGGAGTTTTCACTAAAAAGAAACTAAATTCAAAAAAAGAAATGGGAAAATATGGACTAATGTACTATTCATCATTATTTATGATGCCACCAGCATTAATACTTATGTATCTCTCTGGAGATTTGGAGAAAGTATATAGGTAATGTAACATAACCAGATTTATTTTTGTGTGTACTTATCATTTGTTGTATTTTCAGATATGGCTATTGGTTACATATCCCATTTTTAATACAAATGTTTGTATCATCTTTTATGGGTTTTATCTTAAACTACAGTATTATGTTGTGTACACAACATAATTCTGCATTAACAACTACTATTATTGGATGTCTTAAAAACATATTTGTTACTTATTTGGGCATGTTTATTGGTGGGGATTATGTGTACACTTTGAATAATTTTATTGGAATTAATATAAGTGTGATTGGTAGCCTTTTTTATACTTATGTCACGTTTAGACCATCCACCCCTGCTCAGATAAAAACACCTGGTACCATAAACGTGTAAGACTTGTACACTAAAATCCCCTATATTTAATATTTATTTTAATTGTTATCTGTATTTATTGTATGTACAATTCATACAAATTATATATTATGTTTATTATGTAATTTTATCAAATGTATACAAATAAATAATATAGTTAGCTACCTTTCTTATTTTTTTTAGATTTTAAATAATAAAAAATCAAAATTGTGAAAAGGCATTTTTTAATCAAAATAATGTCGGTCTTTTCAATAAATAAAATTTCTTAGCAAAATGTATTTTTAATTAATTTAATTTTAATGTCCTTTGTTTTTTTACTTGTGATATTAATAATTGTGTTATATTTTCATTCAAACAGGGTCGACTTCCTTAAGAGGGCGTCGCACCGGTGATTTTTCAGTGGCAAAAACATGTTTCTAAACTATGTATTGAGCGTTATACTTGGAATAATGAAAAAAACGCACCGTCTTGCCCTCCGGATTATTATTCACTATTAATTTTATAATGGGTACTTTTACTCTAAAAGCAAAATTAAGCGAGTTATTTTTAGTCTGCTTAAACATGTAGAGATGAAAAAACATTTTTAAATCGCTTTCAAGGATACTGTGATAGTCCAGAAAATAAATTAGCTACCAAAATAGAGTCCTAGTTATTGAACTAATAATTACACATCACAGTTTAATCTTTAAATTAAGATTTTGTAAAAAATTGCCTATACTTTACTCCTTAAAAATGGGCGGTGTGACGCCCTCTTAATGATTCTTCACATGTTTTTAACCATCATTAGTATGCAATCAATTCAATTCAACATAAATCCATATCTTTTCTTGTTATATGTAGAATATATTCACTTTTACTGGATTCTACATCCCTCTTTACTAATATCTTGATATTTTTACTATGTCATGCAAAAATATTGTCTATTAATTTTAACAACTTTGAGACAGTCAACACAAAAGAAATAGGTAGAATTATAATTATTTTTATTAAATATTTACTTTCCAATAACAACTCTGAAAACATTGATATTTTTTGCATTAATAGAATTAGTTAAAATCTTCAAAGATCACTTGGAATTTGCCATAAGTATAGAGTTATTCTAAAAATAGAAATTATAAAGAATTTTCGAAATGATAATAGTCTTAAGTCACTAAAGTTTTAGATATGTGTCATCAGTACTTTGCCTTAAATGGGGATAGTGACACCCTTACACTAGACGGTTACTTGCTTAAATGTAAATCTAGTAGCAGTAAGCGATAACACTGCTGCCTTGCACATTTGGCCCATCATGCTTTTTCAATGAAAAAATCATACTTAGTTTATAGTATAAAAACTAAATATATATATGGTTCCCAAATATTATAAATAAAGGCTGTATAATAAATTAATAATACTATGTAATAAAAAAAATTGTAATTTTACATTTTTCATTACATTGAAAAATAATAAAAATCTGTGAACACAAGTTAAAATCTATGATGCACAGTAATAAAATACAAAAACGCACTTAATGTTGATATAAAAAAAAGTTAAGTTTAAGAGTACAAATTTAAGAAAAAGTCGAAGACTAGGAAGAATCTCTTAAAAAATTGGAAATATTTATTAAATACTCATTAAAACTAGGTACTTAAAAATGACATGGTTACATTAAGTTTTCAAGCCAATTAAACAAGTAATTTAGGACAATTTCAGTAGCCTAGGATTTAAAAATAACACTCGTTCAGTGTCAATTAAATAAAAAAATTAAATTACATCAAATACAGTCACTAATTCACTTTAACAAGTGCACATAATACCAGTCTTTTTATTGGGCATTTGCAGGGGGCACAAGTTCTGGGTTTTCTGAACGCATCGAATCAAGCTTGGCGAAAATTTTTAATGCAGGCCCCAACTTCATAGACATATCTCGTATGAGATGATCTTCTTTGAGTAACATTAACGCTTGACCGTCAATCTCATGACTTTCAAAGTCTGCAGCTATTTCTTCACTTTCAGTTAGTTGACCAATAAATTTCCTAACATCTTTAACCTGGAAAACGTTCACATAAATAGTTGATTTTAAAGAAGACATAAAATAATAACATACAGTCCATGTTAGAGGATTTATAGATGACAATTCTGTTATCAAATCAGTCTTGTTTTCTGAATCATTTTGCATTCGGTTCGGTGGATCGACTGATGAACTTGTATTACTAGAATCGCCCACTGATCCAATACTTTCACACTCCTAGCAAAAAAATCAGCATTTTTTAAATTTAATTTGTTTTAACAATATTGTTAGTAAAATTATAATGAAGTCCAATCAAAATATATATTTAATAATTTACTTTTTTTTTTTAAATGGCCAAGCACTTTGTCTAGCTAAATTAAATAAAGGAAACAGTAGAAAATTAAGGGCTTAACTGTCCCAAATATTTCTTATATTCACTCTTGGTATGCAGAAAATAACAATTATTTTAAATTTTTTATAATACAAGAAAAAAGGTTAATTTAAAAATATAATTTTATGGCCAATAAATAAATACTTTAACCTATTAACGCCCGTAGCTATTTTTTTTCTAATTTTTGAGTCCCAAAAGGGACCACTGGGCGCTAATAGGTTAAACCATTAACGCTGGAATATTACAACTTTTTTTTTATTGTCGCAAATAGTGAAATTTCCACTAGACTTTTATTTTTTAAGAATATCTTTGCCATTGCCATATGACAGCGCATAATGCGTATGGGTTCTAAGGGAACCGTTTTATATGGCATAAATGAAAAAACATTGTAAGAACATAGGAGCATAATATTTATTATGAAAAAAATTATACTACTTAAGCAGTTGAATAGTTTTTCGTTAGAAAAAATAATAGAATATATTTATTATTTTTTCTATATGAGAATACTCCTTTAAGGTTACACATCAACTTTTGAAGGAAAAGCCCCCCAAGCCTAAGTAGTACACCATAATGTCTAGCCTTTCCCCTCTTTTAAATAGTGACTCAGCTACGCTTATCTAGAACTGCCATCAATTTCATACTATTTTGATTAAATATTTAAATACAAGCTACACATAACTAAACACACACAACATATACATTTGATAATTGTAAAGAATTAAAATATTTAAATGAAGCCTAAACCACAAAAAATAACACTGGTATGACATAACAAATACTTAAAATGAGCACATTTTTAGAACTAAATTAAAAAGCTCAACATACCCAATTTTTCCCATTCTTTTTATCCACTTGACCATTTTTCAAATTATTTTCAAACATTTTAGAGCATTCTTGAGAACAAAAACGTTTCGATTTCTTTTTTATCTTAAATTTCTGGAGTTCTTCATGTTTTCCACAATAATCACACTTGATATTCTCTTGAGAATTTATGTCCGATTTAGATTTTTTATCTAAAAAAAAAAAAAAAAAATTCAGTATCAACTATAATTTAAGAAACATAATAAAGTATCAGTTATTACTAGGAGGTTCATCATCTAGTTTGATGTTTTCTTTATCTTGAGTACTATTAGCCATATCAGCCAGAGTGCATGAACGGTTTACAGGGAATGGTTGATCTGCCTCTTGAATGACAAATCCTTCGATTACATGAGTTAATACTTGTGGCTTTACTAGAGCCTTAGGTAATCCCTTGTCCCTACTGTTATCCTCATTTGTTGTAACTGGCAATGTCACAGATGAACTTTCATGTACCTCAGATGCTGAGACATTAGTTGTTTCTTGTGATTGCATAGCATTCATTTTAGAAGATTCATCAGGTTTAATTGGAGGAGTCATAACAGGCGTCGATTGAACCTGAGGTAGAGCAGGAATTGGAGATTGTACTGAAGTATGAGGAGCACATGATACAACTGGTATTACAGGCCTGTCAAGTATAGTAATTTGTTGCTGGGGCTGACTACTGACAACGGCTTGACCTTGTTGCAACTGATGAATGTGAATTTTTTGTGGAGAATTCATAGACAACGGTTTAATTATTTGTTGTTGTTGATACGTAACTTGGGGTGACTGCATGCTCACAATTTGATGATTTGGAGATTGCATGCTTACTAACTTTATTTGTTGTTGAGCTTGCTGTTGTTGTAAATGCTGAACTTGCATTGTTTGTTGCTGCTGGATCTGAGGCACTATTTGTCCTGAGCTTGTTAAAATCATTCTGAAACACAAATAATATAATACTTTAGTAATTGTTGATAACTAAAGCAACAGTTTTATATTTTAATTACTTGTTAGCGTTAACAGTTTGTTGCGGGGACTGAGATTGAGAAGGTTTAGTTTGATTGGTTTGATTAGCAGCATCCGATTTGTGCGGAGCTATACTAAATCCTTGACGAATATTGGTTTTGGGTCTTACTTTAAGTTGTGATTTTTGCATTTGATTCAGATGTTGTGTACCAGTTGATGTTTGAGTTGAAATTGTAGCATTTGGACGAATTGTATGGCCTGATGGTAAAATTGAAAGTTGGCGGTTTGCTCCCATACCAGTAGGAGTGGCGACTACTTTGGGTTGTATATCAGCGCGTTGTGATTTTATTGCAGTGGTCGTTCCGGCACTTACCATTTGTCCTATATTTTGCATGACCCCACCACTCGTTTGCATCATTGTTTGGCCATGGTGTTGTTGGAGATGTTGAGGAGGAGGATTTTGTATAAACATAGGAGTTTGAACTTGTTGTTGGCCGTCTTGCTGTGGAGTACCTAAATAAATTTACACAGAGCGATAATTAAAAAAACAATAGTTATTTATTAAAAACACAGGTAGTACACTTAGTAATAAGTTATCAATTTACATTAACTTAAACAAGCGTATACAAAGACCACCAAATGTCTTATTGGGAAACAAAGTTAAGAGACCCCATTGGGCAATTTTATTTTCGGAACATTATTAATTGTTCTTGAATACCAATTACCCAAATATGTTATATTCACCACTATCATATTCCCTCCGAGTCATACAATATTAATACTTCATAACATAAACATTTTTCAACAAAGCACAATATTAATTATTTAACATAAAACAAAAAAATTACCTCTTATAAATATTGGATGATTTTGTGTTGTTAATAGTGCTTGAGGCTGAGGTGTGGCCCATGTAATTCCTTGGGGAAGAGAAGTGTTAAACTGCCAAGGTGAAAATTGCATAGGTTGAGCATTTTGTTGTACAGTTCTTCCAGTAGCACAACTTGTATACTGAAAACAAATTTTTTTTAATGAATATACCGCTATAACTAAACTAATATTTAATGAAAATGTACAGTTTGTTGCATTTCATTCTGCTTCATATTTGGCTGGCTACTAATCACTCCCAGTTGACCGATGACAAGTGTTTGATTAGTAGTTGTTGGTATAGCAGCGTAACCAGCAGGAAACGAAGTAGCTTGTCCCTGTGATAATACCTGTTTATGTGCATTAGATGTGGTGATCATCTGCTGAGATTGAAATTGCTTATTTGGAGCTGCTATCACCTGTATAGCACCAGAAGGTTGATGTTGCAACATGGCTCCAGGCATAATTAGCTGACCCTGAGCATTATACTGCAAAAATTGGGCTCCCTGTTGAATTAACTGAACTCTACCATGATTCCAATCATTGATTTGTTGAATTTGGGTTTGTTGTTGTTGTTGTTGTGGAGCTGGTGTTTGTCCTTGCATAGGATGTTGTTGTTGAACTTGACCCTGTTGTTGAGCTTGTATGTTTGTCATTTGTACTTGGCCTTGTTGCTGTTGTGGCTGGATAGTTGAAATTTGCATTTGTCCAGAAGTCTAGGCAAATTATAAAAATTAGTGATATACATCAAATAATTGAAAAATACTAGAGAAAATTACCTCAATAGACGACATTGATGCTGAGGAATGTGGAATGCCATTGGTTCCATCTGATGACATTTGCATCGTAATTGTTTGCTGACCATTGGCTACAGCAACTTGCTGTGTTTGTTGTTGCTGCTGTTGTTGAGATTGTTGTTGTTGCATGTCTACCTGATTTTGAGGCTGTTGGATCATAACTTGTATTTGCTGTGGTTGTTGCATTTGTTGCATTTGCTGGGTTTGCTGAGTTTGGCCTTGTTGCTGTTGATTTTGTTGTTGTTGCTGTTGTGTTTGTTGCATTTGTTGTACGTCTGTGGCGGCAGGCTGCTGTTGTGCCGACGCCTCACTCATTTTTAAACTCGCTCATAAAAACTGTAAAAGTGAAAATAATATTTTGTTATCATATATTAATAATATAATTATGATAAAAAAAAGTAACTGGCAATATGTACTAATAGTACAAATAAAAATGGAATATAATCCTTATATATATTTATATGTAAAAGATCAGACAAATTATATGTTCCGATTTTTTTGGTGAGGCCTTTGAATAATTTCCCAATTTTTTTTCACAGAGTAATTGAAAATACTGAGTTGTACTTGGGTTTACACTATTCGTTTAATATTAGACTTTAAATTTACTTTTATATATTTTTAGATAGGTTCTTTTAGTTGAATTAATTTCTATCAGTTCAGTTATACTTATCAATGCTGATTAATCATTTTTTAATACAACTTGGCCACTAGCTTAACTTAGAGAATTCACCAGAGGAACGAAAATAAAAAATTAAATTATTGATATCATTACCATAAATATTTCACACCAAAACATGCACTCTTGCAGGCAAAAAAAAAAAGAAATACTTAAGTAGTAATAACAAGATTTTAAACACTTGGCACAAGATGTTATGGAAAAGAACAAGAGAGGGGAACGAGACGGAGGCAATATCCCAGATACTGTACGTTGCATTTTACAACAAGAGGCTCATAACCACTACCTGCTGGGAGTTGTTTACGACCGCTTTCATTTCCATCGCATTAACATACAAAACACACACACGCACAAACGAAGATACGTTAACCTGTGGTATCGGATGACGGCATTACAAACGGAGTCTACGAAAACCTCGCAAGGGCGCAAAACGGAATACTAGCAGTGAACACCTAACAGCGTACTGCGTACAGACAACAACAACATAATAATAATAACAATAATACACAATCAATGGACCATAGCAGTTAGCACCGATGGCTGTTATCGATTATCATGTCGACAACGATCCAGCGGCACCACCGCTGTTCGCTCACCTTTGAGTACGCCGTCGGACTGGAAAAACAAATATGCGTTCGCGTCGCCACGGCCGGGTGGTGGAAAAATCGCAAGTGCACCGTATAAAAATGAATTAAAAAAAAAAAATAAAAACTGATCATTAATCAATTGTTGTTTATCCCAACGGCCGCGTTCCGAATGATAATTCTGATGTTGATATTATTATCAATACCGTACCATGCATACTATATTATTATACCATAAGTATAACGGTACGACATCGTTTGTGACGACTGACGACAGCGTATTCACGTATCCCATTTAGATATTATACTGTATACAGTCCACAGGACTGTCGCCGTTCGAATTCCCCCACTGCCGCCACTGATTTATGGGGTCGGCGCGTACGAGGACGGAGAGGGGGATGAATGGCCGGCGGGTTGGCGTTGGAAACGCAGCGCGGTCGCGTTTGCGCACACCTCTCCCCTCCCCTGGCTACGGTCGTCATCCGGACTGACCAATGGCGGCGGCGCACCAATAAAGGCACTTGCGCGCGTACGCCGGATTCTTTGGGTGTAAATTGTAATATAAGTAATAGCTCGAAACCCGGAGGGGCTGCGCTGCGCACGTCGTCTGACGACCACGGGCCAACGTAGAGCATACACAGAGGACATCGGGACAAAAGAACGCGCAGCATCCAGCATCACTTAACAGTAAACACTCAGTCCGTATTATATCGTATAATAATGATAGCAAAAACCCCAGCCGACAGTACAATACAATAATAATATCATGTTATAATATTGTCTCTGCGACAATTCCGTGAAGCGTTCTTTGTCAAATAAAACGCGTAAACGCATTTTTTGCATTACTCATCACCGTCCTATTAAAATTCTCGAACGAGGACATGCTGACCACCTTTTCCCATCGCGAATCTTTTATCTCATTGTCTAGCAGCCCGTTTATAATAAATATTATTAGATGCATAAAAAGGTTGTAAAATCGCGTTGAACGCATTATAAAACCAGTTTTTAAATATTAAAATAAACCCAGTTGTACTCGGAGGTTTATCTCTATATTTATATAGGTACACGATCTAAACGGGCGGGTTATATACATATTTTTTTATTTTTAGAAGTACCAAACGGTGTTGTTTTTAACGCACTCTGTATATGATTAAAGGAATACTTTAAAAACGGCGACCGCGCTGACTAAAGATGTGTTTATATATATATATATATATATATATATATATACACATACTTGACAATGCATGCAAACGTATGATATGCGCAACGCGCTGCACGACTGCGGAGTACGAGAGAAATGAGAATTGGCTGGCGACGGTAGTGGTTATAATATGATGGTAGGTATATAATGTGTATAGTAACTACGGCCGGCACTGATCTCATCCAATACACGCTTGGGAGGTGGAAAAGTTTTACGAACCCACCCACCGAAAACCAAACCAACCGACACGCGCACTCTATGTCATTTATCGTGTTTTGCATTATACCCACTTCAAGTATCCGCCGTGGTTTATCCAGCCCACAGACGCGTATATGTGTGTATGCTTATGTCATTTAAATTTTGTTTGTTGTTTGGCGACAGGAGGGCAAGGCATGAATGATGGGGCGCGTATGCCGTAACCTATATAATATTATGGAGTATAGAAAACTTAATCATGGTTGGAACAAATTTTTCAAAAATATACGTATAGATACATGTATAAATACCTACATTGTTTTTAAAATATTCTTAGGTACATATTTGTGTGGTTACAACGAAAAAAGCAACTTCAAAATAATACACCTACTTATGTCTTATAATACGATATAGGTACATATAATAAAACTTTTTCAGTCCCTGTGGCATTTGGAAGTAGTGTGGATATATTACTACTAGTGGGTACCTATTATACCAACATATATCAATTACCATAGGCGCAGATGCAATTTTTTAATTTGGGGAGAGAGTTGCAAAAATTGATCATACACAGACCCATGGCGGCATCGCCTACCCACATAATTCACCGCAAATGCTACTTTATACAGCCAAAATTTCAACCTTTCCCTTTATAATCGAGAAAAATACGTTAAAATGTGCATAATTTTCGACTTTCAAATTCGGAATAGTATATAAGCTAAATAGCTATAACTTAGTAAAAAATCATGAAATTAGTTATTTGGGTTACAACATATTCTTTAAAAAAATAAGTCTTGTCTATTTCCTATAAGTTATATGGAATTTTGTTTATATTAAGGTCTTTTAGGGGTGGTTTTTGGGTTCAGGATTTAAAATTTGATAGTTTTGTGTGATGTATGCAATTATAAAGTACAAACAATTTCAAACATTTGTTGACTGTTGTCAGTTTAAGGAAAAACTAAAAAAACGTACGAGTATAAATAATTAGATACCTACCTACGTATATTAATTTTTTTTTTACCTACTTTCTAAATTAAGTTTTTTTATTGAAGCGTATTTTTTGAAACTTATTTCTTGCTTTTAATTATAATAGCTAATATCTAAAGACCTGCTACTCCCCTACAAGGCTATGACCTATTCTATTTTTTTGCTCTTAATTCCATTTCTAAGGCTTGTTTCACACATACACGGTTTTCCGTATACACCGTAGATACGTGTCTACTATGTAACTTTGAACCGTGTGGACTCTAACAATACATACTAATAGTATTTTATCAAGTATACCCAAATTAACATATTTTGTCACCTCTTTTCACGGTAAAACATTAATAGTCAACTGTTGTGACTTGTGTAACCATAACCATAGATATACAATTTATCTTCATCGAAATTTTCCTATTCATTATTATTTATTAGTACCTATGTCCTATCTGCAAGGGGTGGACACTCAAAATTTAACAAGGTGGATAAATTTATCACTAAAAAATGTAGAGACTATCTTCTTATTTATCAATTAGTAGGTACAATGTTATTTCTACACGTTAGATGTGTATAGATATAATTTTAGGATAAATGAGAAATAGCATAGCGGCCTCCATCCGAAAATCATTGTTTACATTAAGTGTCCTCTCTGATTTAATCTACTCTGTGGTATGTATAATGTATTCCTGGAATTCAGAACTAAAAATACATCTCTACTTCTGTTTGTAAGTATATGAAAGGATATGCTGTAAATCATTTTCAGTATCTAGCAAAATTTGCTTTATGGAAAACTGTGGGAATGGCGTGCATATAAACTAAAATATATTATGTAAACATAATTTTACTTAAATCAAAATGATTATTTTTTTTGCTCGGTATAAAAATATACTAGCTATAATTTTACTGTTAATTTTTCGATACTTAATTTCCCAGTTTTAAAGTATAATTTCTTTAAACCAATGCATGGTATTCCCCAAGAAGTCGGTAATGTCACGCACCACTTGGCAAATGATTTACCTAAACAATATTAATTATATATTTTAAAACTGGCTAATTAATTATTAAATTATTAACATTCATCTTATAGCCAGTATATTTCAGTGCGGCGGCTCGTGGTGCACAAAATAATAACTAACAAGCATTTACAATGATGTAACATGTTTTTACTGGTTTAAAATAATGTATCTTATTAATAATATGTAAGTAATTTATCATAACTTAATTATAATTAAAATTAAAATTTTTAGTTAAATATTTGTTTTATATGTAAAGTTGAGTCTTCTCTCTTTAGATTCAGCAAAAACGTCTATAACTTTATTATTAAAATCAGGAATATTCATAACGAAGTTATGAATATTCCTAAAAATATACTATATTTTTATACAAACAAAAAAATAATCATCACGATTTAAGTAAAATTATGTTTACACTTTACAGTACCTATACATATTAGGTTATATACACGTCATTCCCTCAGTCTCCCCTACTCTTATTAAAAATCACGTGCATGCCATTGCCCATTAGCCAACTAAATGCATGTTATTATCCCGTTAAACTTTTTCAAAAAATACAACTATAGTGAGGATTCAAAATATATACCAACATCATATGACTATATGTATTAAAATTAAACCTGAGATGGTGATCAACTAAATTATATGTGTTACAATTAAAAATAATGTAACACAATTTAACTTATCACGTTAAGCAAAACCAATTGTCAGTAGCAATTATACCGTTTTTTACGTTTGAGCTTGTATCTCAGAAAATATATTTTATTTTATTAATATTTTATCAGTGTTAAAATTATTTGGCAGTTGATAAGATTTATTTATTATCTAATCGTTTTTATCTAGTAACATGAACAATATCATAGTCAGATTATGAGAATTGGCAATGTGTTAGAGCCTAGTATTGCCCGATGCGCGACATTCCCCCAGTTTCTCCTATTTATTGCTTTTATATTAGTTTAATAATTGTGACATCCGTTGACAAGGAGCTCTTATTTTTATTGTTATTTTATTTTAATGGGTATAAACTCTAAAAGTATGTATAATAAACTTAAAACTGGTATGGCGATCGTTGCACAATACGAGTAACAAAAAAGCACCGACAAATTATGAGGTAATTAACAAGCTTTAGAATTTAAATAGGCTAGAATGTTTAGTAACAGATTTCTGATTTTACAATAATTATTATAACATATAAAATACACATGGTGCTTATAAATGCTAAAAGCGAATCAATTACAAACAGATCTGTGATGAATGATATAAAAAGTGGGGTTAGACTTAGTGGAACGAGCTGGAACAGGAAAATTTAGAAATTCCGGTCAATCGTTATTATTTTTTAAGAATATTATACAGAAAAATTAAATCTAGTTTATTTCTTCGCTTTTTAAAAAAGTTAAGATTTAAAGATCAAGGATTGGACTGTAGGAGGAATGAGGTGCTCTAGACATGTTGCAATTAAAACAAAGGAAGCGTATAAACGCATATACTAGACAATTTCCAATACCTTCTAGTTTTTATAGTTTAGTTAAGGCGAAAGTTTGATAGAAAATTACGTATGGGGCTAAAACACCGATTTTTGATTTAGCAATTAATAAATTAGTTCGATTTATTAGAAAAACTATAAAATAGTAAAAATATAAATGTTTTTTGAACTTGCTTAAGCTGATAAGCGATAACCTTACTGAAGAGTAGTTTTTGTTTTTGTGTTCTAGATTTAGTGATAAAAAGTCATTTGTATCTGTAGGTAAGCGGTGTTTATTACGGCAACAATTTTCCTGTGGACCTATTTACTCGATTAGCACCTCTATAGGCCGTGATCGTGTACGATTGATACTAGTTGGTGGATCAAAAGTAGAAAGAGTCAACTTCATTACTCCTAAAATTGGTACAAACCAAAAAAAAAACATGACTGGTCAATTTTTTTTTATAAACGATTTTTATTTAGGTACAAAGTTGTCAGCATCCACAACAATTGTTCACAATGGTGATTTGTATTGCCTTATAATGTAAGATATGTTGAATGTATGATTAAATCTATGCGATGGTATTTTGTAATATATTCAATGCTAAGAAATTTAATTTTTTTACTAGCGAAATTGCGCCCTTGTAGATAAGTAGGACTGATTTACAAAAAAAACACCTATTTTATATACTTCACACAGAGTTCAAAATGTAAATGTAAATTGTGTATATTTCCAATAAGTGTAAATCGTACCACTTACCACTGATGTTAGAATAATTTCTCCTTCACCAAACTTTTACCAAATGTTCTACTCACTTATAAGTAAGTATTGCATGAATTTGAAAAAATTTTCGTTCAGTCACATTTGTGTTGTGGGTCATTAAAGTAAGTAGTTTTCGGCGAAATACACACGTTTGGAGCCATAAATTAATAGCAAAAAGAAACTAGGTAGCTTAGGGGAGAATGGGGGAATACCAGTCAGTGGGTAATACCGGTCAATGGCATACCTCTTAAAATATGATAGCTAAAATTTAGGTGAGCACATAATTTGATAACTGTTGCTACCAGAATCTAATACCAGATGTTTCAAAATAATAAAGAACTTATTTCCCACCAAAAATTTTTTTTTATCACTTCTGTTGTAATATTTTTCCAAAACAAAACTCATTTCAAATTAAGAATTTCTAATTTTTTACTATGTTGACTGTATCTAATATATCACAAACTGGCAAGAATTGCATTTATTTGCTCATAATATACCTAAATATTACAGCTTTTAAGTAAATACATGTATTTTAAAAAAAATCTGATAGGGGTAATACTAGTCAAAACTGATAGAGTAATAATGGTCTAACATAACTTATGTAATCTTACCTAACTAATATTTCCATTAAATATACAATGTCTTTGAACAATATCATTGTATAATAAATCTGTACTGATAACATGATATTTTGATCATAATTTGTATGTTTTTTAGGAACTTTAATTTTTCCCTATCATTTTACAATTTACATGTGTTTTGGTAACTGATATTACCCCGCTATATGGGTAATGGCGGTCAATTGAAGGGGTCCGTGCAAAAACGAGACAACTCCAATTTTGGCCGTTTCCAAATAAGAAAAATTTGACGAGTATATCTGTGTAAGGACGAGACAAATCCGACCACCGGTATAGGAAATATAATGGAACTGGAGCTGTCTGGTTTTTTTTTTCCATTGAAAAACCAGATAGCTCCGGAGTTATCTGGTTTTTGCGCCGAATGTTGTCTACACTAAAATCAGTTGTCTTAAAGTAAGAATAAATAATATTAATAATTTTTTGATAAAAAAAAAAAATTGAAATAATAAATACAAAGTTCGGGTCAAAAAACAAGATAGCTCCAACAATTTTGGGTTAATTTTAGCTCACATCTCAAATCAAAAACCTTAATCAAATCACGTACTACGTCATCTTTTTCATCATGGTCTAATATATATTAATTGATATTACCATTAGTTTTACCTTAAACTCAATATTTTTAAAATAGTTTTTTTGTTTCTTGAAAAGTTTAAAAAAATGGAGTTGTCTCGTTTTTGCACGGACCCCTTCAATTGCACTTTAAAAAAAAAAAATTTTACTTAATTTTAAAAATCTGAAACACACACATAACACCTAACAAGTTTATAGTTCGATTTCAAGAGAGAACGGAATTTCTGGACTTATAGTTCCAAAAATATTTCTAGTGGCCGCAATTCCCCCACCTTCCCCTATGTCCTACCTAATCAGTTCCTATATTAATTATAGAGGAATTTGGGGTATTTAAGTTGTTATCATTATTATTTGAATTAGAGTATACAAAATATGCAATATATATATATATATATATATATATATATATATATACACAGTCTGACCTGAATACTGGCTGGTGGTGTTTGGATCAGACCGGAGTCGAGCGGTGCGCACACAGAGATAACCGGTGATAACCGTAGGCGAATTAAGGTACACAAATAATGATAAAGAAGTCCGTATGGTATGCGTAGGTGCGTGATGGTAAATCTCGACTCAAGAGCATAACAATAGTATGTAACGCGAATGTCATCTCAGTGTGTCAGCGCTCCCTACCTAATTAGGTAATTAGTGATGTGTCAATAGGTTCGGGGCGCGAAGTAACGGTCGGGTGAAATGTGACCGTTACAATAAGGTGTAATTTATTTTTCGTCAAGATATTATTAGGGGGTAGTATTTAAATAAAATTATAAAATGTCACGTGCCTAATCAAAATATATGATTTTGAAGTTGCTAATTTAAATTTTAGTATAGGTTTTAAAATGTACTCTAATAGTCTAATTTAAGGGTAGGAGAGGTACATTTTTATATGAATTGTAAAGTACCAAATAGACCTATCAAAAGGAAAAATATATATTTTAATGACACTGAATTCAACTATAAGATCAAATTTTTAACCCATTCAACATAATGATTATCTAAGGGTTATTTTATATTTAGAGATTCAATTACAAATGTTTTTGCATTTGAAAATAATATTTCATTGTAAATCTTATACATTACCTATTTGATATCAATGATCCCAAAGCCATTATGATGGCGTCCGACATATAATTTTAAATGTTAAATTAACAAATGTCTATAATATAGTGTATACAATATAAATTTTACAATTTTAAATTATACAATATGGGTTAAAGCATTAGGTAGCATACGCAACAAGCGTTAAGAAAACATTTTAAGCAAAAAGTAATGACCAATCAGTGACCTGCATTATATACATATGAAAGGCACAGGGGATTGGGGAAGAAGGGTAGTAGTCTAATCGACGATTTTTCAGGAGAGCAAAAACAAAGTTAGTTTGCGAGTACAAATCTGTATGTCAACCGTTTCCAAAGCGCAAAGTTGGCCCCACTATAACCTCTCTTCTACCAAATTGATTTCGACACTTAATAGTAGCCCCATTGTACCATTGATTGGTGTCATTATCAAGAAATTGAAAAAATAGACTAATACCTTTTTCCCCATTGTGCCCTTCATATAATAATTACATATTTACTACAAAAATATAAATTATAATCTCTTGATAGTAGGTCTATCCGTCTATGCACTGTGCAGTGACAGGGCCCCACTGACGGGCGACGGCTGACTGACTGGATAAAACACCAATACGTTGATAACAAATATTTTATGATAAATTGATAACACAATCAATATTTATAACAAAAACTATTATAATGTATTTTAATATTTAATTAACAAATTTAAAAAGAAAATGTACTTAAATTTAAATTTTAGATAATTTGTTTTAAATCCACCCAATGGCAAATGATACGGAAATCCTTCAGAACTTGTGGAATGGTAAGTTAGCTGTATGTTTTCAACTAGACGAACAAGAAATTCATGGTATTCAAAATCCTGAACCCATCTACTTAATGGTACCTAGAATGAGTTATTTTCCACTAGTGTGTGACAAAGTAAGACAATTGAAATTTATTTACTCTTTTATATGACACTTGTAATTTCATTTTTTTATTTAGGTTAAGAAACATTTTGTCAAACATGTAGACCCCGAAAAACAAGAAATGGAAATGTGGTTAGATTTTAATAACACTGCATTAAAATGGTAAGAGAAATACATTTTAATACCCCTAGAAATGGGTGGACAAAGTCCAATGGACAAATTAAGAGCAGCCCTAAATTTAAAAAATGGCTATTTTATTTATTACAGTACCTCCCTGTACCAGGTCTGGTTTATATTATATTTAGGTCTGAATATAATATAAATAACCTTAAGTGGAAGCGATCTAATCGGCAAAATTGTTCCTCAGCTCAGACAACCCTATCTCTTGTTCTCTTCATAAAAAGTTCTTGATCGATATTGTGAAATTTTAGAACATTTGATTTAACTTTTAAAATTATTCGCCATTTTTTCAGGAACTATCCTATAGGTGTACTTTATGATCTCTTTACTTTTAAAGACAAACAAGCAGAATTACCATGGCAAGTTACAGTTCATTTTGATAATTTCCCAGAAGATCAACTGATTCGATGTTCTTGCAGGTAACATAAATTTATATAATATTTACAAGTATAAGGTGTCAACTTCAGTTAAATGAGTATTGCCATTTGTTATCATTACTACTAGGTTAATATTTTATTACTAATGTTGCATCTTTGTCACATAAAGGTCTAAGTAAGTCTTTTAATTAGGAAGGCAAGAGCTGAAATCTCAAGCTTTTTTGGTTTTTACTTGTACCTGAGTAATTGGACATATCATTGTCATGAAAAACCCATCCTTAAATTTACTCATTAGTTCTATCCATGATTATAAGTTACCATCCACATCTATTACATGAATAAATCAGGCAACTGCCTTTTAAGAAACCATGGTCGTCGTATAAACAACATTGATGCCACTGAACTCAATTTCATAAATATTCTAAAGATAATAACATACCAACAAATGTTAATGCAATAAAAGAGGGAAATTGATTAGCAGAAACCTCAGACAAATTACAATAAAGACTATATCACATTCAAACAATTTTGATATAATTTATAACATGACAGTTCTTCGAAGTGATGTATTTCTTTTCTAAGAAAGACATTATTTAAAATAAGTTTGTTGGTTATAACTTATAAGTAACTATTTTATTACAAATCTCACAAGCAGCAACATAAGAATCAGTAAAAAAATGATAAAACATTTTAGCCAGGGATAATTAATATATTTTATTGTTTAATTTTCAAATAGGTGTGTATTTTTTTAGAGAAGTAGTCGAGTCAAATTTTATGTCTTCAATGAAAGAAGCGGATATGTTAAAGCATAAGAGTCAAGTTTTTTCAACTATGCAGCGCCACCAACATAACCAATTATGGACCGGACTGTTAAATGGTAGTAATTACAAAAATGATTATGTAGCTTCTGAAATATTAATTTGACAACATATAAATATACATACTTTCTATAGATAAATTTGAACAGTTTTGGTCAGAAAATAAAAAACTCATGGAGCCTACTGATGGTGCATGTTTTAAATATATACCAGTACATTTTTACCATTCAGGTTCTTTAGTCATGACCCAATCGTTAGTTAAGCCGCTTACTGATGAAGGAAATTATGTAACATTAGAAGAACTTATTAAAATTACCTATCCATCACTGGAAAAAGGTAAGTCTAATGTTATAATTCACTTATCATTCTGAACTTGCAGATTTTAATATAAATTTCAGTCGATATTTTCACACATGGGATACATATTCCGAATGATACACCAATACAGTGGATGAGCGAGCACATGAGTTACCTTGATAATTTCCTACATTTAATTATAGTTTAAGGTGTTATCTGTAAAAAAAGAAATACACTTTTGCCAAAATAATTAAAACTGTAAAATTTGATACGTTTTTGTAATATATTTATAATAAATATATGTATAGTATGATTACTGTTTTTATACATTTTAAAATAATTTTTTTAAATTTTATTATTAATTTACACCAGGAACAAACCGGCCTTTTTTTATTGCTTTCTTTTTAATTTTTTCTTTTTTGTCTTGTTTTCTTTTTAATAGATTATTTGTACGCTTATCTTGTCTTTCTTTTTTAGTATTTTCAACTATATTTTTTCTTTCTTCCCATTTAGTTTTACTAACTTTCTTTTGTCTATCCTTTCTGGCAATGGTTTTCTTTAATAGGTCAACATTATCTTTTACTTTTGTTCCTTCAGCTTTGGCCAAAAGATTCTTCCACGAGTCATGTTCTTTTAGTTTTTGAGCTTTGGCCGTTTCACCAGATTTTTCTAACTCTTCATATAATTGTTGTTTGGATTTTATCTCTTCTAGAGCTTGTTTTGCATTTGTATTAATGACAGCAGGTACACTAGTAGTTTCCGCCCCCAAGAAATTTATTTTGTTAAATACTAATTTTGCTTTTCCGTTTTTAACTCCATTTACTTTTTGAGTTTTTTCAGCAGATTTCTCCACTTCATCAGTAGATTTTTTTTCTCCTTTAATTTTTTCATGAATTTTTTTCTTTCGTTTTATCTTGTTTTGAAGCTTATTTTTTATTATTTTTCCTCTATAAGTGTATTTTTTTTCTGAAAATACAAAAAAAAAAATAAGATGATTATGAAAAATAGCAAATAAAAAAAAGTTGTATTGAAGTCAAACAAAACCTCGTATTGCTGCAAGTCTGGTGTGTAGTTCATCTAAACTTTGTGCTCTGTGTATTTCGTCACTGGCTAATATTGGTTCTAGAAATTATTAAAATAAATATTTACTTGAAAACTACAGTTAAAATTTGAATTTTTATAGTTAATAATTCATCAGCCTCCGGGTAAAAATGAGTTCATTTTTGCCAAAAATAGGGTTATGTCACCGTAAAATTCAAATTTTAATAAATAGGTATAAGAGGTTATCTCATTGCAACTTTTAAACTAACCCTTTTTACCTGGAGGCTGTCGATTTTTGTAATTCTAGGTTGCTATGTGTAAGTCAAACAGGTATTTGAAAGTATTTTCTTTACATTTTTAATTACGATATATGGGTAATAATGCCAATAATTATTGTATTCACCCAAATACTAAAATCACATTTTTAGCACACTATGTCATTATATTGCTATTAATGATATTTGTATTTTTAGTATAACAGATTTTCATCAAAGTGTTAATTTGAAAGTGATTTTACCACATTCAGTTGTAATAATTTATTTAGACCTATGACTTCATCTCCTCAATATTTGCTCTGTCCCCATTATGCACCAACCGGAAACCAAACTTTACTGGCTTTTTTATTTTTATGATACTTCTAAATAGGATGTATAAGTTTGAGGCATTTATAAAACCTACTCACACACACATTTAAATGACCCTTCTTTGATTACATTTTATTTTAAATAACCGAGTTTGATTCACACAACACCGTGAAATGGAATTTATCCAACCACATCATGCAATGTCTGCTTGTTTTGGCGGGCCTAAGGAATTAAAATAAATGTGGAAAATGTATACTTGGCCATAGGCCCTTTCAAGTGTTTTTACATAAATTAATATAATATAGTTTTTTTTATAAAAATAGATAAAATAAAAACCATGTCAACAAATTATGAAAACTTTTAATAACTTACTTCGAACTTTTATACTACAATCACTGTCTTCTGAATCTATAACACATAAAACAAAACATAAATTTTGTTTAAAGTTCATTTTTTTTGACATTTTTTATTTATATTTTTAATGTTTAACAATAAGTGTGTAAGGTATTATAAAAAGTAACTAACATTCTGTAATAAATTATTTTTTTAGAGTTTAAAAGCCTTATGTTTGTTGAAAACATTATTACAATAACCTAGATTGAAATAAGCTAGTCAAGTTTAAAAATGTAGAAACTAAAAGTTAAAAAGACCAACATTAAAAACTCTTTAGAAAAGTAAATATCAATATAATAGAAATATTTTTTGTGTAGACCTGTAAAATAGGAGCCAAATCTTAATAGTACTTACTGTATTTGCTTTAGGTCAACATTTCAATTGTACTTTAAATTTTAAATAGAAGAAAATGATAAAAAATTCATGGTTTTAATTATATTGTACTATTATAAAATTGATGACTTAGCACACAGATGTTACGATTGCACTTTTTGGCAAATGGTATTGATTAATGTAAAGGTAGAAAGAGGTTCCTAATAGCCACCTGCATTGTGTACAAATAATAGAAGACAGACTCAAACTCCATTCTTGAATATTTTTAAAAATGTTGTTTTAACATATCTGTACTATGCAATTGACAAAAAACATTGAGCAATTAATTATTCAAAATTGATTTTATTAGCAGTAGATAATTAACTTAAATATTTACTCTAAAAAAAAAAAAATTCAAAATGCACATGTTTTTTACCTGAATCTTCTACTCGCACAGGCAATTTCACTTGACTCAACACAGTACTAACAAACTCAAATTCTTTATTAAAAATATCTTTTACGTCTTCTTGTTTTAAGGAAGTCATAATGAGATGCATTTAAGAAAAAATCGTCAATAATTTTTAAGCTACGAATAACAAAACAAAAATTAAAATTTATTAAATTTAAAATGTGATTGTAAAATCTAACACATTATATTGATCATTATCAAATCTCAAATATCAACATATCTTTTTATCACCACTCTCGCCAACGTAAATTTGAGCCAAAGACCATATATAACTATAATATTGTAGATTTTCTTATACATTTTAATGGAGATAACACAGTTACCACGAATGTTGCGTGCTACGAATGACAATTGCTTCGACGACAATAGACACGAATACATTAGTAAATGTTACTGCGAAATTATGTTGCTATTTTTTTTTGCCGAGATTTACAGTTACATACTTACATCGAAGTACAATTTTTAATTACTGCTTCAAATTACATTTACCTTAATATGACTTATCAAAAAATCTTGATGTTATGATTTCGCTATTTTATAATTTATAGTAAAACTAAGTTTACTTAAACTCGGATTAAATTTGATTGATAAATTCAGAATTATTTTAATCTTAAACCGAGATTAGATCTACGACATTTTAACCGCCGATTGTTAAAATTGGTTTTAACACTATGTTTTTTTAATAATAACAATAATATACAATATACAATTTATAATAGTAATAAATTTACGCTATTGAGGTAATTTACAATTTGTTAAAATTAGTTTTATACAATAATATGTTTAAATATGTACAACAATATGCATTAAACTTAAAAAATAATTTACCAATTACAATTACAATTATAGAGAAAAAGAAAATAAGTATGAATAAGTACACTTGTAGTGTTAATAAAGGACCACGTATAAAACATATAAATAATAAAAAACCTAAGTTGAAATTGTTTATTGAGAGCACTCGACTAATTAAAATTTCAAAAAGTCAACATTTTTTATTGAATTACGCGAATTTGGTTTACTGGAGCGAGAAAAATCGTAGGAAGGTACATTAATATTCATTACACGAAACCAATCTTAATTTTTCAGGACAGTCTATTATATTTGTATAATTGATGATATAGGTATTTATTTATATGATATATTTTTGAATATATCATAAAAATTCCTTTTACACGAAAAAGGTGTAGTTTTAAAATGCTGTCAACATAGTATTTTACAGTCGATTCAACAATTAGCTTTGTTTTTTTAAAACTTTAAAAAGTAAACAGTATAGGAATCGTTTCTGGATCAATTGAATTTTGTCGATTTTTATAGAATTGATAGGGAGACTATATTATAATTTATAATAAGAGCATATTCGAGGACTGACCAAACCAAATTTTAGTAGGTTTAATGTATGTGATTTATGCGTTTTATATTGTTAACACTTTTACACAGGGACGGATTTATGGGAGGGGGCTCGCGTGGGACAATCCTTAGGGCCCCACACAATTATATTAATGTGAGGCCTCCACAAAATAAGTACGTTGTAATAATCTCTTGGTGCAGTACAACGTTCATTACTTAGTAGTAAGTTTCATCTCAAATTTTGGAATAATTGAATATTATTACATAATGTTTATTTTGGATGTTGCGGTTAAACGGTAACCGACAAATCGCAATGTGATCCTCCAGCACAATATTTTATCAAGTATGGAAAAAAAAATGTTCCCGAGCCTAGTCCGACACTGGTTTAAAATTAAATAAACGTTTTATAAATCATGACCCGGGCTTATGCTTTTGAAATTTACTATATAAATCATAGACCATGGATTAAACATTTAATGTTTTATAAATATAATACATATTATACGAAAATACAGTTGTAATATATTATGTTAAATAATAATAATATTATTAACTTAAATGAACTTTGTGTTAATCGTTATCAATAAAAGTATTTTTAAAAATTTAAAAGGGTACAAATAAAAAGTATATTTAATTTATTATTAGCTCAGTATTAATTTATAACGTCGGAAATTATTAATTGGTAAAACATGAAGTTTACACGATTACACGGCAAAGAAGATATATATATATATATATATATATATATTATATATATTATTTATATAATATAGCTATTTATCTAGCTTAAGAACATTGGACGTTTGATCATCTAACAATTTAAAGTGGAATAGTTGATTTAAAAATAGACGCAGCCATATTTAAACTAGTAAATGATTTTGTAAATTAATTTATGGTTTTAGAATAATTGGTTGTAAGTGGTAAGTGGAAATAATTGGTTTTTAAGATAACAGTCAGTAATGACACAATAAATAATATAATATTAATTGGTTCCCAATAATTAATCATTTGAATTAACTTGAGAATAAATTGTACTATGTGCATAAAATCATAAAAAGGTAGCTAATAAAATAATAAAACATTCTAGAATTCAAAGCAATTTAATTTTTTCACTCAAAAAATGCACAAACATGTTAATTTTTAAAGGCAATACTATAAATGATTATTTACAAAGGTTAAATTTTACAGACACAAAAACTCAGTCAAATTTGAACATATACTATATATTTATGTTTCAAGTTTCATTGAAACTAAAAAAATTACTTTTATCACAGCCGTATAGTTTGTCTAAATGTAAAAATATTAGTCAATACTCAAAAGTAATACAAATTAAACATTATAAATCTACTATAACTTCTTAATCATATTCTTAAGAGTCTCAATAAAATAGAACAACAAATGACCAATAACAAAAACAATTACCAACTATTATTTCTAACTAAATGCATTCAAACAAAATCCTGGGGATTTTAGGTCTTAAGTTAAATCCAATTGATTTCCCACAAGGTTCTTCGATTTGAAAATTAGGAAAATATTTATTTAAATAAATTTAACACAACCTATTATATTTTTTTACAATTTTCATTTCAAATCACACAAAACATTTTAAAAAAATGGTAATTATACGAAATTTAATTTACATTGATCATTTATCAATTGGTCTTTATTCTTAAAAAAACTATACTTAAATACTGCTTTGTTATGGATTTTTTTTGTAAACAAGCAATAATATAAAATAGCATATTTTAGTATTATTAAAAAAAAAAAAACTGTTTGTAGTTAACATAATTCTTATCACCCTAATGTTCATAACACAATATTATTATAACAATGATATATTTTTAAGTTAAATGCAAGAAGTAGTATGTTGTAAAAAAAGGATTATATGGTTTTGTTAAATAAAAAATAAGAAAATAATTAGTTGTATGGTTTGAAGGTATTGTTTACTCAAGATATTGTTTGCTGCAAATTTGTTGAGTTTAAATGCAAAATTAGGCATCTTCTTTTAGCGTAATAAAAATACATAAAATAATAGTGTTAGTATTATTATTTCAATGATATATAAATACTGTTAGATACCTTTTTAACATACAAATATTTATATTTGAAATCTATTACGCAAAAATTCCAATAACTTTCTTACAAACAGCAAACATATCTACAATAGGCCATTAAGTATTAAGAGTAAGTGTACAAAACATTATTAGTAATTTGTGAACCAGTCACAGTGCTTAGAAAAGTAACTTAAATTTGTAATTAATTGTAACTAATTGTAATGACTAGCAGCATTGACTAAGTTGTTGAAAAGGCATCACAAAATCTACTTTGTTCTTGTGTGTAAAACATTCTTACACTTTCTACTACATTCACAATTTCATATATCTAGTTAAAAAACATGTTACAATTACCTCTACACAAAACTTAAAGGTCATAAATCAAGTATCTAATTTAGTATCATGACTCATGATACTAAATTAGATACTAACATAATTATTTCACAAAGAAAAAAAATATGCGTGTAAAAAATGTTAACCTGTGTTTTAACCTAGTTTCAAATAAATTTATAAAAAATTGCCAATATTATAATAATAAAACAAAGTGAATGATAAAACAAATTTTAAATGTTAATAAAGAAATTTTACACTTCTTAGTAATTTTGTGATAGCACGACCTCTTAAAACATAAATTTAAATTTAATTGATTATATTCTTAAATAATCGACTTAAAATAGTTATTCTTTAGTATACAATTCATAGAGAACATTATATAATATATATTATACTATATTAAAATAAACTTTACGAATTGTTGTCAAGTCTTTTAGTTAAATTATTAGCTGCAATGACTAAAATTAAAAATCAAGCTTTCAGAATGAAAACATACACCCAATGGCATTGTTAAGCATATATTTATAATTTATATAGGTAATGGGAAATAGCTCATTAATTGGTATTTTTAAGCATTGTCTACACTAGCGAACTGCAAACTGCAACAATCACATAACATATGCATGTCTTTTTAATAACGTTTTGCTGTAATACAAATGTGATGCAAGTTTTGGGTTAAGCTCGCTAGAATAGACAAGAAATAATTATGTTTTATAACAAATATATTTAAAAAAAGAAAGTTGAGAGGAAGAAAATAATTTATAGTTAAGAACATTCTATATGTCGTAATCTAGACAAAACATTTACCTCAAAGTATGGAAAGTGTGGTTTACTAAATAGATTAAGAGAAATAGATATATTTTCATACTAGAACAAAACACGGCCAATGACAGACAACAAAGTCTTACAATAACTCCAGAAACGCATTATTAAGTTAAATGTTCTGTTTATAGTCTCAGTGATTAGTCTACGACTATAATAATGTGAAAGTTTGCTGTAATGTTAATTAAACATGTTTTGTTTTAAAGAAGTTTGTACTTTATAAAAGTTCAGTATGGAAAGCACAATGTTCTTGGTCGAATTGGATAACCGAGTTGGAGACGTTAAGTTGTGGTGACCACGTACGATGTAAGGAACGCGATATGTTATTTGACCAAGGCTTTGGAGAATTACGTATTCGAGCACGTTCCCATTCCATTAACAATGCATGTGTACGATGCATTCTTTCTAACCGTTGTTCTTCAATTGATTCTTTATAATCAGCACCCTGTTAATCAAGTAAGTTAATATGTATTTAATTAGGAAAACTTAATTCGTCCTATAAAAAACTAATTAATCAATTTCGCACCATTTCTATTTTTTCATCCAACATTTTGAAAAAATTAAGTTGACTAGATGATGGTTGTCTAAAAAAAAAAAAGTAAATAGTTATAAAACAGAGCTAAAAATAAAAATAATCTATCAGTAAAACACAAGTCTAATAAAAAAAAATCCTTAAATTGATATATAAATTAAATTGATTAAATAAATAGAGGTATGCATGGATGTATGGATAAATTGATGTTCATGTCCAAATAATTTATTTTATTTTAACTAAAGAAACTTCTCTTTATTATTAATTATCTCGAGAAAACCCAAGAATTTAGTAAAATAATACTAATACCCATAATATCATAAGGACACATAGCCCTTCAGAGAATTGACTAAGCGGTCTTTGAAAAATGTATGAATTATGTACATACAAAAGTTAAAATTTTCTTTTGTAATATTATTATTGTTAAATAAAAGTCAACAGCTGATCTACAAAAGATTACTACACTATGATTTAAACTAATTTGAATTATTCAAGATATTTGTAGATTTTGCTCATTCACTTTAACTATTTATTAACTTTTTAAGCAAATAATTTTAAGCCAGATATACAATATCTACAAAATCTTTCTAAAAGTATTTATAGTAGTTTTTATATGGCTAAAATAATGGTTTGTGTGGTGTCTAATGTACATTTTTGTGTCTGCATATAAGATTAAAAAAAAGTTCATATTTACGGATTGACAAATATTGTAGGAGATTGTGGTGGTGATAGGCGATGTTGTAATGGACTAGTGTCATCCACTTCAGATATATCACACAAGTTATTTACGGATGGTGTACTTGTCAACTGCATTTGTTCTTCATTATGATTTTCATAAGTACTTGCATCACTTTTTTCATCATCTAAAATTATTAATTAAAACATAGAGAACTTAAGTTTGATAAAATACACCCTCGTAATTTTTCACAGCACTTTGGTTCTATACCTTATTCAAAGTATAAACATACAACAATTAATAAAAGACAAATTGTATATTTTTATTATCACTTAATGATTATTTACAATCTTCCTACACGTATTCAGTAGTAATATAAACAAATGATTGTATTACATAATGATTAAAATCATATTACAACAGTATATAACAGTAGGCGACGGGTGCCGGTTACCAAGACAGCAGACATTAGCACCATAAGCCTATTATTTAATGTTTTAATTATGATTCGCGTCGCCGACAACAGCTCTATGGTAATGGTGCCGTCGTCGCACACAGCTCCTGCCGCCTACTATCATATACACGGAAAAGTTTAAAGTTTAAGTAGCTATAACTTTTGAACTAGAAGAGTCCAATTCAAGTTCCTTCGGGATACTTTGTTAGAATAGGGGCTAACGCCCACAAACTCTCAAAGGAAAAAAAAACTTGCCTGAATTAACCTGATACTACTCTGACAGCATCAGCAACCTAGCGAGACTGAACTTCAGCTACCATTTAAAATAATAAAAAATAATAGGTTAATGGTTCTAATGTCCGCTGCCTTGGTAACTGGCGCCCATCGTCTACTGTTCTATACACAGAAAAGTTCAATGTTCAAGTAAGTATAACTTTTAAACTAGAGAAGTTTGCCGATTTCTGATTTCAGATTTGTAGTCAACGTAAAAAATATTACTAGATGATAAAAATAAAGGTGTCCAGTAAAGTAAATTTATGCCACCATCTATCTATTAATTCCACATTCTTTTAGGTCTTAATAACTATGGATTAGTTTGGAATAGTGTAATAATAATCTAAAGGAAGCAATAAATGAGATACACATAAGTAGTTAAATATAAAATACAATTTTAGCAGGAGAGATTAGAAGAAAAAGCTTAATCAGGAAACATTAAAACACAAAACAATTAACTTAAAAGGGAGTTTTTGTAAAATGATTTACCGCATAGGTTAACAAATAACACTAAAGCTCAATTCATATTTGCGGTCTCGGATCGGCCTGGTCACGGTCAAGGATTATGACGTATTATTCACATTTACGGTCACAAACAATCAAATCTAGACAGTTGGCTCCCTTGATTTCTTTCCAGATATTGGATTAAAAATTTGTATCACAATATTTACCATGTAAAAAATCGTACAACACACTAGTTCAATTAAAAATTCGTCATCTATTGTGAAAAATGTAGGATACAACCTAGACTAGCGCGATGATTGATTCACACTAGGCAGTCTTGATCAAAAAGCTCGCGATCGTGGCGATCACGAGCTTTTTGATAGAGACAGGATCTGACTGCGACCAATAGTGTGAACCGTTCCATTAGGTTATGCACTACCGATTTTTACCGTATAGTGACCTGACCGAACCGATACCTCGAATTTAATGGGGCTTCAAATTATTTTTCCATTATTAGTATAGGTACGTATTAAATAGTATAAGTGTTATCTGCTAAACGATACTGTACAACATTTAAGGTTGTGCATAAACTACCTTTGTCTTTGGAAGTTACAATAAAAATTAAAAATTAATAGTTACAACAAATGTATTACCTGAATCCTTACGCTTATTTTTTTTCTTTTTGGATTTCTTGGTGAAAGATAATCCAAAATGACTTGGGCCACAGCCCATACTAGGCTCAAACAGTGTAAGAAATATTTGCTTTAAAGCTTACATTGATAAGTTTTGGTAAGCAAACTTTGCTTGGTATGTATAAATCCACATAAAACTGGACCTAACATTTAATACGAATTCAATGATATTCATCTATACAAATTTTTCAATAATTTACTGGAAAACTAATGTTTTCTATCGACAACTTTGGTAATTCATTATATACTCATTAATATTAATTAAAAGTGTTATAATATGTTATATCAGCCGTTTAATTGGAAAACCAAAATATATATTTTTTGAATTTTTTTTACGATACGGGATACCTACTAATATTTGTTTGATAATTGTTTCTATTCCGTCATGTTTTGGACTGATAACAAAAATGATAATAGAAATTCGGGAAACGTCAAACGAATAATATATAAAGGCTAAATCACAGAATAGTCTCGACTAAAAATGGCTACACTGCAAATTACTACGGCAGAATAATGAACTCGATTTAAAAATTGTTTAGAGCTTACAAATTATAAATTATTTTAAGAAAGTTCGATGTTGTCTGATAAGGGCTAAGGCCTCGAATTTAATTTAAATTTTAAAAGAAAACACGTTATAGATTTATAAAGTTCTCAATTAAAATATAATTAAAAAGTGTATGATTTTTAAGTTTTTGACGAAAAAGTCATTATATAGTCTTAGCTAATTGAGAAAATATAATAAAAAAGCAAAAAACTATGTCGCGGTACACGCGATTGAAGTAAAACTTCAACTATCATTACTGGACATTGTTTTATAATTAAGTAATTTTGCGACGAGTTATTATTTTGTGGCTGGTAAAAGTGATTTTGTTCTAGAATAAAAGACGTAAACCTTTGCCCATCATTCGATTAAATCAACAAAATGCATTTTGGTTATTTCCTTGATGTGTCGTAAAATGTATACCACATTCAATGTTGAGAGATCATTTTAGTTTATAATTTGAGAATAAGCGTTCGGAAAAATGTTAAACGTTTCACGGCAGGATTGAACCGTGGACCTGTTGTGTTAACGGCTAAACACCTCATATGACATAAAATCGTATCGCAAATTTCTGTTGTGTCTAGACTATAAGTTTTTCACTATTGTATTCTACCAAATTTCTATTTAGACACTTGTTTATTAACTTGTGTTTTTCAAGACTAAATAAAGTATCAAGTATCATTTTTTTAAATCTGCATTTTGAAAGCCCTACTAAGTAAGACCTACTCCTACTAAATATTAATACCCGTAGTGAAATTTGATAGGATTATTTTCAAATTATCTTCATTATACCTAGCAGCTTTAAAGATTTTTTATAGTCGTTAAGATAATATCTTAACATGATTTACATCTATTATAACCAAATGTTTTTAATTAGTCACTAATAAGTGTTAATAAGTCTTAGTCTAAGTTCTTATACCCATTTTACTTTTCGTTTCAAAATATAGATCCAGTGAGCGTGAGCTTAAATGACAGAAATATATTAATAAAATATTTTATATTTTAAAAAAGCCAAAAAAGGGAGTGGGCTAGTGGCCTCCTTTACAGATTAATAGATTTTAGAATTGTGAAGAACGCTGATAATATAAATGCATAAAAACAAAAAATTAAAAAATGTTCCAATTATTAAAAATATTCGTCGGATGTATCAAATAGTTTTCATGTATTATTAACTGAATAAAATAAAATAATATAATAGATATACACATTTATTTTTAAACAAATTTTATCGGAACTATTTAGGATGACTGTAGTTAACTATAAAGAAACTTAATAAAGAGCAAATTGCATATAACTTATAAGACAGTTAGTTTAGCTATAACTATAACCTAAATTTGTTATAATAGTGAAACATAATATAATGAACTTATAAGAGTAAAATATTGTATTGAAAAAACTCTTAGGTATAACAATTGCTTAACATAATTAGTACATTAATTAACTTAAAGAAAATAATCTATAACAAAGTCTGTAAGTATAAAATTGTGTTAGCTGTAGTCAAATAAATGTATGATATTATAATTATAACATATAATATAATAAAACACTTTTTAAAAAATATATATTCAAACATAAAATTTTAAAATTCTCCATTTATAAATGATGCAATTATTTTACCGACATACTTATCAAAACCCACAATATACAACATATTGCCTCTTCCAAGATTACTTTGTTGACTATGCTTACCATTAAGGCAACATACTATAACTCTAAAACAGACATATAAACATTGTATAATTTTAATTTATAATTATAAAAATTGAAACAAATGTTTTATGTTTTAAAAGAACAAAGCAAGTTTTTATTTTTTAAAGTTATATTAATTTTAAACAATTATAATTGAATAATACCATAGATTTTAAAATATTCAAATATTTCATGTGGGATTTCCACTGTTAAGAGTTACCCTCATCACAATTTATAGGTGAGCAAACGTTAGAAATTCCATTCTTGAGAATCATATATAACTACCATTTTTTCAAAATGATAAGTTTTATTGAAAAAAAACATTATAGCACGTAAATACAAGGTTATTAAAAAATGTACACATTCACCAATGCGACATGGTGTTTATGACTTTAAATATATTATTATTTATCATCAATAAAAAATAAATCCAAATATTACTCACTTCACTGGCTTTTTCAAGAATTTACTGTATTCACTCATTGATTTTTTTATGTTTAATAAATGCATATTATTAGTTCCTAAAAATACAAATACATCATATTCCATATTTTTTTCTTTAGCCCCATCTATCACAGTCATAGGGTGCACAGGTTTTACAGTAGTATCCTTATTGTCAGTATCTAAAGGTTCAACAGGTGGCTAAAACAAATGGTATTATATTATATTGGTTTTTATAAAAAATTCCTAATAATTACTTTATACAAAATACTCTTTAAATCTTCATAAGTTAGATATTTGTCTTCAGGAATTTCAACTGGATCATTTATTTTCCCAATGTCATCTAAACATGTTATAAAGGGTTTTTTGTTAAGTGATTTTTCATGCCCAATTAAAGACAATGTTATCAATGTAATAGCTTCATGAATGTGTATTAAACGTGTATAAGCACATCTTTTAAGTTTAATATATGGCCGACAATCATATGCTATTAAAATACGACTTCTTGTAGGTTGTAATAACTAAAAAAAATGTCAAAAATAATTTATTTAGATTGAATTTATTTTGTTCAAATAAATGTATTAATTACTTCTAGAGTTCTATTTATTAAATCTTTAGATAGCAGCTCTACTATTGGTTGTAATACTTGTGGGGGTGGCTTTAACAATGTAATAGTTCCAATTTGATTGGTTTGATTCTCCTTTGACATAATTGATTCTACAGTAGGTTTTTTTTTATCAGATTTTGATGACTTTAGTTCAATTTTCTTGTCTACACTAGATTTGGAATTAGACCTGCTATTCGAAACGGAACCCTGTTTTGATGGTGCAGCTTGATTATTTTCCCTTTGCTTTGACTGAACAATTACTTTCAATTTGTTTTCAGGTATGCTAGTGCTTCCATTTTCTTGTTTTTTTGTTAAGTTATTTTGTAATTGTACAATATTTCTAAAAAGAAAAACATTTCATTATGGCATGTAGTATTAATTTGTTTTGTTTAAAACGTTGGCTACCCGGCGTCTCACAGCATGACAAGCGTTGGCTACCAAGTTATTTTTGAGAAAACTTCCCTGTAATACTAAAGCAGTATTGTAGGAACTAAATAAGATAAAAAAAAACTCAATAACACCATTATGATCCAGTAAATATGAAAATAAAGAATAAAACAATTTTAAAACCATTCAATGTCACTTTTCTGGTACTCAAATGAAAACATAGTGAGAGTGACTGGGTATCTGACGCGTCATACGAAAAGTAGCACCGTTCGTGACTTCTTATAAAGACTAGCAACGTTCACAGATTCTTACAAAAACTAACATAGTTATGACTTCTTACGAAGACTAGCACTGCTCGTGACTTGTTGCCCTTGGTGCCAACAGTGCAAGTTTTTGTAAGAACTTGAACGGTGCTACTTTTCAAAAGACACGTCGGTGTATACTTGGTAACCAACAAAAGTTTTATAAAAATAGGCTCAGTAGCCAACGTTTTAATGATTTTGGAATCTATATTTTACGAACACAAGAGAAAGTCATCGTTTGACTGTTTAGGGTTAAAGTAAAAAAATTAGTAGAAAATATGGCAGGTCAAATTTTATTGCCTTAGAAATATGGCTACTGTGCCTATACATGAATAAGATACAGAGTTAAAATGCAATGGTATAAACTATAAGTAAAATATAATATAAACTTTAGTGAAATAAAAATAGTTATAACACAAATTACTTACGGACCAGTCCTGCTATATCTAGCATATTGAATGAACGACTCTATAGGATGTATTTGTTCTTTTTCCAAATCTTTTATGTCGTTAAATCTTAAAATGTAATGCCATAATACGTCATGAGGAGGTCTATTTATAAATAACTTCCTTTTAGATAAATTAAAAGTGCATTCCAATAGTGATCTAAGCGGCATATGCATTATAAGTGAAGAAATAATCTAAAAATATATTAAAAACATTATAATACAATAAAATAAATAAATTATTTCTCTTCAACTGACTTCATTATCATTTAGCATAGCTTCAGTATTAATTAATTGTCCACCCAATTTGTTCAGTTTAATATCTTTGTATAAATTCTCAACATTCAAATATTGTAAATTATGTATTTGTTTTAAGTAATTGTATATAAATGTTAATTCATTTCGCTCACGTTTTTCACAGTCACTTTCATTTGCAACTGCAATTAGTTTAGGTTTAAATATTTCCTCAACCTTTTCCATCCCATGAAGTGTGTAAATAATATATATTTGATGATCTGTAACAATTTTTTTGTATAATCAAAATTTTTTATGGATATACTTTTGATTTGTATTGTTGTACTTGGATTAGATGAATGAATATGAATGAGTTTCATTAAATCTTTATGGGTCCATCCCTCAAATTTCTGATTTATTGTGATTTTTTCAATGGTTTTTAAAGGATCTTCATTTAAATACCATTTAATCAAGGCCTTACGAAACCCTCTTCCAAAACCAGATAATTTTTTAGATAAAAAACCTGAAATTGTACTTAACATTTTTATTTTAACATTGAATTTAAATAAATATTAGTCTACCTTGTTCGTAAAGAATATCTATAGCGACTTTACTAAAGTAGGTAAACATTAGGAATTTCATGCCATCAGTACAAATTAATGGAAAAGCATCATAAGCCGCCTTTACCATTTTCACACAAGATTTATTTATACTTGATTTAGCACAAATAGCCAAAGAAAGGATTAAGTGTTCTTCATTGTAAAGTTTGCCTTCTTTATGAACCTGGTAGGCAAAAATAAATTACACTAGTTAAAATGAATTGCATTAACAATTTAACATCATTAAAATATATTTGTATAATAAAACCTTTAAAATGATTGGAACAATAGAATCAATTTCATCAGGTTTGTTTTTCTTCACAATTTTTCCAATTAATTTTACACCTATATAACATTCATAGTGAATTTTAGTCCAAAACTTTTGCCGAATTGGTGGAGGAACATAAATAGAATGTTCATGTCCCAAATAAAAGAACCGGCGCAATTTATACTCAATTAATGAGTATGATGACATATTCACTCAATTTATGGCAATAATAAACCTAAAAAAAAACTTAATTAATACTATGAAACCATATAATTTTAACCCTTTGTTGGTATAAATGTTAATAATACAATTAAACTATTCAGTATGACTGTCAATTTTATTTAAAACTTTATATTAATATTTGTTTTAGTTATTGTTACTATTGTTAATATAGTATTATTTCTATAAGAGGTACATACAGTTTCAAAACAATTTCTCGTTATTTAATGGCGCCGTCTATTTATGTATGTTAAAAAAAAGGTTGCCAAATAAATGACAAATCCCTTGACACCGAAACCGTGGATACTAACAATGAAATAAATGTAGGTAAAATTTAGATACCTATTGTTATAACTAAAATTTCATAAAGCTTATAGCAACTAGCTCTAGGTCAACCTAATAGTTCATTATTGTATAAGAAAATATCTATAATAAACTGTGAGTAAATTTTATTTTATTGTGATTTTCTAGATACTTGTTAAATATTTGAGTTAATTAGTATTTGCAAATATACTCACAAATTGCAACAAATATAAATACAACAAGAAAAGAGAAAACAGTGTTAGTTACTGAATCAAAATAGAATGAACAATTAATAGTGTCGATTGAATGAATTTGTATACAACTAATATGACATTATTTTAGATGAAAAAAGTAACGATAAATTTTTAAATTCAAAATGAACGTCATATTGTTTTAAAAACTTAGAAACAAATATTGCTTTTCATAATCATAACTCAAATGTAGGAAATAAGAATGACCAAGATGATAAGGATATCACATTTAAAGTAAACTCAAATGGTGGACACTGATAAAAATGAACACGGTAAAGATCCTTATCACTAAAAAACGCGTCGGCCATCTTGTAAATATACTAACACCATAATAAATTATATCAATACATTATTATTTTTAGTTCTTCTTCTTCTAGGCTTTTACAGGCCTTTAAGGCCCATCGCCGCAACAACATGTTGTCTCCGCCCCTCTCTGTCTCTTGCGCATTCTTCTGCGTTTCTTACATTCAGTAGTTTTAAGTCTTCCTGTATTCTATCCACCCATCTCTGTCTAGGCCGTCCTCTAGGTCTCTTAGTGTTGGGTTTCCATTTAGTTATTAAACCAATGATTCCTTTGGACCTCCAAACGTGTCCTACCCAGCTTATCCTCGTACTTTTTAGGGTCCCAATAATGGTAGGTTCTTTAAAAAGATTATCCAATTCTTCGTTGTTTCTTATTTCATTCTCTCCATCGTTATTTCTCTTTGGACCGAAGATTTTCCTTAATATCTTTCTTTCAAACACTTCTAACTTTTTTTCATCTGATTTTGTCGTGGCCCATGCACTACATGCATACAGAGCAATTGGCTTAAATATGACTTGTTTAACGTAATTTTAGACTTTATGGATAGTAAACTTGATTTGAATAATGACATTAGACTAGTATAGTAGCATCGATTTGCTGCCATCAGTCGTTTTTTCATTATTTTTAGTAGTATGTATAAAAATATAGTTATAATTTATTATGACTATAGCACATTTAGAACATGGCCGTCACTTTTTTGTTTACATTTAAGCAACCGTAAACACTATGTCTAATAAAATATATCTTTTCGACAGTGAACACACATAACACTAAACACATTATCTTCTTCAATACATACATCGATCAAATTTTCGATAACCTTATAAAGAGTATATTATTTATAAATAATGACTGATATAATAATAATTTAACTCTACTTTCATTCCTTTGATTTTTTTTACAGTATTTTGTGCTAATTTTTCTCTTAATTAATTTTTAATTATTATTTTTCACTTAGCTGTATACATGTAATATTTATACTATAACCACTATTTAAATATTATTCTAATAATTGTAAAACGCTATACCTATAATTAAGAATTGTGTTTATGTATTAATAAAAACCGTGAAAGTTTGCTGTCGGTTGGCCACCCAGGATTAAGTGCAGCACGCCAAATTTGGTTGTATACAAAAAATTGGTATCTTAATTTACCCGCTACAAATATGTAGTCTGTAGATGCCTTTTTTTTTTAATCTTCACCCAATAGTCTTTATTAATTTTTATTTGTTTTCGTGGTTTTAATTATTAAAATACCATAAAAGTGGGTTACTTGCACAGAGTATAGACCAGCAGCTTATATCAAAATAATATACATGGATTATAGACTGAGCTTCGGAACTATAAAGGTGTCTATGATCTATTCGTATCTGGATTAGACTTTGGTACGCGTCTATGGTATGGATACACGATTTTCAAGAAGTTCAAGAAGAAGGAAAAATCCGATATGTATCATTGTATACCGCTGTAACGTACAATAAACTTCTTTAACACTAGTTTGTATTGGTATGTATCGAAAGGTATTATTTCCTTTCTTTCTTCGCGCATAACGGATTTTTCCTGATACGTATCACTACAAAAAATCAATACGTACCGAAAAAGATTTCTTGAAAATCTTGATGTAATCTTGAACAATTTTTCGATTTCGAGTTCTTATTGGCTGTCTCTTCTGATTATTCTGTGATATTATTATTTATAAGTGATAACTGGTTATCAAAACCATTGATTAATTTACATTTGTATTTGGTATTTAATTATAAAATCAATGTCAAAACTAAACGTTTTAGAATTTAGTTAAAATTCATAATATATATTATATTTAATTTTTCAAACTTGTATTACCTATTTTTAAAATGTTTTTAAAATTTCCATCCTTAAAACAAACATTTTCAGCTGCTATTGTTGGTGTTTCAAGTTTTTGTTTTGGAGTTTTGTGGGATAGTAAATTTAAAAATCTTCAAAGTTCTAACTATGTTTCAACTTTTAAAATATTTGATGCTGTCAATGCTGATAGTATTGTTCCCATAGACCATCAAACCATTTTAACTAAAGAACAAAGGGTATCTCAAGTAAGATTATACCTACTATTATATTATCTAAAATAAACTACACAGTTCATTCAAAAAGTTTTAGGGCTAATTTCTTAGCTTTGATGTGTTAGTACTTAGCATCAACTAAGTTTTACATTAACTAATATATTAGTTTTACAATGATGTGATTTTTATTTTGTGACCGCAATAATTTTTTTTTTCTTTTGTACTGATTTACTTGAGTATTAACTCAGTTGATCCATAATTGTATGGAATTTGTACTCAGAAGTAGAAAAGTTCATCCCTTCCCCTTTAAATCGGGAAAACACACAGAAAATGTACATATTTTTGTAAACTAAAAATTATGGAGCTATACATTTTAAAAAAATAGTCAAATTTGTATGGAATATTCTTTACATATAGTACTATCGACAAATCAAACAAATATCATAAACCTTTTCTCCAAAAATAGGTAGAACTCTTTTTCTTTAATTCACTTTTTGTGAAGTTAGGGATTAAGATCTGATAATTAGTCCGAAGTTAGGTCTAAAATAGAGCTAAACAATATACAGTTTTCACAAAAATCTGTTGTCAAACTTTTTTTTATTGAGAAAAGACCAACAAAAATAGGGACAAATTACACTTTTGCTATTGTAATTACAGAGTGTATCTCCATACCCACTGTACTAGCTTTTTCTAAGATAAAAATAATGAGTTAGGGCAATAATTTTTATTCAGTTTTTAACATACGCCTTTTCTACACAAAATTTGAAATGCTTATTCAGTCGCTTGAAGGCTTTGGGGAAATCAGCTTCTGTATTGCATTGTAATATCCTTGTCACGTTTTGTTGGATGGCCCCACACCATCAAAAACGCTCTGATTCATGGCGGTTTAAGCTTTGGGAGTAGAAAAAAGTATGCCGAAGCCAAATCCGGGAGTTTGATGTATAACAGTAACTGATTTTTTGGCCAAAAACTGGGACTCAAAAGCAATGAATCAAAAGGGCGTTTTTGAGGAGTACTGGAGCAGTAAAACCCATTGCCCTGTGCAGTACCATTGTGCGGGTGCACTGGAATATTGCAGAACTACTTTTTGGTAACTTGGAAAAACCTAATGTTACTCTGTTCTGTCGTATGAATTATAATATGGCATAGTAAAAACTTGCATTTTAAATCACCACAGTTCACTTCTATGTTTAGTTAACTACACACATAGTGCTACTTTAAATGTTTATAAAAAGTTAGTCCCGGAACTTTTTGAATAAACTGTGTATGTATTATAATACTTTTACAGTGAGTTTTACCTGTTAAAAAGTAATCTATTTATTTTTATTAGATAATGAAATACGGATTTCCAGGACTGGAGAACGTACGGTCATATAATAATTTTGTTTTATCATATGATCAAAGAAATAGGATACCTCATTGGGTTTTAGAACATTTAACTCCTGAGAGTGTAAAATATAATCCCAAAGTTGATAGATCATTGTGTGACTTTTTTGAAGATACTTCTTTTCATCATTTTTATAGGTAATTTTTGTTATTAAAAGCGGTGGCTTGAAAAATCTATTTATGAGGTTGTTGTTTCTCATTACAATAAGGTTTTGATTAGTAATTTTTTTTGTTAATATTAATGGTAGGATATTGATATATTATTATTTTGATAGTTGTTATGCACAATGATACTACCACAAAGTGATAATAAATTTAACATTTTTTTTTTACTACAGTGTCACTGTAAGTATCAAGTAAACCTTTCTATATACATTTTATTTAACTTGATAATATTATTTTAACAACTTATGTTTTACTATTATTAAAATTTTGCACATGCAAGTGTGTACTCATAATAAAACTATTTAAAGTTTTTGTATTTCATTAACAAAATCTTCTTTATTGTCTGATTACAAAAAAAAAGTTATAAACAAATTATCATTGTTACTTAAATTGAATTTTGAATTTTAGAGCCACAAACGCAGATTATAAACATAGTGGTTTTGATCGAGGTCACTTAGCTGCTGCTGGAAATCATAAAGCTAGTCAAGAATTTGTGAATGAAACGTTTGTATTATCTAATATTGCTCCCCAAGTTGGTAAAGGGTTTAATCGAGATGCATGGAACAATTTAGAAAAATATGTGAGAAAAAAAGCTAGAAATAATAAAAATGTATATGTGTGTTCCGGCCCATTATTCTTACCAAAGTAAATTTATTACCTACCTGTATTATTTAGTTTATTCACTATAGGATCTTTCAGTAATTTATTATAAATGACCTTAGGAAAGGAGAAGATAATAAATTATGGGTTAAATATCAAGTAATTGGTGACAACCATGTTGCAGTTCCTACTCATTTTTATAAAATCATTGTGACCGAAGGAAATGATTCAAAATTCTATTTGGAATGTTATGTTATGCCAAATCAAGTAATTCCTAATAGTATACCATTGAAAGATTTTCAAGTACAGAACTTTTTTTAATTATAAATAACATTTAATAATAAAACCAAGTAATCATTTAATTTTTTGTGTTTTGCAGATGCCCTTAGAAGTTATTGAACGCGCGTCGGGCTTACAATTTTTTAAACAACTGACACTAGATAAATTTATAAAAATAAATAGTTAATGCAATAAATACTGTCTTAATATATTGTACAATATACCAAATATATGAGTAGTCTACTGCTGATTTTAAATTAAATTAAATTGTAATTATTAAAAGAATGTTTAGTTATATAAACCATAATGTCAACCTAACAGATAACATTTAACTCTGAAATGTAAATGTTCTATTTATCATATTTTATCAGATAGCTTTTATTTAAGCCAATATTTGTACATAAATACCTACAGTCTACACAACATTTTTTTGTATTTTCTCCTAGCTAGTAGATTGGTTTGTTAAAAAAAGGGATTCACTGTTTAGTGTCTTTTTCAACACCTCTAAAATGCTTGAAAAATAATAAATCCCTTTTGAAGAGAAGGAAAATCATAATTGTTAGCTTTTAACAAAAATACAAACCTTTTTTTTAAACACAACTTAAAATTTAATTTATTTGAACACATTCTAACAATATTATAATTTAGATATTAAATCACATATGTTTTAATTGTATTAATAGTGTTTCATATACTGTCCAGGACAATGCTGTCATTAATGTTCGTCTGGTCAATCGCAGAGATAGCCCTTTAAAATAACCAATTGCTCCATATTTCTGCAAATAATTATTATTATATGATTATAACGGTAATTACCAATCAGCATGGACTTCACCAAAAGGAAAATCAAATTTTACTAAAAGAAAGTTTTTTTTTTACAACAAGAAAACATTATAAATTACATTTTTTCTGAAATGAAACAAAAAAATACTTAGTATGATGGTACAATTATTGTACTCATCCCAATTTTGGAACTACGATGAAAATATCTGTTTTGAGTGTCTAATTCTATAGAAAAGTTTTAATCAATTTCGATATATTTTAGATGGCGGCAGCCGGCAACATTTAAAATTAATGGACAAGTTTCAGATAATTAGTAGTCATACTTGTAGTGAAAATTAACCAAAAAGTCTACTTGCCATCAGAATCCCACAAGAAGTAACATATTTCTTTTACTTATTATAATACATGTTTTATGAACACTAGAGTATCTATAAAGTAAAATTCTTATTATAAGAAATAACAAAAAAACAACATATTTGTTTTTTTAAAAATTTAAATACGTCTCGACTACCGAGGTCAGGTTTTGGCCTAGCCCCCAACTGGGTTCGGACATTCAACTCAATTTGTGGAATTGATTTACAAGGAAAACAACGAACATAAATTAGATATGTAAAATAAAAAAAATTGTTTAGGGAGGCCCTTTAGAGAATTAGAATCAGAGATCCTTAAAGTACCAAACTGACCATGTATAAAGTTATTGGCACCAATGATTAGGTACGTATTATCATTACAGTAGCAAAATAATAACAGTAATTGGGTTAACTTGCTTACTTGATTTATTAGTATTATTGTATCAAAAAATAATAATTTGTCTTTCGATAATTGCTGACTTGTTTTAATTACATCAAAAGGATGAGTTATCAACGAAGCAAATAATCCAGATAACAATCCACAACCAAAAATATAAAATGAATGACTATGGACAGATTCTGAAAAAAAAATATAGCGCACAATTTTATTTCACTATGATTTTATTAAACATTATTTCATGTTAGACAGGAGGAAGTCATAGCCCCACCATTTAAACAAGGAGTTAGGTGTAGAATATTTTTGCAAAATTTAATGTAAAGGTTAAACTATGATGTCTAATGATTAGTTCAGTAATTAGGACTATATTTTGGTAATTTTGAACTATCACAGCATATTTGACAGGTATTGAAACCATTTTTTGAAATCTAAACATAGCTATGAATATTCTCTATTATTGACTAAATAATAATCGTCGAAAATTTCTTATTTTTACATATTTAAAATAATGAGATCTTTATCTAGGTTCTCTCGTCAGCTTTTTATTTTTATAAGCCCAACATTCACAATTTATATTTTAATTCTGACATGTTTTTTCTTATTTAAGTAGTGCTAGTATTTAAAGGTAAAATATAAGTTTTCTAAAAAAACAGACCAGAGAGTCTAGTTAAAGTTCTTCTCCTTTTAACAGTATCAACATGTTTTTCCATGATCATTTCACTTTGACCTATAGCTTTCCCATAAACACGGTTTTACAATTATTTTTAAAGGAAGTGATGTCCTCTTAAATAATAAGTTTATAATTTAGTTTTCTAAAAATTTGTTTAAGAAATTTATCAACTTTTGAAACTATTATGATATAATCAATAGTTTTGATTAACAATTAGAACTACCATCGAGTATAAACTAGAACCAATACTCAATGGTATTACTTGATATAGAGGTTATTAGTAGCTAAAAGTGAGACTTAAAAAGAAGTACAACATATAACTCTAGTTTACCTTTACATATCTTCTCGATTTTTAATTTTAAATGCTTAAAATTAATTTTAACTTCAACTTGTAAATTGATAATTGGATATTTTTTCCATAAATTACAGATGTATATTTATACTACCTTCAACCTTTGCTATGTCTTTTAGTTTTACATAAGACATAAAATATAAAGCAGAAAAAGGAGCATCACGTAACACTGTGGCAGTCCATCCACGACACAGTACTTTCCATCCTTCTAATTTATAAATATTCAATAGCCCATCAGCCAAACTATTATAACGGTATTGACCACTCTAAAATAATTAAAAATAATTAGTTTAAAGTAAATAATTTATACAGATGATTGAATACAATATATTATTCTAATTAATCAGGCCTTATTGCAATCTATTTTTACCTAAAAATCAAATATGCTTCACATGAAAAACTCATGGCTTGTAGAGTGGATTGATTTACAATATTTTAATTATGTGTGTCAAAATTAACATTTGAACATGAGGTTTTTTTTTTAAATACATTTTTGTAGTTTTTAGTAATTGAATAAAAATATGGAGATCAATGCGAACTGTAAAGTTATTCTATTTCAACCTATAACATTTTTATCAAAATATGACCACTTTATAAGGTGCGAGTTTTTCTAGTAGACATTTTTCACAATTAAAATGGATAAAGCAATTATAGAAAAAGTAAAAATCATATCCTTAAAATAAATTGACATAGTTGAAATTTATTAAAACAGCTGAAAAATCCTGAATATATTATGTTTTATTAAGAAAAATTATATACAACTTCATTTTTTGTTAACAAGTATATTTTTAGATAGTTTTAAATATATTTTAGAAAACTTAATCTCGTAAGCTAATTACTTTTATTTTAAACAATATGACTTAATATGCAATTTATTCTAGCAAGTTTCCTTTTTTTTGTAGTAAAGTTAGGTATAAATTAGAAATGGAAGGAAAAACTGTGTTTAATAATAACTGGTTAGAATACATATGTATGATATCATGTGTATATGAATAAATGAGTTTTTCTATTATATAAAATAAAAATAGTCATTTTTTTGACAACTTTAATTTGTAGTAGTTAGGTATTATACTAGCATAATTATAATACTTAAGTCCCATTTTTTAATATGAATCTAATAATTTAGTTCATAAACATTTTCAATATTTAAATCTTACTTCTAATCGAGTTTTTAAAACTGTAAAAGGCATTAGTATAGAAGCAACAATACATCTTGAACTAAAACCAGCTATCCCAGAGTTGATCATAGAAGGTTGATAGTTATTGACTAATTGTGAATGTAGCAGTTGAGTAAGAGTAATGTGAATGCCAACTCCTGGAATATTACGTGCTAGAGACTAAAGAAAAGTTTTAGTTGAATATTTATTATTTCAGTTAAAAATAAAAAAATTGTAGTTTTTTGAATAAACTAGATTAAGTATTTAAGAGTATATTAATATTATTTTTTTTTGGAGTGAAATTTAACTATTGAGAATACATTCTTACTGCAGTTAGTCCTCTCCAGAAACCATAAAGAGAATCTTGTTGCCAGATTAATTTGGTTGCATCATTTATTCTTAGCTTGTTGTTACTAAAAAAAAAAGAGAAATAAATTAGCATTAAAAAATGAAATAATAATAACTGGTATGAATCTACTTTTTAGGGTTTTGTAACACAGTTTTAACGACATCAAGTGGCTGAAACATAATAGTTGAGAATAATCCGGAAGTTGAACTAGCAATCAATGATTTTACAATTGGGTACTGTTAAACATAAAAATAAAAAAAAATTATATTGTAAATATAAATAACACTTTATTAATTTATTGTATTATAATTTATATTAAATAAAATAACTAGGTACTTGTTGAAAAATGTTGAAGACATAAATGGCTGAACCATTTTGATCTATTGATGACATCTTGGTTAGAAGATCTCATAACTAATGTTATTATTGCATTCATTTAGTATACCTTGTACAATGTAATTTATCGAGTACAAGTGTTTCACGATTAAACTTTGAAGTGAAATGTTACATGATACTTACACGACTTTGTAACAAAGACAAATAAAATAAATACCAAACTCTTCTATATGGCAATATTGTTGTACTAATAATAAGTGAATAATAGTAAGCATTGATAATAAAAATCTCAATGATAGTGACGGGTTTGTTGTTATCTATAAAATTACAGATTATATTAATAGTATAATATCAAAATATGTAATACTATGTTCCGTGTCCCAAAGAGCAGAGTTGGTAGCAGGACAAAACGTCAAAACTCCGCCCGACAAATACCCGCCAAAAAAAAACCGCCTCTCAGTTACGCTAACGGGGAACATTGACAATATCTGTATACAATACACGATTATTAATGGTGTTAGTTATGATCCATCTTATTTGACTATATTGATTTTTAATTATGAATTTATATATTTGACAATTATTCTAGAAATTATTATTGTAATAGCTTTGTTCGTTTTGAAAAAAAAGTGTACACTATTAGTGTACCTACACAATTAGAGTAGTGTCTGGGTTAAGTGTAAGGGGTGTGACACAAGTTTTGTTTATAAAGTGAAACATTTTAAAAAAAATGAAAACTTAAATACTTATTAAAATAGTTTAACGAATAATAAGGTGTAATTCACTGAGTTAATTGATATTATGTAATATTTTTATTTACAAATCCCATAAAGCAAACTAATTTTAATATTTTAAAAATGCTGTCAAATATGTTTTCATTTTTTTTTTAAAGATGTTTTGGCGCAAAAAACTTAGTTTTGAACTTTTATTACGCATATAGGATATATTTTTGTAAAAAAGCATATGTTTCTACTTTGGACAGAGGTTACCTAAAATTACACGCTTATGAAAAAACACTTGAATTCTTCAAAAAATTATCAGGGCATCGATCGTGGCACAATTTATAAATTATTTTTAATTAATTAATTATTTCAATGTAAAAAACTCCAATATTGAACTTTTTTTAACTGAAATAAATAATTAACAAAAAAATAATTTTAAAATTATGCCACGATTAATGCCTTGAAAATGTTGTGAAGAATTACATATATTTTCAAAACTAAAATTGGAGTATTCTTAAAAAAAGTACGTTTGAAGTAGAAACACATGTTTTTGTACAACAATAGATCCTACATGCGGTATAAAAATTGAAAAAAAATAATGTGACAAACAACATTTCATGTCATCGTTTATACGTTATGATTTTCTCTTTATTTAAACGAAGGAGCAACAATTCGTTACAGTTAAATTATTATCTACACATAAGTCGTCAAATAAAGTATTATTTTTTATGATATTTACATTTAAATATTTCATGTAACTCTGGTTTAGTAATTTAGGATAGGCTCAATAAAAGAGAGATGATGAACCAGCTTAGAAATGTCATTGCCGATATTTAATATAGAATAATAACTACTTTGTGTCTGGAAAACTATAATTAATTGCATTGTATGGCAGTTACGTCAATAAAACCCCAAAAATTATGCACTAGTAAATTCGATTTGTAGTATAATTACCTGTTATGCGAAATGCGAATATATGATTATAAACAGGGTAATCAAAAATATTAAACGTTTTACTTTACAGTAATGTTTTTATGACGGGTTGGAAAAAGTGGGGTTAGGTGGAAAATGTAATAGACTAATATAAAAATATAGGGATAGTGACGAGTGGTCAAAAGACGAATGCTTCGGCACACAATGATTTAAGTTTAATAAAAATTATTCCTAAAGCACTGGAACATATTTTGTAAGTGAGTTTTAAATTCAAATTAGAAGCAGTAAATCGCTCAGAATATTGATATCAGGCTGATTGTCTTTTTTTTTATTGTACGTATGCATTTCGTCCTGTTTTATTTGCTTGTTAGTTCAATTATATAAGTATTTAATACTTAAATATATTAATTTAACTATGAATCCTTTAGAAACGCTAATTCGACGTTGGAAAGTTATGGTGAAAATGAGTTGCTAAAACAAAGTAAGCCTGGTTGGTATATTACGGGTGTAATTAATATTTTTCACCTCAGTAAAAAATATATGCTAAACCCGCCACTGGTCAATGTCGCTATTTATATAATTAAGACTATAGTTAATCGTAGATATTCCAATAATAATTAAAACTACAATTGGTAGATGTCCATTGCATCATTACTTATAAGTTATAAATTATAATGAAATACTTATTATCGAAGATATTATTATTTCTTTATTTTTATGGTCATTATACTTATCCTTTTATTTAACTACTCTTAAACAGAATTTAGCTATTAAATTTCATTTTCATATTGGATTTTGTCTAATATTTCATATTGATAATTTAACTAGTATTAAAAATTAAATAAGATTTGTAATAATATATAACATATATTTTGTAAGTACCTATACAAAATACTATCTTTGTCATTTGTAGTCAACAATGGCGAATACAGACTTGCATTTAATAGTAAGTGTTTTAGAATATAAATATAAACATGATCTTCATGAATTTCAAGTTACTTATAAAATACAACAATCTGGCACTAATTGTTTGTTAAGAGGGTGCCACACACCCGTTATTTTCTTAAAAAAACCCGCCTTGCGCGGATTAATTTTACAAAAGCTGTAATCAAAACTAAGAAACCAAATTTTCTCAACGTACATCAATAGGACTATGTCTGCCAACTCATTAAAGACTATTAAGAACTAATTAAGACTACAAAACTTGATAGTGGCGGCTTATGTCAAAGATTATTTCATAACACCAACATAAATTCTGATAACTATAAACTTTAACTGTTGTTATTATTATTGACATCCGAGTATTGTATCTTGTGTTTAGATTAGTCAAGTCCTTGGTCTTGACTAATCAGTCTGTGTGCTCGTCTCGTGCAAACTAGGCTTAAGAAATAGGGTCTTACGTCAGGAAAGAGTTGTTCTGCGCAGTTACCGTTATATTTGTAACATAATTTATATAAGTAATAGATGAATTGGTATTCGTTAAATGACATGTTAATGGTAGAAAATGTTACAATATTATAGTAATTTCTTTGTCACTTTCGAGGACTAACCGACAGCCGACCTGCTCATCAGTCATGAAATCTTAGGTCACAATGGTGAAGAATAAAAAGAGGCATAGGCCAACATTTTTTAACCTGTCTGCAATAGATATAATATTACAGTCTGGTTATCTAAATTGTTTTTATTTTTTGAAAATTTAAAAGTATAATAACTTGTTTTTTATTTTTTTATTTTGTACATTTATTTTTAATGTTATAATGTAATAAAATGTATATTACATTAATCAAAGTTGTTTTCGTTAACTTATAAAATTGTATATGAGCATGTGTTGTTCAACTCGCTTGTTTTTTTTAACTAATCGGTTTTGTAATTTAGTTTATTGCACTATAGTATATTTATAATAATTAATTTAAATTAATTGTGCTAGTGTTTGTATCAAGTTATTCGTGTTATTTACATCTACCTTGTGATCAAAGTCACGCGACTCGCACGTATAAATACAACAATCGCGACTACCATCTTTTCCCTGCATCACCACAGTGTTTATTAACATACCTACTTATATGAACAACAGGCTAAAATAGCTGGCACTGAAAGTTCATGGATTAGAATGACTTAACTGAATGGTCCAAAAAGTAGCTAGATGTACTACAAATATAAACTACATTTTAAAGAATTGAAATTACATTTTTTTTTTGTATATTTTTTCAAATATTTAGGCTTTTTTTTATTTTTTGTACATTTATTATTTTCGATACTAACAGCATATTTTGTATTTAAAATTTATTTTTATCTAAATATACCAATAAAATAGTAAAACTATAGATTTTTTTTTTTGGAAAATTAGAGAATTGTGCGGTGTACCATAAATAAATATTATCAGACGAAAAAAAATTGTTTAGTATAGGCCATTTTCAGCTCATAAATGCATGGATATTTTGGTTATATTTAGAACATAACTTTTAGGCTCTATTATCCTAAATAATGAAATTCTACCCTGTCCTATTAATAACTGTTATATGTTTTTAGGACAATGAAAATAAAGCTAAATGACATTTAATAGACAATATTACATCCAATTAAATTTCTTTTGTAGACTGTAGTCCTATACAGTTAAATAAGATTAAACTAACCAATTAGCTACCTACATTCTTCGCGACTACAATTGTGAATTTTTCATACTTTTACCAACTTCTTATGCGTGATAATATAATTAGAAATACTTCATGTATTTTATTTAAAATAAATAACTCATTCAACTAAAACACACAAACAGTGGATATTTACAACATTTTAGATCATGACGATTTCATAATAAGTTCAGCAACTTTTTTGTTTTCTAACATTGTGTAGTGATTTCCTTCGACAAAGTGGACAATGACTGGTGTTTCAAAATACTGTAGGATAAAAATAAATTTGTTATGCATTTAAATAGTTTCTAAATTATTAGTAGTTTAACAGTTATTACCTTTGAGAGTCCATAGTCTTCAGTTATTGGAAGACTGAATTCGTCTGGACGTATCAATAGAGCAGGTGTCTTTAAATTACCATTCGGGTTTTCTTTATAAGAGATAATTGCTTGTATTTTGTAGTAGACGCTTGTCAGTAATATTTTTTGGTATTCTTGGCTATAATATGAGTCTTCGGGAGATTTACTTATCAAGAAATTCAAGCGTTCTTCCCATGTATTGAGACTGTAAAGCTCAGCTTCATACTAAAACAAATAACCATTAGAAAAAAATATATCATTCACCTTAAGACTAATAAAACGTACTTTTGACTTGTCTGTTGGCCAAACTAAATCGAGGAATCTCATTATTAGTTTTACTTGTGTTTCGTGCTCTTGTGATCTTTCACCTCTAAGCGAAAACTCAGTGGTAATTTTCAAAAACATAGGACCACTATCAATCAACCATAATTTTCCTTTGCGATTATTTTTTTCCAATAGCTTAACTAGTTCAAGTGCAATGAGTCCACCAAATGAATATCCAAGAATTAAGAATTCTTGATTGATGGGTAGTCGCTCTTCGAGTACCTACAATAATAGTTAATATATTTTTATGAATAGTATTAGTACAAATATAAGCATAACAGATATACGTACTAAATAATGGGCGGCTGCCATGTCTTCGATAGTTCGTGCTTCACTCTTTATATCGTATTGTAAACATAATATTTGCATGTCTAAGTTCTTTGCTAGAGGTTCCATAATTGACGAAATACCCTCAAGACCCGGTATAACGAATAAAGTGCGTTGGCTACTGGTAGGTTGTTCTATGGTGGAGCCATCATCGCATAAAGATGGTATACGCATAATAGAATTGTAAGCAGTCGCTTCATCTCCAACTACACGAATCAAGTAATTCAAGCCCACATCAGGTAAGTTGGTAATTGATTTTATATCTTCAGTTTTCTTTTCGTTTTTGTCGTCTGATGATTCAATTTCTTGTAACTTAGCGAATGTCAGACTCCTGATGTCCTGAGGAGTTAAAAAGACTTCAAACTGTCTTTCCAAAGTTTGTTTTATTTCCACAGCCATCATCGAGTCCATACCCAGTTCAGCTAAGGTCGAATGTAAACTAATAGTCTTCAAATCTCTAAGACCAAGTATATTGATTACGGTATCGACTATCGTGCCCGCATTACTACCGGTTGCTCGTTTTTCTGCGACCACCATGCTTGAAACTATAGGATATGTTTTCTGGTTTATTAAATCATCTAAGATTTCTAAACAATTCCCAATTTTTTGCTGTAAAGTGCCGCCAATGACTACTTCTTGATCGTGGTCTTCTGCCATGTCAGCTACTAAACCTACATCACCCACTGCACCCCATTCTACAGCCAATGCCGGTAAGCCATCCGAATGTCGTAGTTCGCATATTCTTTCCATAACAGAGTTGGACATACCATAATTTGTCTGGCCAGCATTTCCACGACCACAACTGACACTTGAGAAAATTACAAAATGCTTGAGTTGTGGACACATAGTCCTAGAATATTTATCGAGGTATACTGTTGCAATAGATTTAGGCCCGGCTGAAGCTACGAAGTTTTCTTCTGTTTGGTTTTCAAACAAAGCATCTTTTAAAACCTAACATATATACAACACATATTTTTAAAGTACCTGTATTATCAAATAGATATTAAAACGTTGTCATTATATTATTTACTTACCACGGCAAGGTTAAATATTCCAGCAACGGGTCCCATTTTATTGGCTTGTGCCAGTAATTCTTTTACACCTTCCTCGGTTGTAATGTCTGCAGTTGATATGACAACATTAGTGCCATAAGATTCCCATACACGTTTTCTCATAGCTTGGTATCCGTTTCTTATACCGGACCTTGTAGTTAGAACAATATTTCGAGCGTTTCTCAAAACCAACCAATCGGCCAGTTCAAGACCAAATCCTCCAAGACCACCTATATTCGGTATGAACTTTTTAAACGAAATAATGAAAATATAAAATTTGTTGTTTTTTCATAATGGTCGTCTAACTATTTGTTTTGTTCTATATAAAAAAATATCTAGATATTTGTATGAACACATTACGATGCATCCTAACATCTATGAATACGTACCTATGTAGTTTTAGTTTCTACTTTTAGTTTACTAGTAATTGTAAATAATTACCACAAATTATACAAGATGAATTTTCGTCAAACATCACTCGTGGATATGCTAATTTTAAATATGGTTTTGGTTTAACAGCAATTCCTTTTTCTTCTTCAGGTCGAACTTTTATAAGTACTTTGCCAATGTGTTTACCAGCAGCCATATATCTAAATGCTTGTTCTATTTGATCTGATTCAAAAACAGTTCGCACTAAAGGCTTGATAGCACCCTGATCGATAAGTGTTTGAACTCCATCCTTTAGCAAATTTTTCCATTCCTTTGGACTATCGAATAAAGAGTCCAACATAACGCCGTGGAAACTGATTTCTTTTAAAAACACTTCCATACCTATGGTAAATGGTTATATGTTTTCATTACGTCATGTATAATTTTGTTAAAATGTGTTGTACATATATTTTTTTTTAAAAGTAGACTTACCCAACATACTGTTGTTGGCCAAATCAAACTTTCCGATTTCTAAGAAACGTCCACCAGTAGCTAAACATCTCACGGAGGCAAGAAGTTTTTCTTCTGCTAGTGAGTTTAATACTATATCTACGCCTCTACCATTTGTTTCCATCATAATCATTTGCTCGAAAGAAGTATCTCTGGAATTGCCAATATGACTTTCTGGTATCTAGAAATTAGTTTTTGTTAAACATATTCGTGAAAATAATATGTTCAGTATATTATATACTTGTGGGAAATTGTTTTTAATGAATTCTCGTTTTTCCGGCGTCCCCACCGTAGTGAAAATTTCACACTCATAATGAAGTGCTAAGTATATCGCAGCTTGGCCAACTCCACCGGTACCAGCATGAATGAGAACAGAATCACCCCGTCTTATACGACCACTGAGCACCAAAGCGTAATACACCTAAAGAAGCATTACAGTTTAGAAGTTAATGTTGGTCAAACATTGAAAGAGTTCTATTTCTTACAGTTCCATAGACAACTGGAACAGTTGCCGCTTCTTCTAATGTCCAATCATCGGGTATTTTCCAACTTATATATGGATCATTACATATTAATGTAGATAAAGCTCGACATTGTATCATTCCCATATTTCTTTCTCCGCGTTCAGTCCATCCAGCATATTCAAAACCTATTACACTTTCTTGATTGATTCGACCTTTAGCCACCACCTCAGGAGCAAGCTTTGCAGTAGCTAACATAATGTCACGGAAATTCAAGGCAGCATAACATACATGTATAATTTGGGTATTATCTGACAGTTTCCTTGAATAAGGTTTTAATGGTCCAGACAGCCATTTCAACGATGAAAGATCTCCTCGTACCAATGAATTTATATATGCATGTTCGCATTCGACCAAGGATGGTGGTTCGAGAACCAAATGTCTATACGAGCCCCAAGCATTGTTTTTAAACACATTTAATGCTAAATCTTTTTTCAGTTGTTCCTGGTAAAATTGATTATCTAGAGAGAAAGCTGGTGCATTCGAATCCATTATGAATACACATCTAAACAATTACAATAAAAAATGGTTCATTTATTAATTAATTATATAATTGTAAAAAAACAACTAATTTATATTCTTGCTTTTAAATTTCTTCGCTTCAATAAAAAAAAATATTCAAAATCTTTAGCGATCGTTTAAATTTAGGAATTAGTACTTATCATAAAGTTCTATATAATAGAATGTAAGGGTTTATGAGAGTAGATTTAAAATGTACTGAAATATCTCATTTTTCTAAAAAAACTTAAGCAGCACTTGCGATTATACAGGGTGTAATGTAAAGTTCTACCGAGCATTAAATGAGACATTAAGGATGCTCTATGGGTACAATAAATGGTATTCATTTTTTTTTTAAATTTAAAAATTATTTAAAATATAACTCGTATCTCATTAAAAAATTGTCTTACGAAAAAAAAAATTTCATATTTGAAATCGGGAGAAAAAATCTTGTTGAATTGATATGTAACATGATTTTTTGGTGTCTAGCCACACATACGTCCACAGGGTGGCCACCGAGTGGCCGGCATGTGACTAAAACCAACATATGGCATGCGACACATCATTTAATATAAAATAATTCTAAGGATACCACTGAATTGAGAATAAAATTCTACCCAAAATGATGGGTCATCTGTCATATGTTGGTTTTGGTCACATGCCGGCCACTCATTGGCCACTTGATGGACGCAAGGTGGCCAGATACCAAAAAATCATGTTACTTATCAATTCAACAATATTTTTTCTCTCAATTTCAAATCTGAAATAATTTTTTTTGTAAGACAATTTTTAAATGAGATACGAGTTCTATTTTAAATAATTTTAAAATTAAAAAAAAAATTAATACTATTTATTGTACCCATAGAGCATCCTGAATGTCTCATTTGAAGCTCGGTAGAACTTTACATTACACCCTCTATATTATAAAATAATTAAATATTTAAATAAATTCTTGACCACAAAGATAATTCTCTATGAGTATACGTATTTCGACAGCAATGTTACCATCATCAATGCATATAACAGACTGAGTCAGTCAATAATAACATTGCTGCCGAACTACGCATATGTTATAGAACATTATTTTTGTGGTTAAGGATTTATTTAAATATTTTATTTTTATTTGTTGTTAGCGCTGAAGATGGCCAAATAGTCTCCAAAATACGCGTATTCATGTACATTTTTTTTTGGATTGAGTTTTTGATAATATTAATTTCAGTAAATTGGATAAATATAATGTACAATCAAAAAATCGAATATGAAGCCTTTTTGTTAACTCGAACCCGACCAGTTAGTATAAATGGTGTAAGTAGAGATTAAGGTTTTTTCAAGCTATTATGTACAGGATACAGTATTGGTCCTTTACCCTATATTAATGATTTCTATTAAGGTTCGAATGCACTAATATTTTTTTGGCTAACACTATTGTTCTAATTGATGTTTCGCGTACCTAGTTCTATTGCCTTCTGGTTCCTTTCTGATACAATTGAAGAGACCAATTATTCCGTTAGATGTATCATTTTCTGCTAAAAGTATGACTTTCTGTTTGGCTGTAGCTTCGTCGCTTTTCAAAGCATTTTGCAAAGTAGGCAACCATGAAAATTCGGTGCTTGAAATTTTTATGACGAGTGGAGCACCGTTCTCTTCAACTGGCTAAAAGTAATTTTAATTATATATTTGTGTTCATTAAACATAAGTTTTTTTATACCATAATTTTAACATAAACATGAATATAGCATTTTGTCTTACTTTCTTAACGAGGAAAAGTCTTTCGCTTTCTAAAGTAGCATCGAAACATACATCAACAAGATTTGCTGGTGGAACTACATTTTGCTTTTCGCGGGATAGCAAGAATCCCCCAGGTTTAAGTGTATTGAAAACTTGTTCTAACAAAACGATGTCCTCCAGAACTCCAGTCCCGACCGAAAAAAGAACTGATTGGTCCCCTGGTAATTTTTTATCTTCGACCGTTATATTAGATGGAATGTCTTTCAGTTGAGGATGATTTCCATCAGACAATACAGTTACTTCAGGCTGTCCATAAAACAGAAAACAGTTTTTAAAAAAAAATGTACGTTAACTGGTCGACGATGCACACGAAGTACCTGTAAAAGTGGTAAATCCGCTAAAACATTCAGAATGATGGGACTTATTATTTGGACGTCTGAATTTATAGTTTTATTCAAAATTTCTACCGTTTTTATATTGATACCCATTACGTTTTCAATAACCAAGTGCAAAGAAATACGAACAATATCATCTAATGAATATTTCTAGAATATAAAAATAATTAAGATATTACACAAAATCAAACAATAATAATTACTATAATATATTTAGTTTATATTTACCAATTGAGATATATTTGGCACAAATACATATTTTTCTAAAACAGGATCAGCAAGTGGCTTCCGCTTAGAAATTGCATTTGCATGAAGCCCTCTAATTTCCACACCTCCAGATTGTATAAGATCTATTTCCGGATACACGTACACAGGAATTTCTAATAAAATTTGTAAAAACTATTAATTTTCAACAGGTTAGCCAATTTACTAAATTACTATACAGTTTACTTAAAAAAAATTCAAGGTGATCCATTAAACGAAAGCCATTGTTATACCAACATTTTAAATAAAAAAATAATCTGTGATGTTGACTAGTCGATAATCAGTTTTGAATAATTAATTTTGAATTTATTAACGATTAAAAGTGTAGATAGGGGCAAATGAGCTGCGAAATAGAATTTGTATTTATGTTTACTCCACTGCACTTCCTCTATGTCTAATTTTAAAAACACTAATAGATTATTTTTGTTTAGTAGAATATATATATATAATAATTATTATGTAAATAATTTAATTAAAAAATAGTAAAATAAAATAAAAAATTTTAATTATATTCCGAGAAAATAAATGACTATACGCAAAATTTTAAATAGGTATATAAAAACATTTTTATATAAAAATAGATATATTGCCTAATTTTTTATAAATCTCAAATCGATTAAAACTAATTTCTTGTGTATTGCAATTGTATCTATAAGCATTGATTATAAATATAATAAATATAATTTATAATCAATGCTATAAGATACACAGGTATAGGTTATCTAAAACTGATTTAGAGATTAAAAATCTTAGAACACTAGGTACCCATTTTGGATGTTTGTTAAAGTTCACCTTAAATAATACAATTTGAAGATACAAAGCACAATAAACTTAGCGATCTTTTAAGTTATAGTTATAAAAAGCGTGCACTGTGCACATAGTTGGGCATTTTTTATTTAAATAACGAGTAATAACTAATTTATTTGAATAATCTCTTTATACGATACTATTTTAAGATGACTTATCCAAATAATTGTTTTATTTAAACATTTTTATAAGAATAATCGCAATAAAGTTTTTAAATTATGTCAAAAATAAAATAATTAACCTAAGAAAAATAAAATATTTAAAAAAACTCGGAATAAATCATTTAATCAAAGTTCTTTTTTATTTGAATAATTATTATATAAAACTATTCGACGGGTATTCGAATAAAAAATGATTTAAATAATGCCCAACTCTGACTGTGCATTATTATTTATACTTATGTGTTATAAAATATTACCAGTATTTTCAGTTGGAAGAGTTGACAAAACCGAAGCGTGCTTTTTCACATCAATTGTAAGTTTTTGTAAAGAGGTTGGAACAAAAAGTCCTCTAGTATCTTCTCTTAGAATTTGAATTTGTAACATATTGTCCATAAATGCAACCCAATTATTAAACCATCCAATACTTCCAACAGTAGCTGAAAATGTTTAGTATTAAAAACATATATAAAAAAAAGTCAGTATAAAAGTGTCGGGGCATAGTGGTAACGGAGTATATGGTGGCCGAGGAGATATTTATATGAATTATTTCAACTGAAAGTGATAAAATCAATTTTAAAAAATTACTTCGTTGTGAACCTATAATTATTGTAGAAATACAAATCCCCTGTTGGTCCAGGGTTAGAATATGTCCACAGTAACAGGAAAGTTTGGACTTGGAATAAGAAAGCAAAGCGGTGATAGAATTATAGAATTCTGTAAGGAAAGGGATATGATAATCACCAACACAATGTTCTCACTGTGATTGATTGAAGAACTAATACTGTTTAAGGTTTTTGTACAAAGAAATAAAACACAACATATTATTAACTAACAAATACAATAATGATTATTACAAGCTAAAAAGAAAACATACATAGCAAAACTAGCTAATAAAGATAGTAACAACATTATGATAACACTCGTAGCCAAAACGCAGAAAATATACTTGGACTATGCCTGAAGGAGGTAATAGGTATCAGTTGAACTGTATACTAGTTAAAAAATAACATAGAAATCAAGCAAAGTAAAAGTTATCCGGTAGCAGATGTAGATTCAGAACATACTCTTGTAATCATAAAAACAAGATAATGCCTATAAGAAATCAAGAGACATAGAAAAAATTAAGCAGGAAGAAACAAAATGAAAATTTTACTAAGAGGTAAATGGAATAATTATGAGAAAAACAAACAAAAAACAGGGAAATGACGAGGATACATTGGAAATGCTTAAAGAAACAATCACAAAAACGGCTGACTTAATTTAGGAAAACATAAAAACAATCCGATAAAGCCATGGATTAGCACCAAACTAGTAAAACTCAAAGAAACAGGAAGAAATTATAAAAATAGAAAAACAGAAGAGAGTACAAAAAATACAGAAACATGGTGAACAGAGAAGCTAAGAGAGCAAAAAAGGAATGGGTAGAAAATCGCAAAAGGCTGAAGTGTTAAAGCTTGTAAAATTATAAAACTATTTTTTGGTACAAACAAAAGTGGAGTAAAAATTCTCAGAGGAAAATACGAAAAAATAGTTTTGGAAGAAAAAGAAAACTTGATAGTCTGAAAGAATACATTGAAGAGTTGTATAAAATAGAAAGCATGGATAAAAGGCATAGAACCCCCCAGAAGTGAGAATGAAAATCATGACTCTATCGGACCTACCATCCGATGACGAGGGAATCCGATGATCGTGATGACGAGGGAAGAAACTGAATCAACAGCTAAAACATAATAAAGCCCCTTGAATTGATAATCTGAATGGCAAACTGTTGATGACCTTAGAAGGAATTGGAAAAGAAAGTACTGTGTAGTATAATAACAAATGCCTATGAAACAGGTCCTGAAGACTTCGAAAAATGCGTAATAATACCTATACCATAGAAGAAAAATAAGGAAAAATGCGAAGAGTATAGAATAATAAACCTAATATCACATTCGTCGAAGATTCTAACAAAAAAAGTACATAAACAGATAGAAAAGAAAATAGAAGAAAATTTAACAGGATATCAGTTTGGGTTTAGAAAGAATAAAAGAACAAAGGAAGCAATAATGTGTCTTAGACTAATCATAGAAAAAATTATAGCAGACAGTAAAGAGAACCTAGAAGGAATGCTTCAAACAATTAATAATACACCTAAACAAGAATATAATATGAATATTAATAAGGCTAAGACAAAAATACTAGTTTATAGCAGCCAGCAAGTAAATACGAACATAAGTATGGACAGTATAAAATTAGGAAGCAAAGTCACAAGTTTCGGGAAAAGTGCCACAGACATGAATTGTAGAATAGTACAAGCCAAGCAGGTATTTTTCAAAAAAACTACTAACCACAAATGCAATAAATATAAACATTAGAAAAGCATTAATAAAAACATTTGTGTAGAGCTCAGTTTTTTTGGAGGGTTTTCCTTTAATAAAAAAAGTTAAAATACAGATTTTTGAGAAAATTGTATATTTTATACCTCCACACTAGATCTACCTTCAGTAAATTTGTACATCTAAGTCTTGAAACTTTGCTCGAAAAAGAGAAATAAATAAAAAGTTTCCGCCACTTCTAGAGGAAAGAATTTATGATATTTTGTTTAGTTTGTTAACGTTTATCTATTGTACTTTAAGTGAAGAATATTCTATAGAAATTTAGACCTAATTCGACTATGTTCAAAATATTTGTAGCGTGCTGTAGTTTAATAATTCGTACATTTTTTTAGTGTTATTCTCGATTTTGAAGGAAGAAGGGTGTACTTCTCTCTTCTGACTACCAAAGTATCAATCGCATACGATTACGGACCGATAGAGATTTGCTATTCGGGTAAATCAATCCACAGGACTAACACACAATAAAAAAACATTATTGTAAAACTTAAACCTTCCCAGCTACCGCATCGAAAGTAAAACACTTCATTTCAGAGATCTAAAATAGTGTATTAAAAATATAAACCTTACCATCTAGATTTACTCGATTTAAACTTCTAAACAACCCGTGGTAGTTGTACCCTCTGAGTCTCAACTCTTTGTAAATGTCTTTTTTGTTGAGATCTGTTTCATTGATGACGTTTGGATGAGGTGGCATGTCGATCATTTTTTTATTGACATCGTTTGGAATATATAAACGACCAGTAACAACAGGTGCTCCACTCTCGACCACTTCAAATGTTCCACTACCTTTTTGGACCATTACGACGAATTCCACGACACCGTCTTTAGGAATATTTGTTGCTCTTTGGAAACGAACGTTCTCAAAACATATTGGTACTTCAGAATAAAGCTCTCCACGCATCAGAGCAAGTGTTTCCCAAGCTAAAACCTTTTTGTTTACAAAATTAAAATGTTAAAGAAGCTTAGAGAAAACAATTTTAAATCGTTGTTTTTATAGTATTCAATCATACTAGGTAGCCGGTAGCGGGGAATAAATTTCTGCCGTCAATGACGTGACCACCTATATATTCGTTTTCATCATCCTTCAAAGATATTGAAATGTTACGCTCGCCTGATTTTATTTTGTCTTGCACACGGTACATAGTGACAAACCAGTCTTCCGAATGTTCCCATCGCACTAGAGGCGCAATCATTGGTGTGCCTCGACTTACCGGAAATTCGATTTCCGGATAAAGTTTGCTCAATTTCGGATTAAGACCCAATTCAAACAGTCTGTACAGAGCAAGAATATTTAGGGTCGAATATTTGTTTTTACTTACGTTATATAAATGTATAATATAATTTGACAGATTAAACGTACAAATAAACAATTACAATTTTATTTTAAATATCATAATAGTCAGACACAATATATTTATTGGCGCAACTAAAGACAAGGAAGCTAGGGGAATTCTTTCAAATTTTTTCAGGCTCTCGAAAAATGTGGGTAAAGCAAATCAGACATATCTCCCAAGAAACGGTTTTAATTTTTACCGAAATTCTGGGAGAGCTTTGAGAGTTTTTAAACAGTGTAAACAGCTTTACCCAGCCCTTTATTAGTTGCGCCAAAGCATTTATTATGATCTTACTTTCCAAATGCTGTTAGCATATAATCGAGTCCATCATCACGGTTTTTGTTCATCAACTCGATGTTTGAAATGTTCTTCTCCGACGATTTTAGAATATTTTGTAAAATTCCATGAGGACCTACCTCAATCACTGTTGCATTTTTCGGTAAACGTTCTAGTGCTTCGCCAAACAAGACGTTATTTAACAAATTGTTTACAGCATATTCTGCTGAAAAGTGTTTCGCAACATCGGTATTCCATTTGTCTTCAGGTATTGAAGTGCTTATCCATTTTTCTGAACGCTTTTTGGGATTGGACACAATTTTTTTAAGGTATTCAAATATTTTTGGTGCTGCTTTTTCGAATGCTTTCGAATGATAAGGTGTACTATTCGTACTGATAATTTGAGTGAAAATGTTTTTCGACTTCAACTGAGAAATAAATTGGTCTACTTGTTCTTTTGCTCCTATTATAGTACAGCTGTTTACCGAGTTTTGCCAAACAACTTCGATGTTTACAGGAAGAGCGTTTTGTATTTCTTGATAACCTATGCCAACAAACGCCAATTCGCCCGAAGGTAGTTTTGATTCTATTATAGCAATTCCCGTGTAATACGCAAGTTTGATTGTCTCCTCAGTCGTAAGACACCCGTCGGCATATGCACAAACATATTCGCCCAGCGAATGACCAATTAAGAAGTCTGGAGTAATTTCAGCATAAGATAATACATCAAATAACGCAATCTAAAAACACAAGCGAAGTATTATAAATAAATACTTTATTTCACATTTTTTAAATATGTATATTTACTTGCATAGCTGCAATTCCCACAATTAAGTTCACGGGATTGTTGAACGTTCCGAGATCCAAGTCAGTTATAACTTTTATCAAATCGACTCCTAACGGTTTGAGAATATTGTGGCATTTATTAATTGATGCACTGAAAGCCGGTAACTTCATTAATGACTTTCCCATTCCTGGCCATTGAGCGCCAATGCCCGAAAATACAAAGCATACAGGTTGTGTTTCGCCGGAATAATACTAAAAAACAAGCATTGGGTTTTTACAACCGAATTCAATGAATCAATTAATATTTATACCTGTATATCAATTGGCCTATTTATTTTTAAATTTTTTGATAGAATAGTATATCCTCTGTAAATATGTCCAGGAATCTCGTCAGCTTGAATATCGTGGAACAAACGCACATATTCTCTATCTAGCGGTCTTGATATTAACTTTAAACATATTAATCATAAATTAGATATTTTCTATTTTTTATCAATTGAACATCATTGCATAATATTAGTGTATACTTAATTTCGATTGTATATTGTTTGGTATAAATACTTACGTCATTTAGCATAACTGACACAGCTTCTTCTGTTCTGCCAGATGCCACTACTAATCTAGGTAAATCATCATCAGGAAGGCCATTGTTTATTTTATTCTTCTTGTTCCAGTCGAGTAATACGTGACAATTAGCGCCGCCAAAACCAAAGGAATTTATTCCAACCATACCACCATTCCAAGGTGTTTTGTCAGCGACTACGCTAATACGGCCGTTGAAGAAAGAGCTGATATCTTCCCTAGGCGTGTTAAAATTTATGTTGGGAGGTATATAACCAGTCTCCATGGCTATTATAACTTTCGCCACAGAACACAGTCCTGACGCTGGCTCTGAATGTCCAATATTGGATTTCACAGAACCTATTAATAAAGGCTCTTTGCGACCAGGGCAGAATACGTTTTCAAGAGCTTTTACCTCTTCAGGATCGCCGACCTATTGAAGTAAATCACTAATATGATTAATAATATCCTTGATAAACAATTATGAAGTTAAATGAAATAATTACTTTTGTTCCAGTTCCGTGGGCTTCGATCCAAGCCAGAGTATTGGGTTTTATTTCACATTCTTCGTAAAATTCTTCTAATAATCTCTGTTGTAACGGCCCCGAAGGGTACGTGATTCCTTGTTCCTTGTAACCGTCGCAATTGGTTTTGGCGTGAATGAGCCTGGCATATATTCGTTTGGCACATTTCGATTTTTGTAAGTATACAACGCAAACCGCTTCCGATCTAACGTATCCATTAGCTGCTTCGTCGAACGATTTACACCGTCCGTCCATGGATAGTACACCCAAACGTGCAAATTGAAGAGATACGTACGGATGAAGACACAGGTTACAGCCACCGACCAATGCAGCATCGCAATGGCCATCGCGAATTGCTTTGTAAGCGTGCTCCAATGCATATAAACTCGAAGAACAGGCAGAGTCCACAGTGTAACTAGGACCTTGATAAAAATTGAATACATTACTATTTTTAAAAGAGAATTTAATAGATTTTTTATTCAGTATTGTTTTTAAATACTTTCTTTTTTTTTCTACTCTAATAATAATTTCTAATGCTTAAACTAGAGCATCTATCGTTTTTTGTCAATCTGCATTTTGAAAGTCCAACACCTAATTAGTATTCACTAGGAGTTGAGGAAAGCAAGGAATATTTTCTTAAACAATTTTTTTTTATTAAACCGCCTATTTTAATAAAAGCTTCTGCTATAGACTTGATCATACAATGTCCCGCGCATATCGGCGACAGACAATATTGTATAACAATGAATAAACATTCATAGGTGTAACTAGGTCTCTGAACTAGAGGGGCTACAGTGCCAGCTGTTGTTTTCAAAATACTTTCGCACTCCCCCCCCCCTACCTCATGTAGGCAAGTATCAGAATATTTTATAAATAATATTTATATCTAAAATTTTAAAAAATTAATAAAATAAGTAAATTACAATCTGAGCTTCGATATTTTTCACCAAATACATTTATTATAATATTTACTCTATTTTATTAGACGTCTTTCGTTTAATGCATACACAGATCTTAGAAAAATCTATCTTGTGACATTGTTGAGCGAATATAACATGTGTAGTTACGGATGCGACGCATTATGTAGCCTTTGAACTATTAGAGCGCTTTTCTAGAGACTTGGGGGTAGCTGTGCCTTTGCAAACATTAGATATGATATGGATGAGAGACAAAGCTAGTTAGGGTAATTGATAAGATTGAATCACAAAATGTGTACGACTCTACTGTTTTCCCCGTAACAACAATTTCTTACCATTCACTCCCAACCAATATGATATTCTGTTGGCGAGCATTGCACGTGCACATCCCGTGAGACCAAAACCATTCACTTGTAATCTTTCGTAAAACCATGTTTTCTCGGACTCACTAAAGCAAGCTCCGACAAACACTCCTGTCTTTGATCCTTTCAATGATTTGGGAGAATAACCTAATGTATACAAGTATAAAATATGTTTAATAAACCAAAATAAATATTATATCACGAACATTTATCTCTATCTAAGTCTTTATATGTTATTTCATTATAATATCATACGCTTAATTATTGTTACAGGACTCGGTTATTTGAATGTCTACTCAAAATGAAAATACAAAGCGATTTATAAACATAAGACCCTAAATTTCTTTAAAAATAATTGTAATTTTATAGTTGTTCTTTTTTTAAAAAACTTTAATTATTGTTATTTTACAATATTATAAAAATTACGAAGTATTTACCTTTCTTAGTATTTTACAGTGCTATTAACTTTCGAAATTTAAATAATACGTCTATATGTAATTAATTTTTTTTAAATAAGAATAATTTGCTTTAAATGGTGACTGATCGATAATCAGTTTTGATTGATTACTTTCAAAGTTATTAAAGCTTAAAATTTAGGACGGGAGTCCTTGTGCGATTGAGTAAAAATAATATACTACACTCCGATTTCGCACTTCCAACATTAATAACTTCAAATAAATTATTTAAAACTGGTTATCGATCCACCAACATTTTTTGGTAATTATTCTTAATTAAAAAAATTAATAAAATATATACGCTACTATTTATTTTTCAAAAGTTGATAGAGCTCTTGAATTTACCGAAAAACATAAAAATTTGGATGTTGTCTATTATTATAAAATAACATAATAGTTAAAGTGTCTTCAAATAGAAAAACTAAAAATTTGAAAAATTTAAAAAAACGAGTGGCTTATATAAATAGATTACCATGTATGTTACAATAGCGTTGAGTGTTATTTATAAACTATAGGTGACAGTTGGATAGATTAGTACATAGGTGAAACGGGCTACCGCCCGACACGAATTAATTAGCATGGTTGTATAGAGTGACTTAAACAACTTATTATCTCATAATTTTAGATAATTATAAAATTTCTTAATGTTTATATTTTTTGTTATAAAAGCTTTAGTTTTGATTAATTACTCCTCAAAATAAAAATAATAACCAATAACATTGTGTACCTAACTAATTTTTTTTTTTTTTTGAGTATTTTAAGAGACATTTTCTAATAAATTATCTATAATTTATTTATTGGAATTTAGTCCTGAAAGCCCAGGCACGAAAATTCTGCTAAATGTAATCGTAAAAAACAAAATTCATAAATACATTTTTTTATTATAACGCTTATTTTTAATTAAAAACAGTGTGATTACGCAGGAGGTTGGTAATTTCTTTTTCCGTCAATAAACATTTAAATACAACTTTATTAGGTATTAAATTATATGTTTTATGTTTATTCAATTTAATTTTAAGAACCTAACAACGAAAATAAAGCCTAAAGAAAAGGTAAAAAAAAAGGTTTTTATCGTCCTTGAACTGTTATACGTTCTTAATATATAATATGTGTATAGTATTATTACGGTACCAATTGTTTTCTTAGTAGATAATTGTTATAATTAAATTGTAATAAACCTCGGCGCTTGTAAATATATGTTTTTTTTATAATTATACCTGAATCCATAATTGCTTCGTACGCTTTTTCCAGGATAATACGACACATAGGGTCCATTGTGTGAGCTTGTTTATAATGAATACCGAAAAAGGCCGCATCAAATTTATTTACTTCGTTCAATTTTCCAGTACGCTGAGGAATTTCCGGGTGTCCTATACAAACAAACAACGTCGAATGTAGTGTTTAATAATTATATAATATTTATAATAACTATAATTGCATATTTATAATTATTATGTCGTCTAACGGTTTGAACAAAAATCGGTATTAATAGGCATACATATTTATATGTATATATTAATTATTGTGATCCATACCAATAGTCCATCGTCTGTCGTCGTCCGATATAAGGTCCACTTTATTGAAAAGATTTTCAGCGAAATTCGGTAGGCCGTCGGAGTTCGGGAACGATCCAGAAAATCCAGATATGACAATCTCGTCACCGGGATCGCATTGCACTAGTTTCCGACCGGCGTTCAACGCTATTTCTCTGTCGGCCTTGATCTTAAGCTCGATGGCTTGTTGTCTTGACATTTTCCCGACTAAAATATAACGTACACTAATATACTAAAATATATTGTGTGTGTGTGTGTTTAAATCTGGTTATCGTCGGTCGTCGTCGCTCGAAAGGGAAAAATACACTGTACACTGTCAAGAAGTGCGAACCTGCCGCTGCTTTTATTTTTATATAACCGTTACATATTTATTAATTGTGTAAATGAATCTACCCAGTGCACAGGATGCGCCGGTGATTTGCATATCGTACGATCGGTACAGGTCTTAAGGTCGTAGATCAGCGCATGTGTCTTAATCTAAGGGCGAATAATTTAACAGTTTATTATGTACAACATTCGGAACCACAAAATCACAATAACATTGTATTTATTGTACGTTTAAAAACTTAAAACGTGCATTTTAATGTATTTAAGTATTGAAAACACAATTACTAAAATTATTTTTAGTCAATGTATTTGATTTTGCATATAGTCACACATCCGATATGATGTGTAAATTATGTACGGAGTTATTGAATATTATTTTTTTTTTTTTTTTTGTAATATTAGGGAATTATATTATATTTATTTTTGATATATTTTAAATTTATATCGTAATCAAATACTTCATTCTGGCCGTGCAACATGTCTCTACAATAAGAAAAAAAAAATTGCGTCCATGTACCACACTGAGTTTTAGATATTGTATACTATAAATTATCAGATAAAAACGGTTAAATCTATAAATCCGTGGAATTAATGGAATAAATTATGATTGTAATGTAATTTCGTTACATATAATTTGTATACTTTAGAACTAGAAGCATATATGTATAATGTATAATAATATACTATATGATAACTAGCGTATTGCTGATATTTGTAAAATCCAAGGAGGTTAAGGAGCTGAGACCCTTCTACCCATACGTTTTTTTTAGTATTATGTAGTATTATGGTTAGATTTTTTTTATAACGGAACTCAGTGCTCAGAAAACGTTTAAGTTTTAATATAATTTGTATTTTATAAATTAATGGAAAACACGGATCCAAAACTTATCGACCAGTCAACATTTTTAGAACATTATTCTTTATCACTATTTTTGCTAACCTAACCTAACTTAGCAAAATTTGTTGTAAAACAAATTATAACGTTATTCGGTATAACATTCTCGGAGCAAATAAATTAAAAACATTATTCGGTTTAACGTTTTTGGGGTAAAAAAAATTATAACGTTATTCCTAGTTTACGTTCTTAGATATAATTTTGAACTGAACAAATAAATAACGGTTAACGAAACCCTGGTTTTTCGACATTCCTGAAAAAGTAATTTTTTTAATTGTTACAATTTTGATATACATAGGTGTGCGATATTATAATAATGCATACAACAAATAGCAATCACTGTAAAACCAAAAGACAATACAAGTACACCAACCAACTATAATTGTAAAATTAAGCATCATCTGACATCCTGTCTCAAAACTGGTATTGAACTCTATAATATAGTATAGGTGAGTTCAATAAGTACCTATAGGTACTTATTCAAAACACTTTGTAACGTAATGCAATTTTCCATGATCAAATTTAAATATTAATTAGCTAGGTACTATCAACTAATTATAATTTTGAATTTTCTATACAAGATTGCAGCTGACAATATTCTATACAATTTAAATGACTATTTATTTACTCAGCGTGGAAAATATAATAATATAATCATGTTTTTGGGCTGGATTCACAATTAAAAATACGTTCAAATAAATGCACACCTTATATTATAAAAAGTTCCTTACTTATTGTTTTTTTTCTCGAAAATTATAGTTAGGTAGGTAGTTATTATTGGAGGTACCCTACATCACGTCCCACAGTAGTTGATTTCATAATAAAACGCATTTCATTTTTTAAGTAGTTTAAATTAACAGAAAATAATTTAAGTAAAGACTTTTAGTTGTAAAGTACAAATTAATTCGTAATTTGTAGTTAATATGTTGCCTAGTTGTACTACAGTCTACATGTAATTTGCATAATGCATACTGTAAACACAAGAAATATAGTCGTATACACGTATTAAATCTTCTTAAATTAAAAGCGCCTTTATGATATGAGGTTAAAAATATAATATATAAATTTAGCATTTATAAAAAAATAAGTCTGTATCAAATATAAACTTAATTTTTTCTCATTTCCTTTTGAATTTAAAATTGAATGTACAAAAATCTACCTAACATTTGTACAAATACGACAGAGGTTATGAAATTATTATGGTCATTAGCCGTAATCAAGAGGATTATTTTTAGTTTAAATTAAAATCAATTGTAGTTAAGCATTTAAAAAAATGCAAAGTATCCACACTAAAAGCGGATACATAGGCACATATGTCATATGTCTTATGACCGAGTAAATGTCAATTTAAGTATACCAACATTTCTAATTTTCTAATTTTTTTGTTGGCCAAAAGTTTTTTTAGTAGTTTTTAATATTTGGCCTTAATCGATTTATTGGCAATATTCACTTGGTTAGTTATTTTGAGTCAATTTTCATTCATTCCATTCATTCAAGTTAACTGGTCGGAACCAAGAACACCGTAGCAGACATATACGGCCTTATATATATATATATCACATATGAAAATGTCTTCTGTGGTTGCGGACTTGTACGCAAGCTGTCGACATCAAGCCCATCTTTATCACCAATTCCATCCTTTTACAACAGCTTGCGTACGAGTCCGCAACCACAGGAGACATTTTATCTCTGATCTCTTATCTTTAATACATTAACTCTATTTTATCTTTAATCTCTTATCTCTAATCTCCTCCTTCCTTCCTCCGCAGCTGCCGAGTGTGACGTCAGAGTAACATCTAGCGTTTCGTTTCGGACACATTTTTAGAATGACCCCAGCGATAGAACATATACATGTTAAAATCTTCACATAAGATATATTTTCATTAAATTATAATCTGAAATTGGATCAACGTTCTTCAAATTTATTTTACAAGTGAAATTTTGGTGTTTATATTAATGAAAAAATATCATGAATATGATAATGAATAGTGAATACTAAATTAAAATGTCTTCCAATGGGCCACAATAGCCTTCTTTATATACACAAAATACAGAACCTTACAAATATGATGCCTTACATCTACTCTTTTACTTTTTCTACTCTTCACTGCATAGCTCTTAGTAATGAACAATTATCACTTTATTCCTTCATTTCTTCCCATAATGCCCTTTTCTCGATTTCTGAAAACTTTCTAACTAAAAACGTCGTTATTATTAATTAACTTATAATGAAATAGTTAACTTTTTTTCTTCCAAAGCATTTTCTATAAACAGTTTTTTTTAATGTAATGTTCTTGATATTATAGTTGTTATACATATAATTTAATTATGTAATGTATAAGAACGTTTAATATTTATTTGTACACATGTCTATAAAGGTAATTGTCAAAAAAACATTTCTGTAAAATAAATCTTTAAACATTATAATAAAATTATAAAATTACTTTGCATATCAATTACATTATTTTAACATTTATTTTTAAGTGTTTTTAACTATGCGATAAGGTATACAGGAACGACAGAATATATGAAAACAGATTGTTCACTCGGGCCTATAACAATAGGATTGAAAATAAAGCTCTATGATGGCCCGCCAATATCAAAGTGACCGTCTGAAGGGAATTTGTTTTTAAACGTGTTCGCGGGCTTTCGCATTTGTTAAATAATTCAGTTAAACAGAATGTTTCTCTTGTATTTACCAAACATTTTATAAGTATTAATAACCATAATTTAATAATATTATTTTTACAATTACAGTTGTTTTATATTATCTTACGCACTATATAATAGTATGACGTATCCAAGGGAAATAATTTTAATTTCAATAGTAAAATACAATTAATAAATAATAATACATTTAATAATTAAACATTTTAAAATTCCCAATAAGTACATATAATGCATTATAAACATAACATATCCATACTTATTAATATATCATTTTAATTATTTCTAACATAGAGAAATAGTAAGCTGTCCACCGTATGGCATGACAACTGACAGAGCAAGCATTAATCAACTATGAATAGTATTGACACGCAGTATTTAATTACATTGTTATTGTAAAAATAATATAAATTAAAAAAATAAATAAAATAATACAAACTATTATAAAAAAAGTATTAAAACACTAGTATTGCATATTTATATACCTAGTTATGCATGTTTTAAAATAACCAATTTTTTATTTACTATAATTCTATAGGCTACTCGGATAAAAGTCGTGTCTTTAAAAGTATAATTGGCGTACAAAATGCGCATACGCGCCTGCTAATAGATTAAAATAAATAAAAAATAACGAACATGAAATAATTAGTAAAAATGAATAAATCACAAAGGTCACATATATAAAATAGTACAATTGTTAGTAAAAAAGTATAAAAAGTATTAATAAGAAATTAAAATAATGCATATTAATTTATTTATACATGTTTTAAAATAGCCAATTTCCCCCTTTTTTACATCTAAAATAAATAAAAATAAACAGTAAAAATTAATAAATCACACTAACGTCACATAAATAAAATAGTCAAATGATTAGTAAAATGGTAAAAAAAAAATGATAAAAGATAAAAAGATTATTTACAAATGTATTAAAATGGCCAATTTCCTATTCTTTCTAATTTTTCTGATATTGACTTTTTTTTAAAAAATTTAATTGCGGCATGAATCCGGAATCTTATAAAATAATCTTTATTAAAATAGATATAAGGATGGTTAAATGTAATATATAGCATAGCTAATTTTAATTTATTTCCTACTTCTTTTTCAATGGAAATTAAGGGAAATCTACTCATAAACATATTTTCAAGCTGGTGAATAAAATCATAGAACTCGTGGTGTGGCATCATTAGATTTCCAAAAGCGGAATTATCTTTGTCTTCGTATGCTTTAAAATAACAAAGTAATAACGGGGTATCGGTTTCTTTTTGGGTTTTAGCGTAATTAATGCAGATATCACAACTATGTTTTTCGATACATTTTTTCATTAAAAATCCACATACATAAGTAAACGTGGTTTGTTCCGGAGCGATAAATTTCTATACCTACTCAGTTGAATTTATTTGAAGTGGATTTTTAAATTGAAAAGGCGTTTTTTCGGGAAACAATACTTTAATAGAATCATTGTCAATGGGGTTTTCATTCATATTACTTATAATAGCATCCGAGTACTGTGTACAGTTTGCATTTTCAGAATAATGGAAATGATTCTGGCAAAACATTTTTTTAAACGACCAAAAAAATTGGACTGGTGTCGGATTTATATTATTACCAGTATGCTGTTGCCTAAAGGTACCAAACAAATTTTCTAAGCAGTCCTGGTTAATTCGATTTGTGTACAGAACAGGTCTAAAAGGTCTATTAAAATATTTCAAGCCGGGTCGCTTTGATAAATTAAATGTCAAACAATTTTTCCATATTTTCAATAAAATTAATTGTGGGCAGTGATGCATCAGGTAAAATGTTTATTTCTTTAAAGGCTTTCATTCCAGCAGTGACACTCATACTAAATACTTAGGCGGCTAAATAAACACGCATTTTTTCAAAGGGCCCAGGGAAGATATGAGAGTGTTAATTTAGGAGCCGCTCGCAAATTATTTTTGTTGTCTTCAGAGTAAAAAGTAATCAAATGTTTTTTTTAATTAAGTGGCCATCAAATTAAAAATTATGTTAAAAAAACATGTTCTGGGTAGCTTTTAATAAATGGGGAGGGTTTTCATATCTGTTCTTCCAACGCAAAGCAATTTTGATGGGAATTTTGTTTTTAATTTATCTTATAGGATTACTGTGATAATGTAACGAAAGATGGCAATCGCCAATCACTAAAGAATCCTCATTACTGTATTAATAAGTATACACTGTATTGCAAGCTCTTATTAAGATTTTGGGAAAAATTGCCTATACTTTACTCCTTAAAAATGGGTGGTATAGTGTCCATTTATACGACAGTATTACAAACTATTAAATTTATTTACCAGTTACCAATCAAAAATATTGATTTAAAATAGTTGAATTACTCAAGTAGCTATAGGTAACAATTCTTGAATGATTTACTGAAGTTTTGCCTAGAAGGTTCTCAGCAAACACAATGATAAATATTTTCTTGGTACAATTCTGGGTAAAACAGAATCAATCAAATAACAGTTATGAATTTTTCATATTTTTATTAAATTTTACATCAAGGTTAATGGATAATTACAATTGAATTATGAATACAAATTTTAAGGGATAGAAAAAAAACACAAGTACTCATAAGTAAAGAATGTTTCATTAAACACATCCAGAGGTCACCATTCTTGTAAATGAATTTTCATTCAGAATAGTAACTCAGCACTATTCATCAGGTGCTACGGTTAATTTTGATAAAGTACTAGGATTGTTTTCTCTTTGATGTTTGGAATTAGCTTCAGATGTAAGGCGTTCCATCATATCATGGTCATACGTTGAATGTAACATTAAAGCTAAAACACCAGCACGTGTTGACATTCTATGTCTTATCTGCCGTTCTTTCTCAACTAATTCATCTAGTTTTAACCACTATAAATAATACAGATATGTAAATAAAAAAATATCAAATTGATAGACAAAAGTAATTATATTAAATTACATAATATGTGATGCGGAAAGCGAAAAAGGAAAAGGGAATAATTATTGGAATCTTCAAAAATTTGAAGTTCAAGTTAGAGGTATTAACTGAGTCTTAATTGATTTTTAAACAGTTTGAGAATGGTGCGTATTCGTAGTTAAAATTATGACTAAGTTATTGTAATTTTAAGTTTGCCAACAAAAGATTCCTTTTTACATCACATATAATAAACACAAATTTGTTTTTGCAAATTAATTTAAATATAAGGTAGCATAGTTACACATTACCAACATCATATTTGTTATTTTTAATATATAAAGCTGAGTTGACGTCTGTACACACTTTATAATAAGATACATCGCAGGACCGTTCAACTCAAATTATGCAGGGCAACTTAATTTGTCTGGGATATAAACAAAGTGGAGTTATTAACCTCAAAACTTACTCTCTCCACTTCCAGAAACTACATTGCAAAGCAATCAAATTTTAATTTTGTCTACGTAAAATTAATTAATTGAGGAACATTTTGTTAAATTAGTTTGTCGTTTTATAAAAATTTAAATAGTAGCACAATTATTGGAAAAACCAATATCCAAGTAGATACACTGACTGAATAAATGTCAGTTTGAATGTGGAAAATTATCTCGATATAACTACTAATACAAACTATGTGAACCGTTAGGTATAATTATAATGTTTCGTATCAAAATTCAGCGACGGTTAAACCCCTATTACATTCAAAACTATGAACTGATACAGTGATAGGAAGCCTTGTAAAATTTACATTGATAAGCTGTCTGTGAGACCGGTGCGAACTAGTTACAAGTTAAAAACAAACAGAACATAGGGGAGAAATATAAAGCTACAAAGCAAGTTGTTCATACCGGGTAAGAAGTTGGCTATTAAATAGCATACTTAATTAGTTATACATGATAATTTAATGTACCTGGCGAACTCTTTCCATGTCAATTTCAGCACGTCTTAATTTGTCCCAGCAGAAATGTTTAATGCAATTTTTTTTTGGAGCGCGACAAAATTCCCCAGTTAAATTGAATACATTTGAAACCAATGGACAACCACATACCTAAATTCAATTAATTGAATAACAATTTTTTTTTTTTTTTAATTTGAAGAATATAAATAATAAAAGATACATTAAATATTAAATTATCATTTACCTCAGTGTCGCTTATAATAGTAAAGTCTTTGAAATGTTCTGGACATAATACTCTTAATCTTTTACAATAGGTACCTTGCGACGAGTTATAAAAATCACAAAACATGTTGTTACCATCAATTCTAGTCTTGTATATAGATCCAAATGATGATTGACTTTCATACTGAATGTATTTAATACATTTATGAATTTATTAATTTATAATACTCAAACAGTCTTATTTAATTATATTTAAAGTTAAACCTTGTTAAAACATTTTTCCATATGTTTAATAGCAGTTCTAGTATGTATTTCATGTCCACAAGTCACACAATGCATGCTCATTTCTTCATCAACGTCTTGTACTTCTTGATTTAGATCCACAGTTAGTAATTTCGACTTTTCTAATAATTTATCTAACTCCTAAAGCAATAAAGATAATAAAATATTTAGTTTCAAAATTCCAAGGGGATAATATAGATCATAGTATTTAACATAATATTTTTAAATAAGTTAACTCAGTTTTAAAAAACAAACGATAGATTGGAAGCTCCAAAATTAACTAACAACACAAATATTAAGAGCAATAAATTGTATAATTATTTTTTTAACAAGTTAATAATATTATTTAAAATTTTTAAAAAATAATTTATTTAAAAATCGCAGAAGTAATTTTAAATTTATAGTTCAATTTAGAATTATAATATATTAATTAAGGCCCATGCATGTTGCTATTTGTCAAAAATTTAAATAAAAGCAAAATATGTTTTTCTACATTTATATTCATCATCATGTCCCTTAAAAATAAAAGTACCTGTATACAATACTAAAATATAGCTAGTTTAATTTTGTAAATTTTTACCTTATGTCTCTTGTCTAATTCTTTTAATATATCTCTGACTTCTAGCTGCTCCTTCCTTACTACTTCTAAGTTTTTTTTATTAGTTTCTTCGGCAATGCATGGTGATAAACTCCATTCTTGGAGTCTTGGAGGTAGCACCTATAAAAAAAAAGTTAAATATTTTATAGATATCCTTCTTATATAACAACTGTGGTCATGTTTTTGGTTTTACATTTTAAAAATATAATACAATTTGAAATTGATTTTAATTAATTGACATAAAATTATTAAATTAGGTTTTTTAGTTTATACTTAGATACATTATTATATTATCAAAATACTCTGATAGGTATTATAGAAAATTGGACATTTATCTTAAAGGTAGTTATTTTTTAAATGGTGTATCTCATTTCTAATTTAAGAAATGTAATTTGTTAAGTCAATGTTAAATTAAAAAGCTGGGGAAAATAACAAACATATATTATATATTTAAAATCTTAAATTATCTAGTCTTTGACTTTTTTGAAAAATGTTTTTGTTTATCACTCATGTAGAAAATTTCGAAAACTACAAGATTCAATATTTAATTTATTAGCTGTTAACTTTATGTGTTAAAAAAATAAAAATATGCAATCTAATAATTTAATATTTTTTTAATTCTCACATCAAATGAACTGGCAGTTAATGGATGGAAATTCCACTATCTAGCTATTAAACCCAGTCAGACAGCAACTGGAGGTTGAGTGACCACCAGAGTATATTTGCTCTAGACAATATTATTTTAAAAAAAGTCGTAATAATTATAAATGTATTAATATTACCTTTAAAATTATAAATATTTTTTTTTCCCTAGATAGTTTACGGTAAAGGATGGGGGGAAAAACAACAAGTGATTTACCCATTTGAATACATTGGAAAATCGTTTTTTCCATTGCCTCACCCTTTATACAAATATTTCTTAAGACAACTTTTTAAAAAATTACTAAATAATACAATAAAATTTGAAAACTTTTTATAACACACAATAATTAAAAAAAAAAATAATATCTACTAAATAGGTCTTCACTATCATTTGTAAATTTTGAATTTGTATATTGTAGCTAATTTTCTTTTGCCTTAATTGTTTTATGAATATATAATTTAGTTTGAAGCTGAGTAATTAAATATGTATAGACAACCGATATTTATATTTAGTATCGAATAAGTACTTATGTCGTGGCCGAGAGAATTAACGCAGCAGTGCTTTTATGTACTAGCTGTGATTTGACTTTGTCACTGGGCTTTTCTTCCGCTAGGCAGGCAACTGTCTAGAGAATGAAATGACCACCTGACTGATGTGGAAGGAAACGAGAAACCACCACACTATAAATCTCCTTCCCTAGGATACAACTCTTGTTTTTATAAAAGTTGTCAACCAACCTAAAAAAAAAGTACTTACATGAAAAATTCTTGCATTGGCCAAATTTATCCCACATTTATCCGAGCAGTATTTTGAATTATGTCTAGCCATTTGTGTACAACCAGGGCCATAACATTGGCCACGATTTGCGACTGGTAAATTAATATTGTGTTCTGCATCAGAACTCGAGTCTTTACGTTTTCGTTTAATGGGTTTTGATGCTGATCTATTTTCCTATTTTAAATCATAATAATATTCTGAAATTATCTTTATAATTTATAATCAGTCATTTTTAATATAAATATAAAACTGTGTTCACTTAATGAGTAGATATAGATATATATAAGTTGCAATAATCAACATATCATTTAAATGCAGTTCTGTTAGGTCATCATGATACACTCTTATACATACATACAGAAGTAAATTAATTAAATTCAATTTTTTGTAAGACCTGTTTGTTGAGTTTTTGACATTTTCTGTTTTCACATAAGTTTGTTCCACCAAATCTTCGCATTTCAATACACCCAAAACACAATCCACAGTCTTCAGTTTGTTTGCAGTTATCACATCGACCACATGATTTGTACTTGTGATGATGTCTTCCACGATTGTCTAATTAAATTTATTACAAAAATATAATACACAATGATAGTAAAAAACAAAATTTCTGTCATGTAATGTAAATTTATTTTATTAATAAATAGATAATCTTTATTATTAAATTATCTTGAGACTTTTGGACAAATATATTTTTTGAGAAATAATCAAACAGACAATAATCAGTCAATAATCAGACAGTGCCACAAAGATTTACTTGAAATGCCAAAAAAATAGGTTCTATACAAAAACTATATTAATTTTATTATTGAGCCCAAGGAAAAAACACGTTCCCCTGATTCAATATTTTATGATGAATAAACTATGTATATTCATACCAAGTTTACTAGTATCAAATTGATCATTTTTTTCTTTATTTTCACTACGACTTAATGAAGTCTTAAATACTGTTTTCAATGTAGGGTCTTCAGATTTACATTTCTAAAAAAAAAAAAAATAGTGTAAAATACGCACATATTTAACTTTATAATATATACATACATCACAAAAATATTGTTTAATAAGCTTAGATTGTTTTCTTGTTATTCCTATACAGTCACCGTGATACCAATCTTCACATGCATCACAACCTCTGTAACAATTTATGAAACTATAAATTTTAATTTTATTTCATTTTTACTTTTATAAACAATAATAAGTTAAAATCAAAACAAATACTTTTGCACTACAATTTTAGAAAGGAACTTCACTAATTAGGTTTGAAATAACCTTTAACCCTTTTATGGCTGTACCTTTCAGATAAAATAATAGATCAAACTGATGACTGTTCAAGTAAAACAACTATGCGATTACTTCACCATACAGGCTTACAAATTATCTACATAAAACGCTAGTGCGTAATGAAAAAATTAACATTTAGCTGCTATGGGTATTGTTGAAAATCCCACAAGTCCTACCAAATTAAACCATTTATCTTTATTGGTTAAACCGTAGTAGTTATGAAGTGATCCATGTAATATTTTTAGTTTGAGTGAATAGGTAAAGTTCATTTTTTGTTTGGTTTTCCTGTTTTATTCTATGTTTAACCATTACCGCCAACGTGTTAAGAATTGACAATTAAGTGTATTTACATCATAAATCTTGAACTATCAGATGATCGACAAATACAGTAAGCTTGGCCATCTTGTTTAAGCAGAGTAGCGATTTTTGACTTACGCTCAGGAAGCATAAATTGCTTAGCTATTTCTTCTTTCTAGAATTACAAATTATTATTTATAAAAACACAAAGTTAATCTTACACTACATCTTAGGACTTACAGAAAGTCTGGACATTGTTAATATTTTAAATGTAATTGGAGGCTAGAATCTAAAACTAACTATAATTAATATTAAAAAATGAAATCCAACATCTAAACAGAAATATCATTTATTAACTATTAATTTTAGCAAATAACTAGTGAGTAGTGACTTGTAAAGTTTATTTGTAAATTACAGGAATGCATTATTAGTTAAAAAATAACCCCATAAATAATAAAGATTCTTCATTATCTGTCATGAAAAATTAAAAACAATTTGTATTATCTGCTGGGAAATAGTGCAGTGTATCTTGTTAAAGAACGGAAAATACAAGCGTTCTTTTTAAATTTTAATCCATGAATATTCATGGAAGAACATCGTTATTGTTTTGTCTAACCACGAAAATTACTTTTCCGTTGATAAAATTTAGGGGTGATTGTGATTTGTATAAGATTTTTACTATTATGTTTTTTGTTTACACTTTTGACTTTAATCGACTATCAACATACACAGTTGCAATTTGCATTGATTAATTAGTTAATCATTGTTATTTATTATCCGTCTACCTACTTCAAGTGTGTTTTTTGTAATTCCAGTTTTGTGAAAATTATTAATAGTATACATCTATACTATAAAGTATTTTATTAAACTATTATACTTTTATCCTTTTTAACATTTTTATTCAAACTGGCGTCTTTTGATGAAGCTAATGAGTTTGAAAGTAAGAAGCGAAAGAAACACAAGCGAGATAAATATGAAGGTAAATTGAATAAGAATTTTGTGTGGGAAAATGTTGAGTGTTAAACCGGTGGCAGTAAGTATTAATGCACTGCCGCCTTACCCACTCAGATACTCGTCCTCCTCAATACAGTACTGATAGTTTTACTATGAATAAAACAAAAAATAGTTTGTTCCAATTTAAGTACATAGGTATCAATTTAATTTTCTCCCAGTTTTCAGTAGTATACAAACGAAACAAAATTTTTAACAAACTTGATAATTTATAATTTTGTTTCAGACAAAGAAAAACCAGGTGGTTTAAAATTGATTTTAAAAGTGGGTAGTGGGAGTTGCTTACCTACTGATGAAGTAGTTAATAATGGAAATCATGAAATGGAGGATTATTTAACAAAATCACATAAAAAAAAGAAAAAGAAACACAAGCATCATAAAGAAAAAAAAAAGAGGTTGCGGGATGATGTCATAATGCATGAAGATGTGAGTTTAGGTGAAGAAACTCTAGCAGAAGCACCGTTGTCAAAGCGTAATGGAGATTTGGGTAATGAAAACCGATTGCCATTGAAATATGATGAGTCTCAAGTTGGTGAGTTATTACATTATAATTTATAATATAATATTATATATATATATATATATATATATAATTTTGTTTTAAATAAATGTTTTAGTTTCAAATGAATGGGTATCAGATGATGCTAATAACCTTAATGAAAACCGCCAGACCTTGCAACAATTACTAACACATTTGTTGAGAGCCTTAGAGCGCCGTGACCCACAACAATTATTTGCTTGGCCAGTGACTGATCGCATTGCACCTAATTATTCTCGTATGATATCTAAACCAATGGACTTTGAAACAATACGAAAAAATATTCAAGGCAATCGCTATGGTAGTCTTAACGCATTTTTCGTAAGATCACATTATTATAATTATCATATTTCTTTAGATGTTTATTACGTCTATGTGGACTATTATTATAAATGTTTATGGCATAATTTACAATTTTTAGGCTGATATCAAACTGATGTGTGAGAATGCCATGACATACAATCAACCAGAAACCATTTACTACAAGCAAGCTAAACGTCTTCTTCACGCAGGTTTAAAACTTACTGGTCCTGAAAAATTGAAAGCTTTGTTAACTGCATTGCCTGGAATGGCGAATATCCCACCATCTCAATTGGGTTTTGATATTAATCAGGATTACCATGGAGATACGTCAAATGATACAATAATTGAAAATAATGACCGCTCATCTGAAAGACTCCTTGATATTGATCAATCAAACCAACGCAAATTATTGTATATTTTATTATTATATTAAACTGCTCATAAGTCTATGTATGCATTTAATCGATTACTTTTATTTTAGATCAAAGTTTGAAGCAATACCTGATAATATGACACCTGAAGAAATCCTTAAACAAACACAAAATGCTGCTAAAACTGCTTCTGACAAATTGGCTACTAAAAATACTAAGGTATTTTATATAATACTATGCTTTTTTGATTTTAAACCATGAAGTGTAGCTTAGTTGGGTGTCTAGTTATTAACCAGACATTTCTTAGTATATTTTGAAAAAAATCTAATTTAAAGCTTTATCTACATATAATTATTAGTGAAGTAATTAGGACTTCTTTGGTAGTTAATTTTTTTTTGATTAACAGCAAATTTAAGTGTTTTTCAAATAGATGTAGTTATGCAGAATGCGTTTTACTCAGTCCATGGTGGTTTTAGATCAAAAGCTATGTATTATGATGAAATCGAATGATGATACAGTTTTAATGACAATGACAAAGACTTCTATTTTTAGTATGTCATAATTTAGCTTAATACTTGATGAAAATAAGGAGTTTTTTACTACTTAAAAACTGTGAACTTTTTATCTAAGAAGTATTTTGATAAAAGCATGTGTCATTGTTTTTAAAATATTGTTCTCTTTCATTTTTACCATGGGCGATTTTGCTTTAAAACTATGATGGACCTATTTAAATGTATTCTGAGTAGTCAGGTTTTACTCTAGAAATTAGTAATTATAATGTCCTCAAGTTAAATTGATATAATGTCAATAAATTTTATTTCTAATTTTTTTAATAGATGGGATTTTTAAAACAACAAAACAATGGATCTACATCTTTGTCAATCTTAGTTCCAAATGATGGTATTAATCCAGAAACAGGAGAACGTCCTGTTCTTTTAGGATCATTAATTGGAAAACTTACTCATGGAGTTGGATCACTCTCAGGCTTTCGTGAAGATAGACGTAATATGGTGAAAACTGGTGCGTTGTTAACATTTGTATATGAAATGTCACTTTATTTAAAAACAACAATTTTTTTGTCTAGTAAAACCTTTATATTATGGTGCATTTGGTTCTTACGCTCCTACATATGATTCAACATTTGCCAATATAACAAAAGAAGAATCTGATTTGGTTTTGAGTACGTATGGAGATGAAGCATCTGCACAATATGCAGAGAGGTAAATAAATAATTTATATTTTAGACTTTTGAAACCTTATCAACTGTTATATATAAAATGGTTGATAAGGCTTAAAAATTATTAAGTGGCATACCAAATTATTAGAGCTGCCGATTAAACGTGTAAGTAAATTAAAGCCGCAATTCTATACGTGTATTTTAAATACACGTGAAGGACAAGATTCGTGTAGTTTGAATACACGTGTAGAAGTTTGTGTAGTTATAAGTACACGTGTACCTGTAACTACACATATTCGGTATTCTTACAACTGTAAGTTTTAATAAGACCTGTAGTTTTACGTGATACTCTTCTTTAATTAATGCTTTTCACTAAGATAAAGTATTATGGCCATTGGGTCAAGTTAGTGGAATTTCGGTTCCTACACGTGTATTTATAATTACACGAACTTATACTCGTGAATTCGAACTACAAAAACTTTTCCTACAAGTGTATTTATAATACACGTGTAGAATCGTCGGCTCTACAAATTATTTACTACCTCTTTCTCTTTCTCTCGCGTTGGTTCATCTTATTCTCAAACATGATGTGGATGTTTGGCATTTTCGTAGCTAATATCCAAGCTTGTAGTTCTTCTCCTGGTTCGTCTGTGTTGTTATACCCCCAAGTAGTACTTTGGCTGTTAAAATCGCCAGTTACTAGAGCGGGGTTGCTGATAACTGGCAGAGAGCTGGGTGCCCAGTTTAACATTGGTGGTTTGTATACGTTATATATTGAGAATCCATTTATGCTGACACCTATGGTAGCTATATCGCCGTGTGTAGTTGTGTGTAGGATGCTATGCGATTTTATGGTATCTTTGACGTAGATAGCTAGTCCATACTTTGGATGTAGGTATTGGCATGCGAGGGTAAATCCAGTGATTGAGTATTTTGAAGCCCTATCTTGTGGGACATGAGTTTCTTGGAGAGAAAGGACGTCCGCTGCTTCATCCTTCGCAACGCGGGCAAGATAGTCACATTTGGCTTTGGACAGGCCTTCGACGTTAAGTTGAAGTACTGTGAGAGTAGGATCCGGGGTACAGTTTAGACCGGGGGGTCCTCGTCCATGCGGTAGCCTTGAAAAAGGCTGTTTTCATTGTTTGATGTTAGTGAAACGCTCATATATTGGCCGTGTATCCAGCGAAGGACGGCAGTCGAAGTGTTGGCTATTAGTCGTCTTACGTATTTCCGAAGAATAACTGCGTGCAGTGGTGGCCTCGTGCAGGCTGCCAACAAACACCCCCTTTAAAATTGATAGCTTTCAAAATTAATTCCTTTCTTAAGATTAGATGGGCAATCCATATTGCAAGGGATATTATGTCTATACTATATATACATATATTAATTATTTTGATATTATGCGGCATGGCTTTCCATGCATTGAAAACGGTATGTAGTATATTGCAGTTTCAACCGAAAACACCATTTAATGAGACGACACACCATTATTTTTTCCTAAAAAAAAATTTAACAAATTCTTATCTGCTTAACTAGTATTTTTTGAATAATGACGAATGATTGTACAATTATGACATTTATTTTTAAACTTGCTTTATTATTGATAGGAAATATACAATATCTATAATAGCTTGTTCAACTTGTAATGTTAAATTTCTTTTAGAGTAATAATAATAATAATATTTGTAATTTTATTTAGTATCTTAAATTTCACCAAGGATTCTGATTATGCTATGACTATGGCTGATAACTTGCTTGATTTAATGACTGGTGGAGATCATAGAAAAACAAAACGTATCTTAGAAGACCGAAAAAAACAAAAAAATATAAATGAAGACAGTAAGAAATCTATTCAACTACAGCAACCTGGGTCTGTTCAACCATTAGTTAATTCACAAGTTAATATTGGGTTATCAAATAATATATCTACAAATAATCAAACAAAAACAGCACCAATACAAATTGACCAATTAAAATCACTATCCGAGCTGGGAATTGATACAAAATTTATTGACTATTTCCGTAAGTATATTATTTTAAGACAGTTCAACTAATCCCTGCCTATTACGATGAAAAGAATGTTCTCAAATTTTTTTAAAATTATTTTGGCCACGATCAAATAAAGTATTTAAAATTTTTTTTCTTAACTCTTCTTTTTTTATAGTATTCTTTAACAATAAAAAATAAGTATTAAAAATCAGTTTCTTATGTAAAATAATCTCTGCTTTCTGAAAAAAATATTTTTAATCATTTTTGTGTGAGTGACAGAAAGTCATTAAAATTGAGTTTATCATCTAGTTGGTTTTTTCGTGTTACCCAAAATTTAAGGATTTTTCTAGTATTTTTTCTGGAAGTTGAGATAATTTTACACAAAATGTGTAAATTTAAAACTTGGTTCTCCATAAAAACACTTAGAAAAACAAAAAAAGAGATGAAATTTCATAGAAAAATTTCAAAAAAACGGTAATAAATGACCACAATAATCAAAATAGTTATACATAAAAATAAGATTATTTTTAATTTTTCCACTTTTCTATGAAATTTCACCTCTTTTTTTTTTTTCAGCGCGTTTTTATAAAGAACCCAATTTAAAATTATTAAAATATATTCATATATTATTAAATTTAAATGTCTGTTTTTTCAGTTTTTTCATTTTTTTTTTTTTGTTGTGATTTTAGAAGAGCAAAGTGTATTTCAAGATAGATTAGATCAAGTTGGTGGTTTATTAGGCCGTTTACAAAATGTACAAAACCAACGACTTAGTGCTCCTCTTCCACAACATCTTTCCCAAATTGCACAGCCTTCTCAACATGAAATACAATTAGGTAATCAACATTTCTATTATTAGGTGCTTCTTATAAATTGTTAATTAGTTTTATAATAGAGTCACTTTATTTGTTTTTTTTATAAAAACTATTATTTAATGAAAACCCAATAGACAAAAATATTCTCTTTAATGCGAGTACGTATTTCGTCAACTACGTTGCCAGCGCTAACTGAGGAAAAACCAGCAATACATTTTCCTTATACAGTAGTGATGGCGTCGTACAGAAAGCAAAGACTTATCGTTAACCCTATTTTTTACAAAATACATTAAATGACTGTAAAAGACTTAAGATCCAATTTTAGTGTAGGTGAGATAAGAAATAATTATAAAAGACAAACTAATAAGTGGTACTTTTTGGAAAATCATTAAGAGGGGTCCCCTTATTAACATACTAAAAATCCCACCCTCCACCTTTTTACTAATATTTTGGAGGAAGTTATAAATACCTCCAAAACTGTTTTGTTAAATTCTTGAAAAATATTATACTTAGGACAAAACTTTTCCCACAAAAGTTGTTCCTTGTGTAATTATCTATAAGTTTGCTCCTTAAACTAAATTTCTTAAGTACTAAGTTGAAACATTATTTTTTTCGTTGTCTAACATTGACAATATTATCATCGCTATCTTCATTGGAATTTACTTGCACTTTGTAGGTGTTAATGACACCAAGTTAAATTTCTTCACAGCAAGTTTAGTAAAACACGAATAACAGAAGGTGTTCAGTGGTGTTTCTTTTTTTGGTGCTCCATAAGTTGCTTGCAGGTTTTTTATTGACACACTGCAAACTTATTATGGCGATGTATTGGAATTGTAATAAACTATGGACACACAGTCTAATCGATCGCTGAATGTGTGTGTTTCTTTCCTTTAGTTTTCATATTTAATTTGGTTATCAACTATTTTAGTTAATAAATGTAAGAAAGGTAATTTTTCATTTTGTATATAAATTGAATTTATGGGTTTTAAAAATTTAATTTTTGTTAATAATTGCATGTCAAAATCTTTGGGTTTTGTTAGAATAACACCAACATAATATCTTATCCGTTTTCTTGGAAATTTGGTAAAACTGTTTTTGCGTTTTCAAGTTTGTCTATAAGTAACTCATCTATAAAAGGTTAAACAAAATAAAGAAACAGCATGAGCAATTCCTTATCACCTTTCTCTTAGTATGTCGTGAGTGCTGATGATGATAGCATTGTTACCAAAATATATGTGTAGGCTAAAATATATTATTTTTTAGTGTAATACTTTATTATGTTATTACTTAACCATTTATAACCCCAAGTTTTGCTTAGGTTTTTTTTAAATTAAAATAATTAAAATGTTTACAGTTTTTGTGTTATCCAAGATTGCTTAACATTTTTACCACTAACTAATTATTAAAATAAATTAACTACTTATGGGAGTGATGCAGTGGTATGAGGTGTCAAACTTGGTATTAAAGATATCGAGTTGGACTCCCATGACACTGTGAAACAGATATTGTCTACCCCACCAAATACAAGCTTTGATTATTTGAGGGGGGGGGGGGCAAAATATCAGAAATATAATCTAAAATAATACTGGTAATAATATTATACTCGATTATCATACATACGTATGGATTCATAGATGTAGGGGTATTTAAGTATGCTCATACTGATGGAAAATATGTTTTTTTTTTTAATAATAATTATTAAGTATTATAAAATGAAAAAGAAATGAAATGTAATACTCTGTGTATTAACATATGTAATTGTAATATGTAATATGTAATCTGATTTTGCCATGTGTTCATTAGTTTAAAAATATTCAAAAAGATTCATTTCATGACAACACAAAATATTATTTTTCAAACTTTTTGAGTATATATATAATATATATATATATATATATGTATATTTTTAACTTTTTTTTTTATATATTTAATTTTTATACTATTTTCATGGCCAAGTTTGGCTGTTTTTTTTTAACAAATGAAATTTAATTATTAATTAGTAAACAGTGTCTAACAACAACTAACAGTATGAAAAGTTAATGAAATTCACAAATTACAATTGCATATTATCGTATTTTTTTTTATTATAAATTTAACAAGTAATCATTAACTGTATTATTTTAATAACAGCGGATAAAATTACTGAATCGCTGACAGAAAATTTAAAAAGAGTTCCTCCTTCAGCTGTAATGTCAGTTACTGGCGTACGAAAAGCAATGGGAGTGGCCCAAATATCTCAGATAGATATTGGACAAAATAATTGTCATTCATCGAGTGTAGTAATAGGTTCGTCCAGCCACCAACAAACACAGGTATGTTGCGTATAATAGTTGGCTTTTTTTTCCAATTTTTATTTTAATACTTTTAAAAACTTAGTTCTGCTCTTAAAGTTTTGTTTTTAAATATATTACTGATTTTTTGTAATTTTTCTCTATCACAAGTGTATTAAGCTATTAGCAAAACTTAAAACAAATTTTTAAATTATAATATTTCAAAAATAAAAAAAAAAACATGATCTTTTACATAAAAAAATCAAAAATCTGTTTCCTACAAAGCCTAGTAAAGTTTCCAAATTATTCTTAAAGCTTTACAGAATTGTAATCAGACCATCCTAAATAACTGAAATTTTGTCTGGCTTTTTTATAAGTGAATAATTAATTTATAAAGCTAACTATTTACGATACCACATTGTTTTTTGTGTAAACTACATTGGTATATTAAATACATTGCATGTGTAATAATTGAAAAAAAAAATGTGTGTAGTTAAGGGTTGATCTAATGAATAGTTTTTTATCTTTTTGTCTAGGATAATATTAACCATCATTAATATTAAAATTCTTTCACAATTTATATAAATATGATCATAGTCCATAAAATGTAGTTTTTAATAGTTTATTTTGGTCTTATTAAAAATGTATTGATCCCATGTAGTACTTCCTAGAAGTAATGTCTGGCGTGTATGTGGCGATTAACATTAAACTTTTAGTTAATATTAAATATAATACTAATTGTAATGTGTCTAACTTAAGGTATCATTGCTTAATGATGGAATACAAGAACGTGTCGATGCTGTTGAAGGAACTGTCTCAGGAGTTGATCTAGAGTCAGAACTTAGAGAATTTCTTGAAAGTGATCCAACATTAACTAGTTTTCCATTGCATGACGAAAATGATCGAACTATTGAAGAAATATTGTCAGAATCATAAATTATAAAAATGTATTTTATCTATATTATATTTATCTTGTGGATGTTTGAGTTTGTATTTTAAGTGGTTATTAGCATATAATAATACTAGTAGTAAAGTTTTTATGACACTAAATATTAATTAAATGTTTGTTTTTAATTTATACATTTTTTTTTATTGATTCAAATAATTCTTAAAATAGTATAAGAACAAAAGTATATACTATAATATTACTGTATTTATTTTATAATCTGCTGATATCTAGACATAAAACTTGCATTTTATTAATTACTTAATGTAAAGTTGAATTAGAAGTAAATGTAAATAAAATGTCAAACACATTAGAAATAAGAAATCGCTTTTGGCCATAACATATGTTAAATAAAATTAACATTTAAGTATTTTTCCATGTTTTACATTATAAGTGAATTATTAATATTATTTAGGTATACAATAAAAATGACAAATTGTAAATATTTCAAAACTTAGTCATTAATTATTACTTATTATTATACTGTAAAATATTAAAACAATTTAAAATTGTAATAGTTTATAGTGTAACATATTGAACAATTATAATACATTATTATACCCATGTGTTGACTATATTTTAAGGTTTAAATAAATAGCATTGTGTATGCTGGTTAAAAGTTAAGACCGCTGTCATCATCTAGCTTTTATCATGCAAGCTTAACAGGACATGAAGGCCCAACACTGCTATCATGAGATGGTTACTAGGCAGATCCGTTTTCCAGGAAAGTAGTCAGTCCGTCGCTGGAGAGTAGGATGGCAGCTCCTTTTCACCGTACGATTGCTCGCCTGGCAAACAGTGCGCCCGTGACTGAGTGTCAAACTAGCAACAGTCAGCGGTAATACACTGCCACATTACCCACTCAGCCACTCCTACTCCTCCTCCTCGGCCGCTCTTAACTATAAAAGTATGAAAACGAATAACTTAAAAAAGTCTAATATTGATATTAATCTTATGAGATATTGACTGGTTCCTAGTTAGCGAATCACTTTTTATGTACATTTTAATTATATACTTATTTAGATTATCTATTTTTATTACTAACTATTAAATAAATATTTCCCCAGATATAAATTGGTACAAAATAAAAAATAAGTTACACAAAAAAAAAAAACAAACATAAAATAAAAAGACAACACAGTGGTCTTAAGGGATAAAAGGAATGGAAGAAAGAGAAGTCCGTATAGTCGGCACTCGGCATATTCTATGTTATGACAAAATATATCCATTACATTATTAAAATTTAACATGTGTATACATATAATTATGTATGCCAAATAAAAAATACAAGATATCATTAAAATCGTACGTCAGTCAGAATGTTAAAATTGGATATATATGTATTACAAAATAATATTTCTATTATACAAACAAGTGTACCTATAAAACAAATTTCATTTGGTCCACAAAAAGCACACAGTACTTAGTAAAATCTCTTAATTTTTCTTCTATTTAGCTCCATAGAAGTTAGAACTAAATAAAACATCATTATTCCTGGCACTATGTCCAATTTTTATGTAGCTCTGCATAATTTCCTAGCAGTTGGTATTTGTAAAATATTTTTTTTAATAATCTATAGGCCATTATTGTTTTGAAGAAATATATGGTTAGAGTTATTTGCTTCAGTTTGGATAGAATACTTCATACAAATAATCTACAGATATATTCATCGATGATAATTGTTTTTGTGTTCAGTTAAACACTTATTTTGCAATTCACGACCTTGGATTCTCAAATCTTGTTTACTGAGGATACTTACAGAAAGCACTTAAATAGTTTGGGTACACATAAAAACTCATAACAAGGCTGCATTCAGAATTTGATGTTGTGTTCAATGAATTTGTGGAATACGACAATTTTTTATACAATAAAAATAAATAATGATATAATCCCCTACTAAAATTATTATCTTCTTCTTGTCTACAGCCTCAAGGACCACACTGACAAACGAAGCTCGTTCTACCTATCTCACTACCTAGAGCTAATTCCCTCCAATATATATGTGGATCTCAAGTTTTCTTTTTTTCATTTCTAATTTGATCTACCCATCTTGTACGTGGGCACCCTAATAGTCTTTTATTTTAAAGGATACATTGTACGAATTTATCAAAGTTCCTAAGAAATCTTTCCTCCACGAGTATCCTGTCCATTGAGTTTTTTCAAAATGTAATAATTTATGTATAAGTATCAATATAATTATTTAATATAATAATTAATATAATTCAACTAGGTATTCAAGGCAAAGGATTTTCTATTTCCCTGGTTTAAAATTCAAAGCAACTTACAGCTTTCGTGTTTGTAGTTTGACGTTATTTTAGACCATATAATATATAGGTAATTAACTTAAGAAAGTTTTTCATATATTTAAAAAAAAATGCATTTTAATTACATTTTATATTTAAATTTGTGTTTTTATAAATCGTATAGGATTCCCGAATTCCGGTTATATACAGCACATAATTTGTACGTACCTAACCTAAAATATATTTTTAAATTTGGCGCCACTCACGCGGCATCGTTGAGGATGGAGGCATAGCCGGTAGAAATACGCGTGTCATCGTTGAGTCCGTGTTAGTAATCGTTATTAAAAAGAGAAAAATATTTGTTATCGACTTTACAAATATTATCGCATTACGGCCGATTTTGGTATATCTGCTGTTAAAAATTTTGTCGTGTCTACTGTCCACAGTGCATATTCATTTTTCAGTACCCGTTGTTAAGGCCTGAACCGTTTTGATCTAAAAAAACTTTTTTTTTTGTATACTTGTTTTTGCTCGACAATTTTATTATCTTTTTATAAATCTTGTATTTTGTTATTTAGAACGTGTTAGTAGTTGTTCTTTTCGTTACAATCGGTGTAGCATGATAATGACTTGGCAACCGCAAGAAGAGGGATTAAGGCAAATCATTCAACTGCTTAAAGAATCTCAGTCACCAGACACTGTAATCCAACGAACAGTGCAACAAGTATCCTTTAAATCTTAATTACCAATCATTATTTACACCAGTAATCGTCTGGGTAAACTATAGAATTAGGTAGTCACATTTTGAGTATGGTGTTGGAAAACCACCTGCTGTAATATTTTAAGCTTGAGTTTTTATGAAAAATTTGTTGTGTTCCAACATTCACAAATTTCAAATATTTTATTTACCTAAAAGTACCTGTTGTGTTTTAAATAACATTTTATTTAATTATAATTTCCCATTTTAATAGTGATAAGACCCTAGTAAACTGTAAGAAGTTAACGTTTGTCTCTGTATTTGTAATATTATTAGAGGATGTATTGGTATTGTTTGCTTTTTAAAAATTGACGTTTGATTCATTAATTTAAGTGTTAAATTTTGGATTTTTGAAATTGTTATGAAATATTATTTTTGTAGTTGAATTTTGTAAAACACAATAAATTATTCAATCAGACTATTTAAATTTATACACATAGACTTATTGTTAATTTCTTATATATGTATATCAAATTGCAACTAACCTTTTCAACTACTTTTATTCACTTATAAATTTGAGTATTTTGACGCTAAAACCAGACAATTTCATTTTGGTTCTTATATTGTATTAATTAATTGGAAATACTGTAAAAGAAGAATTTGTTTGTTCTTTATATAATTTTTCTTAGTAATATGAATTAGAAACTAGAAGAATTGAATCAAGTAGCTGATTTCAACAACTATCTTATATTTGTTCTGACGAAACTTACATCGGAAGGTAAGATTATTCACAACTTATATGATGGGTCTGGATGGGTACAACTACTTAACCGCACAAAACTTGAAACAAAAATTTAAGTTTTTCAATATATGTATGATAAATTAATCTAAAAACTTTGGACAAATTTTATCGATGTAGTTTGAGAAAGCATGGTAAATAACATGTTTTACCAAGAAATTAAAATACAAAAAATATTACTGTAAAATGATACTAACCAAAAACACTTCATATACTGTTAATTTATCTTTGACTCTACAATATATAAAAAAGTTAATGCTGATATGTAGTTAAAGTTAATTATTTGAAAAAGTCATAAGTTAAATGGTATAAAATTAATAACATTTAAGTTATTACCTAACGTATACTTTTTAAATTAAAGTAAATAATTTACATTAAATTTCATATAAAATCTAATAATCAAGTTTAAAAATTACATTTTATTTATTTGTTATACCTGTGTTTATTTAATAACATTTATGTTGTGTCTAAAGATAAACAGTATATTTTTTGATATTGCACATACAGTGCAGTGTACTATAGCAGTGCAGTAGTTATTAAGCATGTGCAGTAAGATGTATAATTTTGCTCGTCTATTAACCTCGGTTAGATCTTGGATACAACACGTTCCATGGATAAGATAGACTGGAGGTCTGTCCAATGTAAATTATATAAGCTATTTATTATAATTGTCAAGTGATAACATTTTTCATACTCACGTAAACTTACAATAGTTCTTATGATGTAGCTTTCATCAGTTTAAACTTATTTATTAATTTAAATTTTAAACCCCTCCCAAATGAAAGGTTAGATTAGGTAATAACTCACATACTTAATTTGTTTTTATATTTTGTTTGAAAAAAATAATATACTAGCATAGAAACTAAAACATGTTACTCCCAGCTGTGCCAGCGCATCCGATCATTTTTAATACTATTTTTAAGTAATTTAATTGTATAATGAACATTTATGTTGTATTGTATTGTTTTTAATAAATAATTGATTGATTTTTTTTTGTCATTTAGATGAACCTACAAGATCATTAAGTGGTTTAATTTTAAAAAACAATATCAAAAGTCACTATGAAACTTTATCTCCTTCAGTAACGGAGTTTGTGAAGTCTGAGTGTTTAACTGCAGTTGGAGATACATCACCATTAATAAGAGCAACCGTTGGTATACTAATTACAACAATAGCATCACGTGGTATCAATACATGGCCTGAATTGCTGCCAGCTTTATGCCAAATGCTCGACTCCGCTGATTATAATGTTTGTGAGGTAAGATAATATAAAAAATATTATACTTGCGAGAGAGAATGCATAACGTTCACACATTCAAATGACTGTGCTACACTGTCTCAAAGTTAAATTTCTGCCACGCACTTTGTGTCACTGTACAGCGGTCACTAAAAATCAGAGCACTCCAATAGTGGGCGATGTGTTTTGTTGGTGGAAGGTGCTCGAGGAAGTTTACTGGTAAAGATGCAATAGAATGAACAAGTTACAGTAGGCAGTCATTTACGTTCTCTCATGAGACGGAGTATAACAAATTACATATTGGTTAGGCATATTGGATAGTATTTTATAATAAACTGACTCTTCTCTTGTGAGACGAAGTATAACTATAGTGCATGAAATAAATAATATCTGAACTTCACGAATTTAAAGAAATTCAATTCTAATGCTTCCAGCGTAATTAAATAACTAAAATTAAAAATAATATTTAAAGTGTAGTTACTCATTCTTTCTCTTAAAATAGTAAAATCAAAGAAATCTGCATTTCTCTTTATTCCTTATCAATTATCATCGTTTAAATGTTTTATTATTTTAGGGTGCATTTGGAGCACTGCAGAAAATTTGTGAGGATTCATCTGACTACTTAGAAGATGACAGACAAAACAAGCCTCTTGATATTCTTATTCCAAAATTTCTACATTTTTTTAAACATTCAAGCCCAAAAATTAGGTAAAACTCTTTATATTTTGTATAACTTTAAATAATTAATAGAAATGTTACATGATTTTTACAGGTCTCATGCAATTGGCTGTGTGAATCAGTTTATTGTCCAAAAAACTCCTTCTTTAATGAATCACATTGATATGTTTTTAGAGGTAAAATCAAATACATTTTTATGTCTGTATTATAATTTCACTTTAACTTTATCTTTAAAGTAAAGATAATTATTTTCAAGTATTTACTGAAGTAATTCAATATAACTATTTAACATATTTTAATATTTGGCAAAATTTTAAACTTCGGCAAACATTTTAGTTTTATACAATTCTTTAACTTTATTTTTAGAACTTATTTCATTTGGCAGTCGATGATGAAGCAGATGTTAGAAAAAATGTGTGTAGAGCAATAGTTATGCTTTTAGAAGTAAGAATGGACAGATTACTTCCACATCTCCACGATATCATAGAGGTTAATATATTATTCTTATAAATAATAATATTTTTATTTATGATAACTTTTAAATATTTTATCATCTCTTGGACACAGTATATGTTATTAAGAACACAAGATCCAGATGAAAATGTGGCATTAGAAGCTTGTGAATTTTGGTTATCTATTGCCGAACAACAAATATGTAAAGAAGCTCTTACTCCTTATTTACCTAGACTTATACCAATTCTTGTTAATGGAATGCGTTATTCAGAAATTGATGTAATATTGTTGAAGGTTTGATCTTATAATTCCTTAATAACATTACAATCATATAATCATTTATTATAAACATTATTATGTTATTTATTTATAGGGCGATGTTGAAGAAGACGAAAATGTTCCTGACCGCGAAGAAGATATTCGTCCGAGATTTCATAAATCACGCACACATGGTCATGAAGAAGATAATAATGAAGAAGAAGATGAAGATAACTTAGGAGATGATAGCAGTTTGTCTGACTGGAATCTAAGTTAGTTAATATTACAAACTAAAATAGTATTTTTTTACCTTTTTGTCATCCTTTTTTCCCTGTAAATATTATTTAAGTATCAAAATGTATTGTAAATAATGTTTACCAAAATATAGTTAATACTTTTGTTATTTAAATTATCTAGGGAAATGTAGTGCAGCTGCTCTAGATGTATTGGCTAATGTATTTAAAGAAGATATTCTTCCTATACTGATGCCTATTTTAAAAGAAACCCTTTCTTCAAATGAATGGGAAGTCAAAGAATCTGGTATCTTAGCCCTTGGTGCCATTGCTGAAGGTATTTATTAGTTAAATTAATATTTATTTTTCCGTTTTTTAATTTTGAATGAATATTTTTAATAGGTTGTATGAATGGTATGATTCCGCATTTGAATGAATTAATTCCTTACATGATTAATCATTTGAGTGATAAAAAAGCATTAGTTCGAGCTATAATATGTTGGACTCTTTCTCGTTACTGTCACTGGGTTGTTAGCCAACCACATGAACAATATTTAAAACCAATGATGCACGAAGTAAGTTAATACATTTTTGTAAAAATTATATTTGTAATGACTAAAATTAACTTGAATATATAATAGGTCTAATAAAGTCTTATCTAAAACTAAAGTGTATTATCTAAAACTACATGTTCCAAAAAAAATTACCAAATAGCAAATAACATAACATTTATTTATCTTTTGGGTTAAAATTAATAATATTTTTTCTTATGACTATTATTAATATTTATCCCTGCAGAAAGGGACTAGACTACTCTCACGGTACATCTATGGGGGATTGTGCTTAGTGGAGGCTTAGTAGTAGGGTGAATGACCCCAATAAGTTGGGATGAAGGGGAAGGAGAAAAAGAAGATAATAGTTATTAATATTTAATTTTAACATTAATAATTAACAATATAATTGCTTTATTTATGTTCTTAGCTTTTAAAAAGAATATTAGACTCCAATAAAAGAGTTCAAGAAGCAGCTTGTTCTGCTTTTGCCACATTAGAAGAAGAAGCAACTACAGAACTAGTACCATATTTAGGATTTATTTTGGAAACACTAGTCTTCGCTTTTAGCAAATACCAGGTAATATAAACTCAAACAAAATCATTTGTGTATTGTTTAATTCATATTTTATTGTTTAGTATATTTAGTTACACTCTAATTTGAGTAAAAAAACATTTTAGTTATTCTCAATTTTGAATAGTGAGTGGCGAACTGTTATAAATGTTGGCCTTATTAATAAGGTATTAAAGTAAATTCTGTTTTTAAGACTGTATATAAGAAAAACATTGGTCAAACGATAAAACATTTTTTACGAGTCCTACCACTTACAAAAAAAAATATATATATTGTTAAACTTTTAATTTATTTGATCTTATACTTCTTTCATCCTTCCATTTCACCATCTTTCCTTGGACAATTAGAGTTCTCTTTAACAGCTTATGCGTTACTTTAATACTGACCATCTTTTTCAATTGATTAATTTTCTCTGTGTTAATGTCTGTAATTATTATTTGAAATTTAATGTATTTTGTATTAAGTACTTTGCCCATATTGTAATAATAAAAAAAAAAACTTATCAGCTTCATATTAAAGCTAAAAATAATAATTTCCAATGTTGCAGCATAAAAACTTGTTAATACTTTATGACGCAATTGGAACTCTAGCTGACTCAGTTGGTCACAATTTAAATAAACCTGAGTATATAAATTTACTAATGCCACCATTAATCCAAAAATGGAATGCATTGAAAGATGAAGATAAAGATCTTTTTCCACTATTAGAAGTAAATATATTTTTTAAATAGTTAGTATTTATTGTAATTGTTTTTAACTAGGGTAATAGTAAATTGTTTGTTCAAGGTTTTTCTACATTAAATTGTTCATTCAATTAAATAAAAGTAATTATAATGTTTTTTTAAATAGTGTTTATCTAGTGTGGCGACTGCTCTGCAATCTGGATTTATGCCTTATGCAGAACCAGTATTTAAAAGATGTATTTCTCTTGTGGAACAAACACTAAATCAAAATATTGTAAGTTTTTATTTAGGAAACCGTACATTTTTATTTAATTATTATTCATATTTAAATAATACTGACATTGTTGCTTATTTAGGCAAATTCACAAAGTCCTGACCAGTTTGATGCGCCTGACAAAGATTTTATGATTGTTGCTCTTGATCTTCTTTCTGGATTAGCAGAAGGATTAACAACATTCATCGAGAGTTTAATTAGTGGATCAAACACCTTACAATTACTTTATCAATGCATGCAGGACCCATTGGCTGAAGTGAGACAGAGTTCATTTGCTCTTCTTGGAGATTTGACTAAAGCGTGTTTTCAACATGTACATCCTTGCATAGGTAAAATTAGATAATATTTACAAACTAGTGTTCTAATGTTATTTTTGTATTAGGAAAATTTAATTGGGTATTTTTACTTTTTTATTAATATATGTTGATTTTTAGGTGATTTTATGCCAATCTTAGCACAAAACTTAAATCCTGATCAAATTTCTGTCTGTAATAATGCAACATGGGCTATTGGAGAAATTGCTGTAAAACTTGGTAAATAATCAATCATTTTAATACTATATTCTTGATTTTTTTATAATCAATATTTAATTTAACAGGTACTGAAATGCAACCATATGTACCAATGATACTTAGTCAACTAGTTATAATTATGAATCGGCCAAATACCCCTAAAACATTATTGGAAAATACAGGTAGATATATTTTTTGCCTGTTTTATTAAAACAAATTAAATAAAACGTATATTACTGATACTACATTAAACAATTACTATTAACAGGTTATTCTTAAACTAATATATTGCATACTATTTAATTTGATAAATGTGTACATTATAATAATGTATACATTTTATGTTTGATAGTGCAATATTGTAAAATGATTTATAGGTTTTAAAACAATCTATACTCTATTCAAATTAAGAATGAACTAACGCAGGAACTAAAACGCATTACTCCTGCTGGGCCATTTAGGTTTTGCGTGGTGATTTGTTCTTAAGTTGAACAGTATGTAATGTAGTTCATTGAATAATCATCAAAATTATTTTTTCAACGTACAATATATTATTATAGTTAAATATGATTTTACTTAAAAATAGTTAACACCTTTACTATGGTTGTTACATTCATATACTTAATATATTTATTTTGAATTTTAGTATTTTTTTTATCTTGTCTTTATTATACGTTATTTGAGATATAGTTTAAACTTAATTAAATATTAAATTAAAACAAGGTATACATTAAAATATTTAGTACAAAGTACTGTTACTATAACTTTTGTACTAAATTAAAAATTGTAATGTTTACTACAGGTATTGCAATTTATTCTGCAAACCAAATCTATAGTTAATAGCTAAACATAGTAGAACATTTTCTTTTTACGCTTTTTTTCAAGTAATTAAGCACAAGAAAAAATAAGGTTATGAAAATAACATTAATTTATTTTCTTTATTTTTTTGGTAAATTTGGTCGTGTTAAATTATTATTGTTTACTATTTTATATTTTGTTTATTAATGAATTTATTTTTTATTAGTTTTTTCGTTCTTGTTTTTGTTTTTTTTTTATAGCAATTACGATTGGCCGACTAGGTTATGTATGCCCTCAGGACGTCGCCCCGCTGTTACAACAGTTTGTACGCATGTGGTGTGTACCAATTTTTTTTTTCAATTTTTCTTTATTTTATTATTATTATAAGTTTATAATTTGAATTCAAATGTTTTATTTTTTATAATTGGGTTTGCAAAGGCAACATTTTCAATTAATTTGTTAGTGTATTAAATTTTATGTGGCTTAACCTTTTATACCAGTTTTTTTACTATTATTTTTATATATTATTTTTAGGTGCACATCGTTACGTAATATCAGAGATAATGATGAAAAAGATAGTGCATTTAGAGGTATGTGTCAAATGATCAGTGTCAATCCAGGTGGAGTAGTACAAGACTTCATATTTTTTTGTGACGCTATTGCATCTTGGGTGAATCCCAAAGAAGACTTAAAAGAAATGTTTTATAAAGTAATTTTTTTTAAAAATTATTATTGTTAATATGTTTATAAAATTTGTAAGTTATTAAAAATGTATGCCATTTTACAAGTAGGAATATGAGTTAAATATATCAATTTGATTTAAGAAGACGCCAAGGCGCTACTCATAAGGTTTTTTGTGCCAAAAAGGCTTTACTATTCTGTACACATTTTTGAACATATTTTGTCATAAAAAAAATATTTTGACATTAATACTAAGATTAAGAATATTTTTGGTTTACAATCGGTTGAAAAAATAAAAATATTTTTTTAAAATTCAAATAGTAACTTGAACTAAAAAAATTCTTAAAAAACCTCATTGACAAGATCAATTTTTTGTTGAAGCAAAAAATAAATTTTCTATTTTAATTTGTAGAAGTTGCATAGAGAATGGGGTAGGCTGTTTATTAGAAAATCATTAATGTGATAAAAATCGAATAAAAAAAAAAAGAAAATTTATAAAGTATCCTTATTTTTAAATTAATGTAATAGCTTTTTTAACTTAAAATTTTGTTTTGTTTTTGAAAAATTGTCTATATGTAACCCTTTAAAATGTAGTATGCCTGTTGTATTAAATTATGTAATACGATTTTCTTAATCCTTTCAGCACTAACATACACATGTATAAGTGTGTTCTAGTCCCTATTATAGTGTTCTAACTGAAGTTTTTAGTGTGTTGCAAAATAAATAGTTTGTGATGAAAGGGTTAAGAAGAAGTAATAGCCCCTATTTATTAAGGAGTTATGTATAGGCAATAAAAATCAAATATGGTTTTTGTCTATAATATTTGAAGTTAAATTTAATATTTATTCATTTTAGATATTACATGGTTTCAAAAATCAAGTAGGTGAAGAAAATTGGACAAGATTTACTGACCAATTTCCTCCACAGTTGAAAGATCGTCTGTCAACTGCCTATGGGATCTAAAACAACTGTAAGTTTGTTTTTTTTTAACATGTGAATATTATTAAAATATATTTTTTTCTTAGGAAATTTGGGGCGCAGCATGGGTGATTCCAGCGTTGCATCTTTTGGGTTTTTTTCTTCAGTCATGTGTGCTGAAAACTGACATCTTGTAGGGTGTGCGGGAGGGAAGGGAGGGGGGAGATAAAATAAATTCGATAATACTTAACAAATTTATTTTAACATTTTTTAATTTGTTTAATGTGATAAAATGTTCACAACCAAATTTCATCATCTGATTTGTCAAAAAAGTTGGTTCTGCTGTTTGCATTATCAAATTTTATATACCATTATTATTTGTCTTCTACATTTATTTTGTTTATTGTTCTTTTTTTACATTTTAGTTTTTTATTTGTAGAATGCTTATAACAGTTGTATGCAAACTTGAAGCGTGCTAACCAAAATGCTTGAGTAATTAAATTAGCCCATTTGTGAATTCCTCATCGACTTGGGCATTAATTCCTAAATAACTATATTTATGTCCATTAATTCCTTAAAGTTCCTTAATTATCAACATTCCAGAGTGGATCCCTCTTCCTTTCCTTGTAAATGTGACCATCATATTGGAAAACAAGTATTTTGGAATTGACTTTTCAAATTTTGCTAATTATAACATTGTGCTATTGATTCACATCATAAAGAATTTGGTTTCTAGTTTGATGTACAAATTGAACGTTTTAGATTTTTTTTATGTTTTGTATTTTAACTTTATTTCTATTAAGTAATACATTTTATTAATTATTCGCCATTGTTGTAAATTAGTTTTGTTAAATGTATAGGCTTGTTTTTATTTCATGTTTTAAGTTACGAGTGCAAATATTATAAAAACAATATAACATATTGTGACTAAAAACTTTTTAAATACCTGATTAGCAAAAAAAAATACTAACTTGTCATAATATTTTTCATATAATCATGATATTAAATTAGTAATAAAAAGTAAACTATAGTTTAATTTATAATTTATATATTTTATCTATGAATTGTATTTGAATGTAAAATTGTATGTATCTCTGTAAAAATCTAATAGATACACTGACTAAACATAACAGTTATCATTTTTATATCTTATTTGTATTTTTTTCCTACTAAAATTTTTCTGTTTGTTAATTAGGAACACAAATTTCATATGTTTAATCAGCTTTGTGGTGAAATAGTTAATGTTTTCAATTGTCATTACTTTTTAACATAGTCATCTTAATAAAAATAATTAAATATATATATATGCTCAAAATACAAATAGTAAAAAGTGTTTTTTTCACACAGAATGTTTCAGTTCAGCTAAATTACATTAGTTGATGCCTAACAAATAATATAAACTGTGATAAAGTATCCCTATGTGACATATGCCAAGACATCTAACAATGTATCCATTAAGGTTCTTTCATACACGTACGATTCGTATCCGTTCCATCAGGGCAACCGACGTCCGACTATTCAAAAATATGAACTTCTTTTTAAACGAACGCATTCACATCAATCCGATCCAAGCTTTCTGAGCTCAGACCGAGAAAAAAAATATTGTTGTTAACTGATTTTCAGTCAGTGCAGGATCGGATATGTATGAACTAGGAACACGTTCCGTAAGTAGTTATCATTTGGCTTATGAGATATAGATGTTTTTGTAGGAAAACTCAATAACGCAAATTACACATGTACCTACCTACTCACGACTATGCAATAGCCCGTAAGACTATGATAGCGTGTTAGTTTCTGTTTTTTGTACTTTTCATTATAGTGCCCAAGTTATAAATGTTATGTGTTTTTGTTTATAAAATTATGTAAAATATTTACTATTTAGGTAATAATTACTGTACAAGAAAGTAAGTTATTATTATGTTTACATTATCATCACCACCATCATTAACAATTATTTTGAACATAAAAAATATATAAATAATATTATAACGTAAAAATAATAGGTAATCATTTAGTATGGTAAAAATGAAAAGTATATATAATATATGGTATATGGCCCATTTTTTACAATTTAAAAGTACACCATCACTTATTCTAATTTTTTATGCACATGGCTCTACAAAAAAATCATACCTGCAATTTAGGAGTTCAGCTAAAAGTTAAATACTCAAAGTTTTATAAAGCTTAAGGATTTTATGTAATTTTTTTTTGAACTTTTTCAAAAAATTAATTTGCTTATTAAAAAAAAATTTTAAATTATAAACTGTTGACATAAAATTTAAAAAATATTTTTTCTCTGAGGATAGCGTAATAAAATGTACATGTAAATTTTTTTTCGTTTTAGTTTAAAATATTAAAAAATAAAGAAATTGACAATTTGTTTTCTTTATGCCATAAAACTCAAAAAGCATGCCAAATATGAAATGTGCTTACATTTTTTTAATTCTTTATTATTTCGGGTTCTTCATTCACTCAAATTTGAAGGAAATAAGAGACGCACATAATATAACATATAATATAAGACTGGCCGTTAAAAAAAAAAGTTTGCCCACTTGAAAGTATAAAGTTGACCCTAAAAAATGATGATCCTGAAAGTTCTAATGCTCTATCTCAATGTTAAGGGGTGTCGGTGAACTGTTTTTATTTTTTCATAAAATGCAATTTTAATGATTTTTTACGGTTTTTTGTGATGATTAAAAAACTTTAATGTTAGACAAATAATTCTGGTATTAGAGATGCTTTTTACTAAAATATTTTCAGGTTCTAATTTTGAAGAATGTTGACTGAATTCACATTACTAGAGGCCATTATGCCACCATACGGTTTGTATGCCTTAAACGATATTTACAATTTCATAATTTTGGTCGAAAACATCTTATTTTAAATTAAACCGTTCTCAGAAACGGTCACGTTGGTTTATTATAACAATAATAGCGTTAAGGTCATTATCAATTATCAATTCCTCCAAAAAATTGTAGAAAATCTCAATAAAATACGTACCTTTTCGAAATGTAATTTTAAAATACCTCTGAAATGTAAACTTTTCACTGAATAACTATAAAGAAAATCTGAAACCGTGCTCCGATAATAATTATTTAGTAGTATATCATTTTTACAGACTTATGTTAAAGTTAAATGTTTTTGAGACCATGGTGAACGATCCATCATTAGAATCTGAAAATATTTGAGTAAAAAGGCATTTATTTCTAATACAGTAATACCAGAATTATTTGTCTAACATTAATTTTTTTAATCATCACAAAAATTCATGGTCAAAAATCATTAAAATCGCATTTAATGAAAAAACAATAGCAGTTCAGCGGCCATCCTTAACATTGAGATAGAGCGTTAGAACTTTCAGGATCATATTTTTTTAGGGTCAACTTTATATTTTTCAAGTGGGAGCAAACTTTTTTTTTAACGACCAGTCTAATATATACAGGATTGGGCAATGAAACGGGCGACTTTAAAATAACAAAAAAAAACCTACAAGATTTTTTTATTTATTGATACCACCTGAAAGTATATAAAAACGGGTTAATGTTGTATTTAATTTATACGAACGATATCCGCAAGATGGTGTCCATTTCGAAGCAAGCATTCGTCATGGCGTCTTTAAAAACGGGATATGACATTTCGTAACATTTCCCGAGAGATTTATGGGTCACCTCTTCTTGTATTCTTTTGTTTAAGATTGTCAATTGTCCTCGGTGTTGTTTGGTATAATTTATTCTTAATATAACCCCACAGAAAAAATTCACAAGCTGTCAAATCAGGCCAAGGAATATCCTCATTACGAGAAATTATACGATGCTTCGAAATGGACGCCATCTTGCGGATATCGTTCATAAAAATTAAATACAAAATTAACTTGCTTTTTTATATACTTTCAGGTAGTATGAATACATTTATTGAAAAAACTCTTGTTGGTTTTTTTTAGTTATTTTAAAATCGCCCGTTTCACTGCCCCACCATGTATATAAGTTGCCTATAAACCAGTTTGGCATAAAAAGCCGGTGTTGTTTTTTCAGGTAAAATTCCGCTAAATATTTTTAAAAATAGTTACTTGGAAAAAAAATGTTTTTCTGTATTTAATTAATAAATAACATTTCTGGTACTTTTTTTTTTAAGTAATCTATATCTATCTTTATATAAAAATAATAGTACACCATTCATCCGATCGCCATGAAACTTTGGGAAGTTGTTAAGTACACTCCTTAGTTGGCCTCTAACACAGTGAAAAATAATAATAGACAGACTTATGACGTTTATTACACAATAATGATATATATTTATTTAAAATACGCTATAATAATGAAAATCATGTTTTTTGAGTTGTGTCACTTTTTAAGCGGGGGTGCGATTTGTAGACCAAAAAAAAAAAACGAGACAGGGTATGCCAAAGCTTTACAATATACATTATACAGCCTGGAATACTGACTTTTTTTGTAATCTTATTTGTAATTATTTTACTCAGCCCAGGCAAACTAAATTCTGGGCAACGCCGGGTCGGGACAGCTTGTATTGTATATTTGTAAAAAATAATTATTCAACATAATATACACAACATAAATCACAAAACTATAGGTCTTTTAGTAAAAATTATAAATGATTGAAATATATTTTTAAACACGGGTTATGAAAAGGTTTTTTTTGTTAAGACCCATCGAGTTTCTGGGTCTTTTGGAGTTTTATTATAAAAATCCCTAAATACAGGTAGCAAGTTGCGTTTTTTCAAAAATACCAGGGTTTTTACCAACTCCGCTATAAACCAATATTTTGAGCAAGACGTGTTTTTAATGTACAAATAGTAAAGCTAAAAAAATTATAAAATGGACTTTTAAAGTCATTGGGTTATTATTTATATTATATTAGTATACATTTAACATTTTGCTGAACAATTAATCACAATAGTAACATAAAATAATTAGTTTAATCACATTTATAAATAAATAAGTACATATATATATATATAACTATTAACTATAATATAGAATAATACTATCAGTATGATTATTTTTAAGTAGAACATTCGTGAAATGCTTATTTCTTGTGACAGTTAATATGCAACTATTATTACAGTTAATTTTTTATTTCAAAATAATAAGTTTATTTAGTATAGGCATTGATTATACGTCCAGGATGGTTGTACTATGCATGTATAATCAATGGTATAGGTGTTAAAAATAAAAAATAATTAATAGTTATTAGTGACTAGAGACTAGTTTTTAGCCGAAGGAACAAGAAAAAGTTATAAATTAGAAATAAAATATCAAAATTAATAGACAGAAAATTTGTTTCCATAAAAAATAAAAGATCTCCAAGAATATTATTTTATAAAAAAATTAATAGTTAAAAAGTCACAATAAAATATAGAAAATCTTTATTAGTCTACAGTCTTTTAAGAAGGAATTTAGCATAAGTTAACTGACTTATTAGGTTTTAGTCAATTTTAATTAGCAATTATTGTATTCTTATAGTTTGGGATACCAATTAAAATCATAATAAAAAAAATTATTTTTTTAAAAATAATAAAGGATTTTTACTTCATAAAGCGTATTGTTTATAAATAAAAGATTTAATCGCCTTTCAGTTATTGATTTAAATTAAAATAAGGTTAAATGGTTCAGAATTACAATGGGACCCTATTCACCATTTTGTATTTTTTTTTTAATTAAAATGGTTACAGTGATAAAATTTGAATTATTAATAACAATAATATAAAAGTATTCGTGGAATTGATTTGGGTATCACAGTCAATAAGGTCACTTTTTTTTCCATACTCGTACTGAACTGTCAACATAACCAACAACTAGTGTGTTATTTTGATAATCTATCTGTAATTATTATTAATTACATATTTTAGTAAAAAATAAGTAAGATTATAATACTATGAAATTACAGTATTGTACTTACTGATGTTATTTCCGAGCCTGAATCAATTTTGGTTATAACTCTTAAAGGAGAAGTTGGTGTTATGAAGTACACAGCTCCTTCATTACCACCAATAATGATACTACCGTAATTTGTGCATTTAATACAATTTATTTTATAACGTTTTCTACTTGTATTTAAAGGTCTTACAAAATTCACAGTCTGTAAACAATAAAAAAAATAATGCAGTTAAGCTTTTTTTTGGTATCAATAAGGTAATAGACAAAATACCTTAAGTACGTCAAAAGCCCCATCAGAACAATCTAACCAATACATATGATCACGACTATCACCAATAAACAACACATTATCATAATAAGAGGCACACATTGGAAATCTGCTACTTTTCTAAAAAAATAAAGAAAACAATATAATATTAAGACAATACATTGAGGTGTTGTACTTATAAAAAGCATATTTATTGGTAATCATGTATTAGACACTTTTTTTGCTACTTCTACACTCTTGACAAGATTACATAAACTCGAAGGACATTTTGCCTTATCTCTGTAGTGTAGGGATAGAGCGAGAGTGTACAGGTAACATTAGAAGCATAGTATGTTTCAATAATATTATTACTTCAGCAAGATACATTGATTTGACAGTTTTCTGAGAGCGCAAATCCCATAAAGATATAGTTCTGTCTTCACTCAATGATATTAAATAGTAATCCTGAATTAAACATAATTCGATAATACTTCGTGTGTGAGGATTCAGTTCGAATAAATGTTTTTCACTATCACGAGGATCAAATGCAACCACTTTAGGAGTATAGAGCCCAGCAGCTATAAAATTTTCTTTACAAGTAACTGTAAGGACAGCTGCGTCAGTACTATTACAGAAATGCCAATTAGGTAGGTATACAATAATTTTAATCTAAATTTTAGACATCATCACTTACGTAAATTTATGAATTGGTTCAACATCTTGGGAGAAGTTATCCATATTCCATAATTTAACAGATGAATCCCATGAACACGATAAGAAATGGTTAGCATCATACATATTTAAACCCCATACCCAACCAGTGTGACTATCAGCTTTATGGGCAACAGGATTAGTATCTATCCCAGTTGTATTCCAAAAACAAATTGAACGATCTCTGGATGCAGATATGCAATGGTCTCCACTCTGTAAATATTAGATTAATATTTTATGATAAATACAATAGTATTAAACAGTTACCTTATTTCACATTCACCTACTTTTGTCATCATAACAGCATCCACTTCGGAATAATGAGTGCCATTGAAAATTAAATTATCAGTATTTATTTGATAATCACTCCAGCAATTTTCCTCCAACTCGGTATGCCAAGCAAATTGCTTCCAGTTGAAAGTTTCCTCTGCATAATTAATAATAATATATTCAACTTAACTTAGGCCTCTTTTTCTATTGATATTGTACTATTTAATCTACCTTTAAAATCATTTGTCAATGTAAATGCTACATCGCAATTATTAAATTTTTCCAGTGCTCTTTTTTTCCATAAATAATTGTCACTAATTATACCATTTAATTTTTTACAAACATACATTAATGAGCGTAGTAAAGTATCAGCATCAAGTCTTTCGCAAATCATAAGAAATACCTGGAAACGAATAATCGTTTATTCAGCAATTGTGTGCACTTTTCCAAAACACTACATTTGTTTACCTCGATTGGAATAGAATCTAATGATACCCGAGGCACCATAACACCATCATGTACGTCAGTAATATCATCAGGAGTATTCATTTTACAGTTTCTCTGGTAAAATTATTTAAAAAAATTAGAAGTAGTAGAAAAAAGTCTTCTAATTAATGAATACAATTGAAAGTTCTGAAAATGGGAGTATACAGTTTATTAAAAACAACAAAACACTACATTGCATTACATTCGTACAGATGAATTATAATTTCTAGTTTATACATTGTGGTAAAAATATGTGTGAATGACTTTTCGTTCTAGTAACATTTAATTAATTTCTGGAATGTATTGCTGATTACTTTCATATCAACAATCACTTACCTGATAAGTAATAAGTGATACAGGTAGACTTAAGGCCACGATTGTGGCGCTCTCTGGTAGTTTAATTTTGCAACTATCAAATCATTTAAACATATTAGCGCGCGAATTTCGAATATTGATAATGTAATAATTACAAAATGTATTTTTAAAAAGTATATTTTGACATTATATTATATTATATTAATTATTAATTGTTATATTTGTAATATTATTGAATTTTCATTAATAAAATGAGAAAATACCGCTTATTTCATATGCAAAAAATTAAAAAAAAATTAGCTAAATTTGTTTCAACTTGATGTAAAAATGCATATTTAAATAGTATGTGTAAATAATAAATATATATTATAAGTAATTAAAAACTATGCTTACTATGATTTTGAATTTGTATTATTTCATGATTAAAATGAATCCAGGAAGCAAATTTAATTCAATTAACCGTTTAAAGAAGAGAGAAAGAGAAACGAAATAGGAAGAGAGAGAGGCAATCATTTTTAAATAAACCATTTTTTTTCTTTAAATAAAATTCAGCAATTTAAACTGCAATTTATTGTAATTGCAAACAATACAATAGATATTAGTGATTTATTAGAAATTTACCTTTAAAACAATATCTGAAATGTTATCCTATAAATTTACTAGGGACTTTGTTGAATAGGACCCACGCTTTTTTTTTTAGTCAAAAATTAAAGATGTTTAACATAATTTAAAATTGTAGTTAATTTTCGGTTGTTTTCAAAGTAATTTACATTAAAAAAAATGTGCTACAATTGATTAGTAAATTGTTCTTGTAGTAAAATTATTTTATACTTTTTAGTTCACTATTTTACTAAGTTTTAGAAAAGCATGTTTTTTAAAAGTGTTTTATTTAATTTAATTATAACTTTAGTTATTCCTTCTAAACATTTATTGTGTCCCTTTATTAACCATACTTTTAGTTATTATGTATATTTTTCTGTGTATCTACCTATTTAATAAAAAAAAAATTATAATATTTTTAATTATCAGTAAATTTATACCGTCACCAAATAGATACATTATAATTTTTGTTTTCTCGTACAATGCTAGTTAATAAAAAATCTTAATGTACATCATAGAATCATAGATACCACAGATAGGGTATCAGTTTATGTTAGAAGTATATTAATTGTTTAGTGGCGTTGGTATATCGTGGTTATTGTTGTAAAATCTATGATATAATTAATTATTTAAAAAAATCGAAGTTAGTTACATGTCGTAACAATTAAATATCGTGGTAAATATATACTCGAAGTTATTAGTTATAGGAATATCAAGTTGTGGTAACAACTTTTCATAGCAATGGTTTTTTGACCAGGTTTTGACTAATGCTTATTTTAAAAACTAGTAAAACTAATAAACTCCAATAATGTAAACACTTCAATTAAAAATGATCAATATTTTTCAACAATTTGATAATTGATTATATGACTAGTAATAGACAATAGTATAGTTATTTCATTTTTAAAGGTATAATAATTTTACATAATATCAGTACTATAGATTATCGATAGTATTTGAATATCTATTAACTACAAGACATTGAAATTTCAAATGAAAATCGGCTTCCTATTTAAAATAGTCAAGTAGCCAAAGAACTGAAATATCTTTACAGACAATTTAGAGTAGAGTCACTTGTGGTTTTTGTTGTACAATTATAAATAAACCCGAACCATAACAAAAATATACTTATGAGCGTATACGTATTACGGCAACTATGTTGCCATGAAGCGCTAACCACAGACTCAATGCCTATACAAAACTCCTTAAAAATATACCGCATACCCTTAAAAGTTAAAGAGTTTAAGTATAATACATATTGTATGGACTAGATTGAACATGCTATTGAATTCACAAGCGAATAAAATTTGAAAATTATATTATCAAAAGATTATGATTTTTTTTTAAAATTTGTTTTTGCTTTCTTTTACTTTTGTTTTCGTGGTTTGTGCTTTAAGTACAATTATTTTGCCTCGTTCACCATACTGCACACACGCTCTTAAGACAAATCCTGTACACATTATATTATTATATCTCATGTGTGTATGTAACATAAAACTATTTATAAACATTCTTGAGACACTTCCCTTCTTTAGAGCTGGCCGCAATAACTTTCTCGTATGCGCTGACATACGATTTTCCCGTAATTATAAAAAGTAAATATCGCAATTAAATTTTTTTTCTTCACTAAGTCTATACTTTTCAATTATTGGCTTACACGAAAAATTGACATAATTTATATCTTACTTGTATCTTATAGATGGTATGCATTCAATTATGAACGATTATTGAAATTTAAAATATTGGCGGTCGGGCCGAAAATGTTTGTAATTCAAATGGCGTGATTAAAAAAAAAAACAACTAAAGACGACGTCATGGCGTGGCACGATAACGTTTCCGAGTGGTTAGATGATATTTCGCTGTTTGCTTTGTAATTTATGGTAATATCATTATGCATATAGCTTGATTGTCGCTGATTTTGTGTTTGGTTTACGGGGCATGAGGGTCGGTCGGTGTGGGCGAATTCCAAAGTTAACTAACTTCGGACCTGATTGAATTATACTATATACACTGCAGGGTGCGACGACGGCCACCGCCCTTATCACCGCACCCCCTGCCCGGTTTTGGGCGTTTTTAATTGCAACGGCAAACACGGCTCGTTTAACGTTCGTTTGCAAATCCTAGTACAGTTATAGAGGGTAAAAAAAATAACGTCGGTGCGCCCCGTCTACAAACCGGCTTAGCCTGCCCGTTTACTTATTATATTATTGCGCAGTGTTGTAGGTACGCGTGCAATTGACGATTTCGTGCATGTTGTCCGAAATGCTTATACGGTTGGGTTTTCTCCTTGTTATTATAATATAGCAACACATTAACTGTACGCGAACCAAAACCAATTAAATTTCCATGTATTATATCGCAGTGTCCAACGAAACACAGACTGTATGAAAACAGATGGCTCACTCGGCATGTAAACAAAAACCAAGACGTCACGCAGTGGCGGATCCAGTGGTTGTCCAAGAGGGGGGGGGGGGCGAATTTTCGTTTTTTGTAGGTATAATAAAATTACCTTTTTTGTTTTTTACTTTTTATTAATTGTCCACAAAATATGTTACAATGTATTCATTATTTTGATTAGTTATTTTTTAATTAATTATTATTAATTCAGTTTAATTTTGACCCAATAAACTTTCATTGAAAATAGCTACAACAAGTTTGTTTACATTCAAATACATACTTATAATTAAGCAAAGTACAATACTCAGATATTTATAATATAAAATCAATGTCTTTTTTTTTCTATAGCAAATCTTTCAATAATATCATCTACATTTAAGGGGATTCGATACTGGCCGTTTTTTTTTCAGTCAAAACACATCATTTTTTGTCAATCGCACGGGCCAAACCAGTAATCCGATAAGTAATTTGAACACAGATTTGAATTCGCCACGAAGTTTACTTTAAATCGGTCAGAGTACTTGTTTCGATTTTTAATTTAACCCTTCCAAATTTGATTTTAAAATTTGAAATTTTAAAATTTTATAAATATTACGCTGACCAATCTCAAGTAAACTTCATGACGAATTTAAATATGTTTTTAGCGACGGAACAAAAAATTTACTATTATATTATCTAAAATAGCTTTTACTCATAGACAAAATGATTTAAATTGAAAATAATACCATGAAGCTTATACAAATTAACAGGTAAATTAATTGACATAGTCGAAATTTATTACAACCACTTTTTTCTTGGGCCAAAACTCGGGCCAAGGGGGGGGGATCGCCCCACCGCCCCCTCTCAAATCCGCCACTGCGTCACATGACCAAAATGAAATTCTGAAATTCCCTTAAGGGGAACAGAAAGCGCTATTTATTAAGGGTCAAAAGATAGGCAATATTTGACAAACATTTATCTAGTAACTATTTGAAGTATGCTAACTAATGTTAATGAAAAAAAATATTAAGTTTTTCTAGTTATGAAACTTTGAAAACTAAGTTTTTTTTCTCCGAGTTATGGCGAATGTTTGATAAAAAAATTACTTTCGTAGAAGTCATTTTCCGGCGCATCTATTGGATAGAATTCAATTTTTTTTTTTTTTGTGAACTTACTTTTTTTTCTATAGGGGCTAAAATGATCACCCATTTTAGCCCCTATAGAAAAAAAATCTTTGATTTAGATATCAGAAAATATTTATTAGAAAATTTGTATTTATTAAAAAATACTATAAAAATGTAAAAATAAAAACGTTTATAGTACAATTTTGAAACGGAAATAAAAATAGGCCTTTAAGCCCCCATAGAATATGTTATACTTAATAGGAAAAAAAAAGTTTAAATTGTTCGGTAGACATTTCCGAAAGTGACTTCTTGTTTCAGTCTTTAATTGTATAACATTTGGCGCTTTCCGTTTCCCTTAAGTAATAATTGATTTTTTTTATAATGTTTTTATATATTGTGATTTCAATTTTCCACCAATTTTTATGTTGCTATCAAAAAAACTAATTTGGGTGTGGTCAGGAACATACAAATTTGTGGAAAATTGAGATCACATTATACAAAAACACTATGGAAAAAATATTCAATTATTACATAAGGCTAGTGAGATATTGAGTAGTCCATGATAAAAAAATCAGCCTGCAGTAATGATGCTATACAACAATATTTTTAATACATTTATAAAAATTAAATCTAAAAAATTAAGTTTTGCATATTGATCTATAGTTGTCGATAACACAAGTGAGATAACAAAAGCGTTATAGGGGTATTGTATTACATAAAATATCATAATATATTAATTTAAAGTATAAATATACTTGCGTTTTTTTGAGCTATCAAATATAATAAAATAATTAATGTATGGTACAACCCAACTGGGTTTTTCTTACATTACAGTTGGCGCGACAATTTAGTTGATAAATTATTTA